CCCGAAATCTGTGATAGTACCCCTTTGGAATCTGCGAAAAATTGACCAGGAATAATTCCTCCCAAATCTGTTCTTAATGGACTCAATCATCGTTGGAGAATAGCCTCAGGCCGAATCCGTGATCTGTAGCCTTCAATATCCAAAGAAAATGGCCTTTCGTCGCCCAAGAAATTACGAAAATGTCATCCGAAAATAAATTGGCCCTAATCGATGCTTAACGGACTTATCATCCGTGGAGAATAGGATCAATAGACTTCATTATCGGTGGAGAATAGCCTCGGCCTGATTCCGTGATCTGTAGCCTCCAGAATCGTAAGAAAATGGCATTTCGGATAAATCGCCCGAAATCTGTGATGGTACCCCTTTGGAATCTGCCAAAAATTGACCAGGAATAAATCCGCCCAAATCGGTGCTTAATGGACTCAATCATCGTTGGAGAATAGCCTCAGGCCAAATCCGTGATCTGTAGCATTCAATATCCAAAGAAAATGGCCTTTCGTCGCCCAAGAAATTACGAAAATGCCATCCGAAAATAAATTGGCCCAAATCGATGCTTAACGGACTTATCATCCGAGGAGAATAGGATCAATAGACTTCATTATCGGTGGAGAATAGCCTCGGCCTGATTCCGGGATATGTAGCCTCCAGAATCGAAAGAAAATGGCATTTCGGATAAATCGCCCGAAATCTGTGATGGTACCCCTTTGGAATCTGCCAAAAATTGACCCGGAATAAATCTGTCCAAATCGGTGCTTAATGGACTCAATCATCGATGGAGAATAGCCTCAGGCCGAATCCGTGATCTGTAGCCTTCAATATCCAAAAGAAAATGGCATTTCGTCGCCCAAGAAATTACGAAAATGCCATCCGAAACTAAATTGGCCCAAATCGATGCTTAACGGACTTATCATCCGTGGAGAATAGGATCTATAGACTTCATTATCGGTGGAGAATAGCCTCGGCCTGATTTCCGTGATCTGTAGCGTCCAGAATCGAAAGAAAATGGCATTTCGGATAAATCGCCCGAAATCTGAGATGGTACCCCTTTGGAATCTGCCAAAAATTGACCCGGAATAAATCCTCCCAAATCGGTGCTTAATGGACTCAATCATCGTTGGAGAATAGCCTCAGGCCGACTCCGTGATCTGTAGCCTTCAATATCCAAAAGAAAATGGCCTTTCGTCGCCCAAAAAAATACAAAAGTGCGACCCGGAAATAAATTTACCCAAATCGATGCTTTACGGACTTATCATCCGTGGAGAATAGGATCAATAGACTTCATTATCGGTGGAGAATAGGCCCGGCCTGATTTCCGTGATCTGTAGCGTCCAGAATCGAAAGAAAATGGCATTTCGGATAAATCGCCCGAAATCTGAGATGGTACCCCTTTGGAATCTCCCAAAAATTGACCCGGAATAAATCCGCCCAAATCGGTGCTTAATGGACTCAATCATCGTTGGAGAATAGCCTCAGGCTGAATCCGTGGTCTATAGCCTTCAATATCCAAAGAAAATGGCCTTTCGTCGCCCAAGAAATTAAGAAAATGCCATCCGAAAATAAATTGGCCCAAATCGATGCTTAACGGACTTATCATCCGTGGAGAATAGGATCAATAGACTTCATTATCGGTGGAGAATAGCCTCGGCCTGATTTCCGTGATCTGTAGACTCCAGAATCGAAAGAAAATGGCATTTCGGATAAATCGCCTGAAATCTGAGATAGTACCCCTTTGGAATCTGCGAAAAATTGACCAGGAATAAATCCGCCCAAATCTGTTCTTAATGGACTCAATCATCGTTGGAGAATAGTCTCTGGCCGAATCCGTGATCTGTAGCTTTCAATATCCAAAGAAAATGGCCTTTCGTCCCCAAGAAATTACGAAAATGTCATTCGAAAATAAATTGGCCCAAATCGATGCTTAACGGACTTATCATCCGTGGATAATAGGATCAATAGACTTCATTATCGGTGGAGAAAAGCCTCGGCCTGATTCTGTGATCTGTGGCCTTCAGAATCGCAAGAAAATGGCATTTCGGATAAATCGCCCGAAATCTGTGATGGTACCCCTTTGGAATCTGCCAAAAATTGACCCGGAATAAATCCTCCCAAATCGGTTCTTAATGGACTCAATCATCGTTGGAGAATAGCCTCAGGCAGAATCCGTGATCTGTAGCCTTCAATATCCAAAGAAAATGGCCTTTCGTCGCCAAAGAAATTACGAAAATGCCATCCGAAAATAAATTGGCCCAAATCGATGCTTAACGGACTTATCTTCCGTGGAGAATAGGATCAATAGACTTCATTATCGATGGAGAAAAGCCTCGACATGATTCGTTGATCTGTAGCCTCCAGAATCGCAAGAAAATGGAATTTCGGATAAATCGCTCGAAATCCGTGATTGTACCCCTTTGAAATCTGCCAAAAATTGACCCGGAATAAATCCTCCCAAATCGTTGCTTAATGGACTCAATCATTGTTGGAGAATAGCCTCAGGCCTAATCCGTGATCTGTAGCCTTCAATATCCAAAGAAAATGGCCTTTCGTCGCCCAAGAAATTACGAAATGCCATCCGATTTTTTTTGGCACAAATCGATGCTGAACGGACTTATCATCCGTGGAGAATAGGATCAATAGACTTCATTATCGATGGAGAATAGCCTCGGCCTGATTCTGTGATCTGTAGCCTCCAGAATCGAAAGAAAATGGCATTTCGGATAAATCGCCCGAAATCTGTGATGGTACCCCTTTGGAATCTGCCACAAATTGACCCGGAATAAATCCGCACAAATAAGTGATTAATGGACTAAATCATCGTTGGAGAATAGCCTCAGGCAGAATCTGTGATCCGTAGCCTTCAATATCCAAGGAAAATGGCCTTCCGTCGCCCAAGAAATTATGAAAATATCATCCGAAAATAAATTGGCCCAAATCAATGCTTAACGGACTTATCATCCGTGGAGAATAGGATCAATAGACTTTATTATTGGTGGAAAATAGCCTCGGCTGATTTCGTGATCTGTAGCCTCCAGAATCGAAAGAAAATGGCATTTCGGGTAAATCGCCCAAAATCTGTGATGGTACCCCTTTGGAATCTGCCAAAAATTGACCCGGAATAAATCCGCCCAAATCGGTGCTTAATGGACTCAATCATCGTTGGAGAATAGCCTCAGGCCGAATTCGTGATCTGTAGCCTTCAATATCCAAAGAAAATGGCCTTTCGTCGCCAAAGAAATTACGAAAATGCCATCCAAAAATAAATTGGCCCCAATAGATGCTTAACGGACTTATCATCCGTGGAGAATAGGATCAATAGACTTCATTATCGGTGGAGAAAAGCCTCGGCCTGATTCGGTGATCTGTAGCCTCCAGAATCGCAAGAAAATGGCATTTCGGATAAATCGCCCGAAATCTGTGACTTTACCACTTTGGAATCTGCAAAAATTGACCCGGAATAAATCCGCCCAAATCGGTGCTTAATGGACTCAATCATCGTTGGAGAATAGCCTGAGGCCGAATCCGTGATATGTAGCCTTCAATATCCAAAGAAAATGGCCTTTCGTCGCCAAAGAAATTACGAAAATGCCATCCGAAAATAAATTGGCCCAAATCGATGCTTAACGGACTTATCATCCGTGGAGAATAGGATCAATAGACTTCATTATCGGTGGAGAAAAGCCTCGGCCTGATTCGGTGATCTGTAGCCTCCAGAATCTAGAGAAAATGGCACTTCGGATAAATCCCCCGAAATCTGTGATGGTACCCCTTTGGAATCTGCCAAAAATTGACCCGGAATAAAGCCGCCCAAATCGATGCTTAATGGACTCAATCATCATCGGAGAATAGCCTCTGGCCGAATTCGTGATATGTAGCCTTCAATATCCAAAGAAAATGGCCTTTCGTCGCCAAAGAAATTACGAAAATGCCATCCGAAAATAAATTGGCCCAAATCGATGCTCAACGGACTTATCATCCGTGGAGAATAGGATCAATAGACTTCATTATCGATGGAGAAAAGCCTCGGCCTGATTCAGTGATCTGTAGCCTCCAGAATCGCAAGAAAATGGCATTTCGGATAAATCGCCCGAAATCTGTGATGGTACCCCTTTGAAATCTGCCAAAAATTGGCCCGGAATAAATCGGCCCAAATCGGTGCTTAATGTACTCAATCATCGTTGGAGAATAGCCTCAGGCCTAATCCGTGATCTGTAGCCTTCATTATCCAAAGAAAATGGCCTTTCGTCGACCAAGAAATTACGAAAATGCCATCCGAAAAAAATTTGGCCCAAACCGATGCTTAACAGACTTATCATCCATGGAGAATAGGATCAATGGACTTCATTATCGATGGAGAAAAGCCTCGGCCTGATTTTGTGATCTATAGCCTTCAGAATCGCAAGAAAATGGCATTTCGGATAAATCGCCCGAAATCTGTGATGGTACCCCTTTGGAATCTGCCAAAAATTGACCCGGAATAAATCCGCCCAAATCGGTTCTTAATGAACTCAATCATCGTTGGAGAATAGCCTCAGGCAGAATCCGTGATCTGTAGCCTTCAATATCCAAAGAAAATGGCCTTTCGTCGCCAAAAAAATTACAAAAATGCCATACGAAAATAAATTGGCCCAAATCGATGCTTAACGGACTTATCATACGTGGAGAATTGGATCAATAGACTTCATTATCGATGGAGAAAAGCCTCGGCCTGATTCGGTGATCTGTAGCCTCCAGAATCGCAAGAAAATGGCATTTCGGATAAATCGCCCGAAATCTGTGATGGTACCCATTTGGAATCTGCCAAAAATTGACCCGGAATAAATCCGCCCAAATCGGTGCATTATGGACTCAATCATCGTTGGAGAATAGCCTGAGGCCGAATCTGTGATCTGTAGCCTTCAATATCCAAAGAAAATGGCCTTTCGTCGCCAAAGAAATTACGAAAATGCCATTCAAAAATAAATTGGCCCAAATCGATGCTTAACGGACTTATCATCCGTGGAGAATAGGATCAATAGACTTCATTATCGGTGGAGAAAAGCCCCGGCCTGATTCAGTGATCTGTAGCCTCCAGAATCACAAGAAAATGGCATTTCGGATAAATCGCCCGAAATCTGTGATGGTACCCCTTTGGAATCTGCCAAAAATTGACCCGGAATAAATCCGCCCAAATCGGTTCTTAATGGACTCAATCATCGTTGGAGAATAGCCTCAGGCAGAATCCGTGATCTGTAGCCTTCAATATCCAAAGAAAATGGCCTTTCGTCGCCAAAAAAATTACGAAAATGCCATACGAAAATAAATTGGCCCAAATCGATGCTTAACGGACTTATCATCCGTGGAGAATTGGATCAATAGACTTCATTATCGATGGAGAAAAGCCTCGGCCTGATTCGGTGATCTGTAGCCTCCAGAATCGCAAGAAAATGGCATTTCGGATAAATCGCCCGAAATCTGTGATGGTACCCATTTGGAATCTGCCAAAAATCGACCCGGAATAAATCCGCCCAAATCGGTGCATTATGGACTCAATCATCGTTGGAGAATAGCCTGAGGCCGAATCTGTGATCTGTAGCCTTCAATATCCATAGAAAATGGCCTTTCGTCGCCAAAGAAATTACGAAAATGCCATTCGAAAATAAATTGGCCCAAATCGATGCTTAACGGACTTATCATCCGTGGAGAATAGGATCAATAGACTTCATTATCGGTGGAGAAAAGCCTCGGCCTGATTCAGTGATCTGTAGCCTCCAGAATCACAAGAAAATGGCATTTCGGATAAATCGCCCGAAATATGTGATGGTACCCCTTTGGAATCTGCAAAAAATTGACCCGGAATAAATCCGCCCAAATCGGTGCTTAATGGACTCAATCATCGTTGGAGAATAGCCTCAGGCCGAATCTGTGATCTGTAGCCTTCAATATCCAAAGAAAATGGCCTTTCGTCGCCCAAGAAATGACGAAAATGCCATCCGAAAATAAATTGGCCCAAATCGATGCTTAACGGACTTATCATCCGTGGAGAATAGGATCAATAGACTTCATTATCGGTGGAGAAAAGCCTCGGCCTGATTCGGTGATCTGTAGCCTCCAGAATCGCAAGAAAATGGCACTTCGGATAAATCCCCCGAAATCTGTGATGGTACCCCTTTGGAATCTGCCAAAAATTGACCCGGAATAAAGCCGCCCAAATCGATGCTTAATGGACTCAATCATCATCGGAGAATAGCCTCTGGCCGAATTCGTGATATGTAGCCTTCAATATCCAAAGAAAATGGCCTTTCGTCGCCAAAGAAATTACGAAAATGCCATCCGAAAATAAATTGGCCCAAATCGATGCTCAACGGACTTATCATCCGTGGAGAATAGGATCAATAGACTTCATTATCGATGGAGAAAAGCCTCGGCCTGATTCCGTGATCTGTAGCTTACAGAATCGAAAGAAAATGCCATTTTGGATAAATCGCCCAAAATCTGTGATGGTACCCCTTTGGAATCTGCCAAAAATTGACTCCGAATAAATCCGCCCAAATCGGTTCTTAATGGACTCAATCATCGTTGGAGAATAGCCTCAGGCCGAATCCGTGATCTGTAGCCTTCAATATCCAAAGAAAATGGCCTTTCGTCGCCAAGAAATTTCGAAAATGCCATCCGAAAATAAATTGGCCCAAATCGATGCTTAACGGACTTATCATCCATGGAGAATAGGATCAATAGAGTTCATTATCAGTGGAGAATAGCCTCGGCCTGATTCCGTGATCTGTAGCCTCCAGAATCGAAAGAAAATGGCATTTCGGATAAATCGCCTAAAATCTGTGATGGTACCCCTTTGGAATCTGCCAAAAATTGACCCGGAATAAATCCGCCTAAATCGGAGCTTAATGGACTCAATCATCGTTGGAGAATAGCCTCAGGGCGAATCCGTGATTTGTAGCCTTCAATATCCAAAGAAAATGGCCTTTCGTAGCCCAAGAAATTACAAAAATGCCATCCTAAAATAAATTGGCCCAAATCGATGCTTAAAGAACTTATCATCCGTGGAGAATAGGATCAATAGACTTCATTATCGGTGGATAATAGTCTCGGCCTGATTCCGTGATCTGTAGCCTCCAGAATAGAAAATGGCATTTCAGATAAATCGCCCGAAATCTGTGATGGTACCCCATTGGAATCTGCCAAAAATTGACCCGGAATAAATCCGCCCAAATCGGTGCTTAATGGACTCAATCATCGTTGGAGAATAGCCTCAGGCCAAATCCGTGATTTGTAGCCTTCAATACCAAAAGAAAATGGCCTTTCGTCGCCCAAGAAATTACGAAAAATGCCATCCGAAAATAAATTGGCCCAAATCGATGCTTAACGAACTTATCATCCGTGGAGAATAGGATCAATAGACTTCATTATCGGTGTAGAATAGCCTCGACCTGATTCCGTGATCTGTAGCCTCCAGAATCGAAAGAAAATGACATTTCGGATAAATTGCCCGAAATCTGTGGTACCCCTTTGGAATCTGCCAAAAATTGACCCGGAATAAATCCGCCAAAATCGGTGCTTAATGGACTCAATCATCGTTGGAGAATAGCCTCAGGCCGAATCCGTGATCTGTAGCCTTCAATATCCAAAGAAAATGGCCTTTCGTCGCCCAAGATATTACAAAAATGCAATCCGAAAATAAATTGGCCCAAATTGATGCTTAACGGACTTATCATCCGTGGAGAATAGGATCAATAGACTTCATTATCGGTGGATAATAGCCTCGCCTGATTCTGTGATCTGTAGCCTCCAGAATAGAAAATGGCATTTTGGATAAATCGCCCGAAATCTGTGATGGGTACCCCTTTGGAATCTGCCAAAAATTGACCCGGAATAAATCCGCCCAAATCGGTGCTTAATGGACTTATCATCCGTGGAGAATAGGATCAATAAACTTTATTATCTGTGTAGAATAGCCTCGGCCTGATTCCGTGATTTGTAGCCTCCAGAATTGAAAGAAAAAGGCATTTCGGAAAAATCGCCCAAAATCTGTGATGGTACCCCTTTGCAATCTGCCAAAAATTTACCTGGAATAATTACGCCCAAATTGATGCTTAATGGACTTAATCATCGTTGAAGAATAGGCTCATGCCAAATCCTTGATCTGTAGTCTTAAAAATACAAAGAAAATGGTCTTTCGACGCACACAAAATTATGAAAATGTCATCCGAAAATAAATTGGCACAAATCGGTGATTAATGGACTTATCATCCGTGGAGAATAGGATCAATAGACTTCATTATCGGTGGAGAATAGCCTCTTCCTGATTTCGTGATTTGTAGCCTCCAGAATCGAAAGAAAATGGCATTTCGGAAAAATCGCTCAAAATCTGTTATGGAACCCCTTTGCAATCTGCCAAAAATTGACCCAGAATAAATCCGTCCAAATATGTGCTTAATGGACTTAATCATCGTTGAAGAATAGTCTCAGGCCAAATCTGAGATCTGTAGCCTTCAAAATCCATATAAAATGGCCTTTCGATGCCCACAAAACTACGAAAATGCTATCCTAAAATAAATTGTTCCAAATCAGTGCTTAATGGACTTATCATCCATGGAGAATAGGATATATAGACTTTATTATCGGTGGAGAATAGCCTCGGCCTGATTCCGTGATCGGTAGCCTCCAGAATCGAAAGAAAATGGCATTTCGAAAAAATGCCCCAAATCTGTGATGATACCCTTTTGCAATATGCCAAAAATTGAGCCGTAATAAATTCGCCCAAATCAGTTCTTAATGGACTTAATCATCGTTGAAGAATAGCCTCAGGGCGAATCCGTGATCTGTAGCCGTCAAAATCCTAAGAAAATGGTCTTTCGGCGCACATAAAATTACGAAAAATGCTATCCGAAATAAATTGGCCCAAAACGCTACTTAATGGACTTATCGTCCATGGAGAATAGTATCAATAGACTATAGTATCAATAGACTTCATTATCGATGGAGGATAGCCTCGGCTTGATTCCGCGATCTGTAGCCTCCAAAATCGAAAGAAAATGGCATTTCGGACAAATCACCCAATATTTGTGATGGTACCCCTTTGCAATCTGCCAAAAATTGACCCGGAATAAATCCGCCCAAATCGGTGCTTAATGGACTTCATCATCGTTGAAGAATAGCCTCAGTACGAATCCGTGATCTGTAGCCTTCAAAATCCAAAGAAAATGGCCTTTCGACGCCCACAAAATTACGAAAATGCCATCCGAAGATAAATTGGCCCAAATCGGTGCTTAATGGACTTATCACCTGTGGAGAATAGGATTAATAGACTTCATTATCGGTGGAGAATAGCCTAGGGCTGATTTCGTAATCTGTAGCCTCCAAAATCGAAAGAAAAAGGCATTTCAGAAAAATCGCCCAAAATCTATGATGGTACCCCTTTGCAATCTGCCAAAAATTGACCCAGAATAAATCCGCGACTTGATTCCGTGATTTGTAGCCTCCAGAATCGAAAGAAAAAGGCATTTCAGAAAAATCGCCCAAAATCTGTGATGGTACCCCCTTTGCAATGTGCCAAAAATTGACCAGGAATAAATTCGCCCAAATCAATGCTTAATGGACTTAATCATCGTTGAAGAATAGCCTCAGGCCGAATCCCATAAACGAAGTTTGGATACTTGTCCTTTTGGTCCTTAAATTAGTCAAGAAAATAAGTCGCTTCGCCACGAGCCATATTCTTTTGTATTTCTTGTTCAAATGGTTCTTCTAATCAGATTTGGTAAAAGTCATATTCTCATGCCCACCCTCACACTCAGCCCGTAGATGATACAATGACTTAATACTCATCCCGACATTGCAATTTGCTTCGGCCACCCGTCCTTGAGCATCCAAAATTGTGTTATAGTTATACTAGTAAGTGGAATGCTCTCGCACAAACCGTCCAATAGGGAGGTGTTTCGATCAGATTCTTATAGGCAATGTGGTATCCCTAGAGAGCCTCATCAAGTTAGTCTACCAATATCTGTGAGAATGACCAACTATCTTTTACAAGATTTGTTTGAATTATTTGTTTGTGATATCCACTTTGGAGTTTTTTTTTATGACAGGAAATAGATTAGAGTGAGGCACTCCAAACTGACCACATACTCGCTAGAACTGGTGTTGCAAGTGGGTGCCCAATCATTGATAATGCAACATTATGTACAAAATCGAGTAAAGAGTTTCTTCAAAAACTTCCCCTTTGCCCACTTCAAGACATAGTCCACATGAACTATAATGTACTCGTTTCCAAGGGATGGAGGAAAGGGTATCATAAAGTTGATTCCTCAAACATTGAACGGTTCCATCGGTTTAATATTTGGGGCATATTGTTCCTCCAGTATACATTTTCACAGTTGTTGTCATGCATCTCATACCTTAGAGTATCAATCACAAACTTGAAAGATCGTAGGCTAGTAGAATCCACGTTCTAGAACTTTGCAAGTCATTCTGATGGTTAGACACACCTTCGAATAATTCCATCTGATTCGATACAAATGAAATATTGCCATAAATAGTATTTTAATATACAAATAACTTCTTCTTTTTATAGTCGAGACCACTTAGTGCCAGTCATATAGGTTGTCATGTTAGCGAAATAAGGACCCTGTGCCTCTTCAATTGGTATCGAAAAATGTACTGATTAGGGAAGGAGTTATTGACATCAACCATGCCTGTGGATTGGATTCACCATTCTTGGCAATAAAATATATGAGTGCTTGGTGATCGATGCAGATCATCATATCATATATCACTAGATTAAGAGCAGAAATTACAACTAACACACATGCATTAGTTCTTTCTATGTGGTCGTGTAATTTCACTCGGCATCATTTATTGTTCGAATGTCATAGTATGTAGCACAAAACTGATGCTCCTTTCTCTGACAACATTGCGCCGATTGATAATCTCTAGCATCACACATTGAGTTCGAAGGGTGAGGACCATTTTGGTACAACGAGGATAAGAGCATGAGTGAGGTTCTTTTTCATGAACTCGAATTCTAATTGGCCTTTTTTATCGAATTTAAAACACTTGCTTAAACCACTAAAATGTGAACCGCTCACGGTAGTCTATATCGGTACATACTCAGGTCAGTTTCCGACAACATTGGCTATTTTGCTAGATGACCTTAGTTGAATGATCTATACTAAGAGATGACATATATGAGTGATGGGTTTTGTAAATGGGGTTAGTCAGGTGACTAGTTAAGAAATTCGACTTTTTAATTTGTTTCTACTTTCTACGCAATGGCGCAATCAGACGACAACATAGAAATTAGAATAATCCATTCGTCCATCGTTCTCCATCCAAGCGGTAAACCAATATCCATCGTCCATTCAAATATCTATCAACGGACCTGCATATCGATCCGTGTCTTTCATCCTCATTGGTCGAAAGACAAGTTCGCACTCTCTATATAAATCCAACCGCTCCCTTTCTTCAGTCTAACAAATCAATTGCGTTTGTCATCCTTCTCCCGAGCTCGTGTTCCTGCAAATTCCTCTCATTTTCTCTCAAAGGTTTTCTTTCCCGGGGAAATTTGATTCAGAGATGGCCGGTAGGGGGAAAACCCTAGGTTCTGGTGCCGCGAAGAAGGCGACCTCCAGGAGCAGCAAGGCTGGTTTGCAGTTTCCCGTCGGCCGTATCGCCAGGTTCTTGAAGGCCGGCAAGTATGCCGAGCGTGTTGGTGCCGGTGCCCCTGTCTACCTCGCGGCCGTTCTCGAATACCTTGCCGCTGAGGTTTGTATTCAATTATCCTTCTCTTGTTCTTCAACAATAATTCTTGGTAGTTCTGTGTTGTCTTTTGGATCTAGGGTTTTCAGAGATTGTCAGAAACCGTAAGAAATAACGTTCAATTAAGCAATTGTCTTGTAAAGACGAAAGCTTTCTGCGCTTCAAATGCCTCAATTGAGGATGAGAGAATTAGGGTTCGGATTTATTGTTTGACGACTCCATTCCTCCCAAACCAATTAGGGGTCTAGGATCCGCAATTTCGTATTTCAATCTTGTTGTTTCTTTCTCGTTTGTTTACTAATGTGAAAAATAAACTAGGGTTTGGAGGTTTATCGGACGAAAATTGAACCATGTTTGTTGGGGTTTCCTGGCAGGTGCTTGAATTGGCTGGAAACGCAGCAAGAGACAACAAGAAGACCAGAATTGTGCCCCGCCACATCCAGCTTGCGGTGAGAAATGACGAGGAATTGAGCAAGCTTCTCGGAGACGTGACAATCGCCAACGGTGGTGTGATGCCCAACATCCACAACCTTCTCCTCCCAAAGAAGGCTGGCGGGTCTGGATCCAAGGCTTCTGCCGACGACGAGAGCTAAACCTGTCAGAAGAGGAGGAATCTTTTTCTTCATCAACGGGAATTGCAAATTAGGGGTTAAAGTTTGGTTTTTTTGTTTTTGGTTTGTGTCCGCATTTGTGATAGTAGGAGGAAAGTCGGTATCTTTAGTAGGTGGGGTGGTTTATGTTGAAATTGTAGGGCAGGGTGTTGGATTAGGTCTTAGGCGAGAATGGTAGAGAAGTTAGCTGTAATTGATTTGTGTGTTCTTGATCTAATGTCCTCTGTTTCACTCAACAGCTTTTCTGCAGATGCTTATATTGTAAATTCACTGTTTAGGTAGTTTGATTGCCTTGTTTCAATCTTGTGCTCTGCTTTCCACTAGCTTCCATTCTCTTCTTAAAAAATCTCCTATTGAGTCCTTTATTTCATTGCAATCAGAGCTGTATGGTAATTGGTACTTCCCTTCTGCGTAGTTGGCAACTATATTTTGCCCGGACAGAGATGGGAAACTGCATTTTATGGTAATAGACAGAAATACCGACGTGCATTTTCGATGGCTTCATGTTGATTAGATTGTCATGGAGTTTTCTTGATGGAGTTCAATTATCTTACTACTTAAGCTCTTCCTTAGTGCAACAAAAAAAAAAAAAATGTTCTTTTGTGCTTCCTGATCTTCTAGATCTGAAGTATTGTGAGCTGCGATATATTTGCTGAGCACATATCTATATACATTTCAATAAATAAAAAAAGTATTCAAAGTGCTCATACTAGCAGCAGCCAATATACTTCTAAATCAAACCCACTCTGTTAGTATACATATTCTTTGAACAAGTATCCACGTTTCATTAGATTGTATCCATTGCACAATAAAATGAATTCAACACTTTCAGACTAATATTCAACTAAGGCTGACTATATGGTCCAGGTTTTTTGGTTTTATTCGAAATCGGACCGTATAATTTGGACTGAGACCGGATAGCGAAGAATATAATCCTATCTTCGGGCCCAAATTTGAGATAAAAAATCGTTTGGGACCTGACCGAAAACCGGATAAGAGAGCCCAACACCCAAGATTTAACCTTCTAACCCTTTCAGTTATGAGGCCACTCAAATCCCCCCTCAGCCCACTCAAATCGCTACAAGGTCAATCTAAAATCAAGACCGAAATGAGACTAAACCGGTTCACGACGAGACTGTATCCAATCCAATCTTTGGTCCTTATATTCTCGAAAAGAAGAAAGCGACCGGATCAAATCAGATCAATTTAACCGAACCGGACCGTATAGTCACCCCTATATTCAAGATTCAACTACAAATGGACACTAATTAGTGGACTCGTAACAATGAATATTAGTATTCATTTTCTCCAAATATGTATCCACACTAATTAAAACGTACTCATTGGCTGGCCTCCAACATGGTCAGACTAGTATCCAACATAATTTGAAATCGTACCGACTAACCCGTATCCATTGATCTAAAAAAAGTACTCAGCACCTCCAGGCTAATATTCAACAACAAATGGAAAATGAAATAGAAGGTTACTCTACCGATATAGCAACTCTTAAAGCGCATAAACATTCCAAAACTCAAGATCATATGAGCGACAAAATTGGTGCCCTAGGCGGCAATGGCCATCGATTTTCAAGTCCTTTTGGGAGCCTTGTATTTGAATGATGTTTTCTCATGGTTTTGTCTCCATGAGCAACTAGTTCGTAGTTGAGTAGGTTTGTGAACCCTAAAAGTTCTTTATAATGTGTAACTATTGATTCTGAGTATATATAAGTATTTGAGTTTCTTATTTTATGTGCTTGATATCTTAGTTTGATTTTTTTTTTTTTTGTCATTGAAATCTTGGTAGATTTACAAGGCAAGGATAAGGGTAGCCACAACAGATCGGCACACTCACTTATCAAAGGTCATAAAAACAAGTATATATAAGTATTTGAGTTTCTTATTTTATGTGCTTGATATCTTAGTTTGATTTATTATCAATGAAATTGCGTGTTAAAGCAAGGTTAATATCGCATGAGATGTAGACTTTAAAATATGACTTTGTATTGGATGTGATTGGATACGACCGTCCTTCACAATCGATCATCAATCGAATGAACTACGTGACACTTAGAGGGAGAAATCTGTAGGGTCATTGTAACCTACTAGATATGGTAAACGCAATGACATAAGGTAGGAATAAAACTTACAACAATCAAACAACTCAAACATCATCACTGTAACAGAAGCAAGCCTAAGGAAACTCTAGGCTTTCTACTTATGTTCTTCTCGTCCAAAGTAGTTTAGGTTTTCATTTATTTTCTTTTCTTAATTCAATGGGGAAACTCAATCTTGGAAGTACCTCAACTTCCACATTTGTTTTAAAGCTCTAAAGAACAAGTCCTTTACTATTTGATTAAGTGATCGTGAGAGACCCTATGAGAATACGATCTTGATTACCAACCAGGTAAATTTGTGTATGTTCTATGACTGATCACCTATCTCTTAAGTTGCGAGGCATCACTTAGACTAGTGGTTGGTTCAATGATCACGTCTCCCAGCCAAAATTCTAGAAAACTAAGATAGTGTATGAGCTTGCCCACGTTGATTTTAACTTTTGAGGGAACCATAAAAGATTAAAAATGTAGAGTAGCACTTGGTTTCCCGTTTGGAAGTCTTTCTTGTTCAACCTTGTATCAGTATGATGCTTAGTGCGTTCTTTATAAAATTTAGTACTTTCATAGGCATGAAATCTAAACTCATAGAGTTCATGGATTGATTATTGCATTCCTCGCCCAATAGCTCCAACTCCATATTAAGTTCTTTGATTTTCCAAAATTGTGTTATAGTTATACTGGTAACTGGAAAGCTCTCGCACAAACCGTCCAATAGGGAGGTGTTTTGATTAGATTCTTATAGGCAATGTGGTATCCCTAAGAGCCTCATCAAGTTTAGTCGACCAATATCTGTGAGAATGACCAATTATCTTCTACAAGATTTGTTTGTGATATCCACTTTTAAGTTTTTTTTTTTTATGACAGGAAATAGATTAGAGTGAGGCGCTCCAAACTGACCACATACTCGCTCGAACTTGCGTTGCAAGTGGGTGCCCAATCATTGATAATGTCACATTATGTACAAAATTGAGCAAAGAGTTTCTTCAAAAACTTCCCCTCTGCCCACTTCAAGACATAGTCCACATGAACTATAATGTACTCGTTTCCAAGGGATGGACGGAAGGGTATCATAAAGCTGATTCCTCAAACATTGAACTGTTCCATCAATTTAATAGTTGGGGCATATTGTTCCCCCAACATACATTTTCCAAAATGTTGTCATGCATCTCATGCCTTAGGGTATCAATCTCAAACTTGGAAGATCGTAGGCTAGTAGAATCCACATTCTAAAACCTTGCAAGTCATTTTGATGGTTAGACCCACCTTCGAATAATTCTATCTGATTCGGTACAAATGAAATGTTGCTCATCCCATAAATAGTATTTTAGATATACAAATAACTTCTTCTTTTTACAGTCGAGAACATATAGTGTCTCTTTGGTAGTCATATAGGTTGTCATGTTAGCGAAACAAGGACCCTGTGCCTCTTCAATTAGTATCGGAAAATTTAATGATCAGGGAAGGAGTTATTGATACCAACCCATGGCTGTGGATTGGATTCACCATCCTTGGCATGAAAATATATGAGTGCTCGGTGATCGATGCAGATCATCATATAATATATCACTAGATAAGAGCAAAAATTACAACTAACACACATGCATTAGCATTCGTTCTTTCTCCATGGTCGTGTAATTTCACTAGGCATCATTTATTGTTCGAATGTCATAGTACGTAGCACAAAACCGTTGCTCCTTTCTCCGACAACATTAAGCCGATTGATAATTTCTAGCATCACACATTGAGTTCGAAGCGTGAGGACCATTTTGGTACAACAAGGATAGAAGCACGAGTGAGCTTCTTTTTCATGAACTCAAATATATGAGTGATGGGTTTGTAAATGGGGTTAGTCCGGTGACTAGTTAAGAAATTCGACTTTTTAATTTGTTTCTCTCCGCAATCAGACGACAGACACCATTCGTCCATCGTTCTCCTTCATCCAAGCGGTAAAACAATATCGACCGTCCATTCAAATATCAATCAACGGACCTGCATATCGATCCGTGTCTTTCATCCTCATTGGTGGAAAGACAAGTTCGCCCTCCCTATATAAATCCAACCGCTCCTTTTCTTCAGTCTAACAAATCAATTTCGTCTGTCATCCTTCTCCTGCTTAGAATATTTCTCTTAGCTTTTTTCGAGCTCGTATTCCTGCAATTCCTCTCCTTTCCTCTCTCAAGGTTTTCTTTCTCGGCAAAATTTGATTCAGAGATGGCCGGTAGGGGGAAAACCCTAGGATCTGGTGCCGCGAAGAAGGCGACCTCCAGGAGCAGTAAGGCTGGTTTGCAGTTTCCCGTCGGCCGTATCGCCAGGTTCTTGAAGGCCGGCAAGTATGCCGAGCGTGTTGGTGCCGGTGCCCCTGTCTACCTGGCCGCCGTTCTCGAATACCTTGCCGCTGAGGTTTGTATTCAATTATCTGTTTTTCAACAATAATTCTTCGTAGTTCTGTTCAATCTTTTGGATCTAGGGTTTTCAGGGATTGCGGAAACCGTATCAAATCAGTTAGATTAAGTAATTGTCTTATTAAGATGAGAGCTGTCTGCGCATACATGCCTCAATTCAGGACGAGAGAATTAGGGTTCGTATTTCATGTATCCAAACCAATTTAGGGGTTTCGGATCCGCAATTTCAGTCTTTCATTCTCTTGGTTTCTTTCTCCTCTGTTTTACGAATGCGAAGAAAAAAACTAGGGTTTGGAGGTTTATCGGACGAAAATTCAACAATTTTTCTTTGGGTTTTCATGGCAGGTGCTTGAATTGGCTGGAAACGCAGCAAGAGACAACAAGAAGACCAGAATTGTTCCCCGCCACATCCAGCTTGCGGTGAGAAACGATGAGGAATTGAGCAAGCTTCTCGGAGATGTGACAATTGCCAACGGTGGTGTGATGCCCAACATCCACAACCTTCTCCTCCCGAAGAAGGCTGGCGGGTCTGGATCCAAGGCTTCTGCCGACGACGAGAGCTAAACCTGTCAGAAGATCTTATCTTCATCAACGGGAATTGCCAATTAGGGGTTAAAGTTTGGTTTTTTGTTTTTGGCTTGTGTTCGCAATTATGATAGTAGGAGGAAAGTCGGTATCTTTAGTAGTTGTGGGGTTTATGTTGAATTAGTAGGGCAGGGTGTTGGATTAGGTCTTAGGCGAGAATGGTAGAGAAGTTAGTCTGTAATTGATTTGTGCTTTCTTCTACCTTATTTTCTCTCTTTTCACTCAACAGCTTTTCTGCAGCTCTGCTTATATTGTAAATTCACTGTTTTAGTAGGTTGACTGCCTTGTTTCAATCTTGTGCTCTGCTTCCCAGTTCCCACTAGCTTCCATTTTCTTATTAAAAAAAATCCCCTTTTAAGTTCTTTATTTCATTGCAATCAGAGCTGGATGATACTTCAATTATAAGATGGGAAACTGCATTTTATGGAAGAGATTTAATCATTCTGCCAATAGTCAGAAATACCGATGTGCATTTTCGGTGACTTCATCTTGATTAAATTGTCCTGATGACTATTGATACATACGATGTTGTTTGCTTGATGGAATTCAATTATCTTACTGCATAATGTGCTTTGAATTTGCAACACTCCACACTGTGAATTGTACTAAAAATTTAGCTACTATTGCTACAAAGAAGGCGATGACCCGACAACTATATCAAACCAAGATTTTTGGAGACAGACATGCAAAATACAGATACAGAATATATATGATGAAATCATTTGAGTAAAGAAAGCCAAAACGATAGCCAATGTGACAAATTGCTACCCCAATTTCTCAATAATCACATTCATTCCCGCTTCAATATTCAATCTTGGAATGGTTAGATCATCCACACCACCGGAAGTAAACTCAATCTCGGAAAAAAGCCATATCTAAAGGCACAGCCAGATTGGTACACGCTAAAACACACTACAAAAAAGAACCCTTCTTGGTTTATCTTACACAACTAACTACCTGTTAAGTACCTAAAATGGTTTCTGATTATCCATACACTCAGCAACAACTAATTGGCAAATAGCGAAGCAACAAACACAATCGAGGTAACTCCATCATTTTACAGAAAGCGTCGCTAACTGCAGCGTCAGTCGACAAGGGTTGTAAATCGTAATTCAATCATCATAAGCTTGTATTGGGGTTGTTCCCAGCAAGGATAAGAGAGATCTCCAAGCCTCTGCTGAATGCTTGATTGAACATGAGACGGGTTTGGAATGTTGACACGAATGGGAACCACGAGAACAATGCGATTGGTATGAAGATGATCATTCCCATGCCTGCATCGTACAAACGGGCAATTGAACGGATTGACTTCCACAGCCCAAGCTTCTTCATCAAAGGCTTCCAAGCCGCAGCAATCTGGAGGAAAGAACAAGGTATGTATTGGATCTACATGAATCTGAATCATGTATGTATATCACTAGTGCCAGTAGATAGGTCCTGCCTCCTCTAATATCTCAGTTTGAGATCTCTACTACACATGACATGAACTACAATATCTAACTTTGCATTACTTTGACGCAGCTTCAGTTGCATGCGCAATTTCAGTTGCAATCAGACACGGAAGTGTCAAAAAAAGACAATTGTTTGTTTAAATGTGTGCTATTGCAAATATCTCAGACACACCCAAACCCTGCTTCTAATAAAAGCAACCTGAAAAGTTGAGATGATGAGAGCACTCACCGATAAAATTCCCCATCCAGTAGGAATGAAAGCTAGTATGCCAGCAAATATGTCTGGCACTGACAGATTGGTGAACACAACTGCAACCGCTAAACCAGCTATTGCCATCAAGAAGGCGACACCTTGTACAAACCGCAGCAGTAGCTGGAAGTTGACAGATATTTTCTGACTGAAAGTGAACACCTGAAAACCAATAGGTTTCAACGGAGGTTCAATTTCCAAACCAAAAAAGGAACAAGGCTCGTAACAGCTAGGCAAATTGAAATACATATTGCATACCTTGAAGAGAATTATAAGCACCGCTAAGACAACCCATGATAAACCGTATACCTGAAAAGCAGCAAATACAGCTTCAGATATTTTGGTGCGGTGCAAATTTTTTAACAAAAAACCAATCCTGGTAATGATTGTTCCACTGCCATGCTAGGCTATTATGGCAGGGGAAGTTGTTCTTATGAAAGACTCCCTACGGCGATGTTGGTAAGGCAACCTACACAAATCTAGCTTTTATAGTGATCCTGTCAGGAAAGCATTACATGAATGACAATCACAATCTTTAGAGCAGGAAGAACATGACAAAATCCTACAACACCAAAACAACTAGGATTGCAAGGTTTTTCAGAGAAGAGCTGCACATTGTAACATCTGGTAGTCAGTTAATACATGCTAGCTCATGGATTGGATGTGAGATTGTTTATGTGTGAGCAATCATCAGCCTTTTTGTGCCGTTATCACACGCAATAAAGGTTTTTAGTACAAAAAAGATGGTTCAAGTCTATTTGCTGAGTTCTACAACTGCAAAAGCACCAAGAACTAGCATTACAGGGACTTGCTATTGAGATCCCCTTGTCAGAAAGAAGTCATAAAACAGTAGCCACCAAACTAATAATAAATGCAGCACTTACTGTCAATGAGGTATTATTTCCTTGAGCATCGAGCTTATACACGATGCCATACTGGAATATGAAAAATCTGAGACTCAAAATAGTCTCCATGATCCTCCCACTGAAAGTCCTGATATGTGCCTACAGAGAGCAAGATTAATAAGACCACAAGCAATACAATCTAAGCCAAACAAGAAATCAAAATACAACTAGAGACAATACCAGTTCTTCCTCCCACCAAGCTTCCCAGCTTTCTTCACCCTTTACACCAATTCCACCTCTATAAAGCAGCCAATTGGTCCAATCCCTAAAGTCCTCTACTGTTCTGAAAATGAAACAAAGAAGGTATCAGTGGTAAATCCATCAGCTTGTAAGCTTACCTACTGAAACTCCAATAATGTTCGTACTTTTGCCACTCAAATCCAGATGGATTGAACAGGTAGGGGGCATAAAGCCAGGAGAGGGCCATAAACCAGCTGCTAACTGTAAGGAGAATGTATGAAAGTGTTCCACCTTCATTATAGCCATACGCAAGGTACACTATCAGCAAAACCACAACCTCTAGCCTGCACACAAGATAATTGGACACGTTACTCCAAGCTTGGACATACAAAAACCTCATTCACAGCTGAAAATGCACACCAGAACACTCAGGGGGAGAAAGATAAATACCCCTTGACAAAATGACTCCGGGAATAAAGGCGGTAGTTTTCACAGAATCTTATATGGCGGACAACAAACCCCCTCCCAGTAGCTTGGTACTGAGCATAAAGAAGAAGATATATGTTAATACATTGAGAAGCTAATCAAAATAGTAAGAAATCTGAAGGCACTTTTATCGGATGTCCCAAAAGGGACATATATATGAAGGCCAAGAAAAAGGAGGGAATAATAAAAAAACTGGAGGCATACCCTTGCACCACCATGAAGAATAGTTCGTCCAAAATAATGTGTCTTGGTGCCCAAAGAGAATGTAAAGAAGACAGAACAAAGCTGCAGTTGCATAGTGACGAAACTGACAATTGCCTGTGGCATTGACGATGGATAATCAAGTTCACAATATTTCACTTCTTGGGTCATAAGTGTTAAACAGGGAAGCAATGCAAATGCAGTGTATTTTAAATACTTGAACTGTCCATGCATCAATTTCAATAGTGGCAAGCATGGAGATAACATAGTAAACGTAGTCAATCATGCAACTACAACTGGCAAGTTACTGAAAGAAAATGCAAAATCACAGAGAATGTGTTGTGGGATCAAAGTTGAGGAGGATAATCAATTACACTGACAGCAGAGGGAATGGCCTAGTGCTCATGCAGAGCAAGAGATGGAATGCAAATCAACAGAAACTTTTGTCTGTTCATCAGCTAAAATGAAGTCAACAGGTGAAAATAAGATCTTACCTTTAGGAAACCCTGTTCCAAGATGAATCCCAAGATCATTGGCACAGCAGTAAAAATACCGATCTGAAAGAGAAACTGCGTATTTAGAGCGGCGCTCAGGGCAGTGTTCTGCAATATTTGGGCTCTCTCTTGGATAGTTTCACCAACTCCAGATAGTGCCTAAAAAGAGGAAAAAGAACTGAGATAGTAAGGTAGAGAGACAAAACTTGCACGGTAGATGCTGAGAAGAGTAACTTGAAATAAATTAGTCTATTTTTTGGTGAATAGGAAAAAATAGACAAATTTGAACGAATCAGGTAAACGATGAGAAGAGTAATTTGAAAAAAATTGTTCAGTATAAATACTAACAGGCGAATAGAAATTATGTTATTAAGCCACCAGATCAAGTGACAGGCAGTTTGAAATGCAAGTTCATAATGACCCGTTTTAACTCTAATCAACATTCATCATTCACACATACCATTGTTCTTGCATGTACAAAGTGCATTTTAACTAGAAACATAAACAATACAAATTATTCTATGCAATCTCTTTCACACTAATAGTGGGAATGTCATGCTTACCAGATATGCCTTCCCGTATAGGAAAACGTACACTGTCAGCACAGTTAACTGCAAAATAGGTTTCACATAGGAGCCTGTTAGTGATGTACAACAAGGGGAACAGTTAACATGATATATTTCTCAGGCCTATTTCCATGATGCTTTTTATGTTCAGCTAGATATTGATTTTTTTACGGTAAACTAGATATTGATAATTAAATAAGACAAGCAGCACTTCTAAGTTTTCTGCTGTATGGGCAGATTCAATTATTGTGCAATGAACAAGTAATTTTTGGTCACTGTATCATCAACTGTGATAATAAGACATCCAGGTGTAATAGAAGCGAGGGACTTCAACTAATGGCACCTGTTCAATGCAAATTGCCCTACTATGATCTAGTTTTTTTTCCTTCAAATTTTAAAATGGTAACATGAGCTCAACATACCATTGTACAGAAGTAATAACCCACTGTGGTGAAGTAGAATGACATCATTCGAAAGAAATCAAAGAGCTGACCGAGCCTGAAAACATCCCGGCTAAGAACCTGCTCACCGTTGCCACCGGCAACTTTCCCCTCGAATAAAGCAATCTGATTGAGGCCGACATCTCTTCCTTTTCCAACCTGTAGATTAGATAGGAACGATTAGCACTCAAGTCAAAACCTTCAAGAAGTAACAACAGGCTGAAGATAACCTGTATGTACTCATGGTGAGTAATGTTTCCTTGGCGCAAGGTTGAATTGAAACCTGTATGAGTGGTACAAAACAAGTTAACATTAATGGAATCCTGAATTTGTAACCATTGGCTAGAATATGCAGATGGAAAGATAATTTCTAACATGATTAAACACATGACCCAAATAAACTAAAGGATAGATCAAATCTGTCCTTGGATTGGCAACATAAGAGAAGCAAAGAAGTACTTGTTGAAGCAAAAACTTCTTGGATGCAAGTTTCTGGAATTGGGGTCCTTCATACAGGCACTATTTGTGACGTCAATTTAATCGAAAAAGCATGTCAACTTGTGATGCCAAAGCCATATGTTTTTATCTCTCACATTTCATATGGTCCTGGTATCTAAAGGAAACCATCTATATACACATAATCAAAGAAAGGCAAAAATTTAAGTCTGTAAAATCAAACAGACATGCCTGCAAATATATCTTCACTGATGTTGATGACACGGGAAGCCTTGCTTATACCACCACGCGTGATGTGAAAAACTCTGTCAAAGACATCTGGATGACCATAATGCATCCGGACCCTGACATTTAAGAATATGAATGTCATGGTGCAGGACCCAAATTATTACCAGGCTAAGTAATTGAACTTATTAAGCTACTTACTTTAAGGGGTTCGATAGAACTCGCTGGCCAAGAGTTACAAAGCTCGTTTCTTGATTTGACATAAATGAGGCTAGAGAAGATACACTGTGAACAAACAAATTTAAGAATCACATGAGTGGGAGTGATATCTCAAATCTTTTTCTCGGGAAAAGTTTGAAGAGATGCACCTTCCAGTAAATACATGTTCCCTGACACCAAGGATAGTTGGAGGGCGGATACCATGATCATGATGGAATTCCTCAAGGAGATTTCTCATCTTCAAGGCTTCCTCGAAATAATTATCCTACATGATAATAAAAGGCTCTATTTATGTAAAAATGTATAATCTACATGGACAATACAGCAGCCACGAAGCATCAACTCACACAATATGAATTGAGCCAGCAGTCAATAGAATGACTTGGTACCAACAAGAACGAATACACACCGAAGTAAGGCACAAGCACTTGAGCAGTAATTAACACGGAAACAGTTATTTCCAGTTGTCAACTGAGCTCAAGATTAAGAAATTGAGAGATCAACATAAGGAACCAAACAACTAGTACAAGGAAAACTGAGAAGAAAAGCAGAAAATTGCCAGCAGGCCACCTCTTTGTCCTCTATAAGGAGACAAACATGAAAGGGCAGAATGACATCCCTAGATATTAGAAAAACAACTAGAAGAAACAAGATTAAGTAACAGTTTCCATTGACAGGTACGATAGAACCATAGGTACCAGTACGCCAAACTCGTCGCATCCACCACTCTAAGTCTACTTTGCTTCACATTACAATAATCACAATTGCACATGGAATCATTAGTTTCACCCTTCTACTCAATACCACACTTGCAAAGAACAAGTTTCATCCATAAAAAAATCACCCGAAGAACTTCATGTTGAATCAAGAGCTGAGCACAAGTTGCAAAACTGAACTTCCTTTAAACTACAATAACTATGCTCAAGATGGACCACAAGAATTACATGGCCACAAGTTCATTTACGGCTGACGAATTCAGCCAACCAATGGCAGTAAAATTATATTACCAGTAGATATCCCTCCGGGGATGCCACAGCATGCACTCAGGCTAAGAGAACAGTTTGCACAAAGCTATTATGGAGGTCTAGCAAGTTCAAGATAATGTAAACAAGTGTAATGTACCATAACAAGTTGATTACCTGATTCATATCGATCGTCTGAACTGCACTTCCACGTGTAAAAACAATAGCATGGTTTTGATTCTCAGGTTTTCCCTCTCCAATTTTTGGATTTCCTGGTAACTTTATCGAGTATATTTCCTACAGAATGAAATGTCATGAGCACCAATCCAATCAGACGAAAAGAAGACAAGACTTAGAACTGATGTAGTACACTAAAGGATAAACATCCCTGAGCATCAGAAACAAGTAGACGATAAGATATCCACTTCAATTTTAAGAAGCAAGCAGACCTTAAGAAACAAATGTAAGCATGCGAGTCTAACATCAAAGCTGACGATTTTAAAGAGGGGCAATGGGAGTAACCAATAACATCAAAAAGGAAGGGGGAAGAAAAGAGAATTTCCATTTGTGTAAAAAAGGTCTAATTACTAATCATCCATTGCTAGAGGTCATGAGTATTCTCTTGTCAGATCTTGATGCAAAAGGAGAAGCAGGTATTGTTGTCTTCGAGGGAAGTTTAGTACATCCACTGAGAGCTATTCAATGATAAAATATAACTACCACTGTCACTGCGAAAAAAAGGAATAAACATAACCCCACTTATTTTTCATCCAATAGTTACATGTACATGCATAGGATATAGTTCAATTACTGAAAGAAAAGGTATCCGGACTTTTGGTCAAGTGAACCAATACAATATCTCAACAGCAGAACCAAAGAAGAACTAAAGATACCTAATATATAAATCCCAAAATGAAAGAACGTAAATATAATACATGGAAGTTTGAAATAATTCAATTCAGAAACTCAGAAATATTATGAACAATAGGGGAATGAGCGAACCTTATCTTTCCCGTTAATATCAGCTTTGACAAGCTTGGAGAAAAATTCTCTCTGCACTCTTCCCTCTTTCAATGTTTCAACTTCATCGATAAAAGCGACACGAAGAGCTTCATTTCTAGTTTCAAAAGCAGAGAATTAGCAGTGCAAGCATAATTTTCATGGCAGGATAGGGCATAAAGAATATAACTGACTACCCAACAAAGAAAGACCCCCAAGCCCCATAGATGACATAAAAGAAAATGATCCTGACGTGTCAAATTCACAATCATTCAAGAACTATCATTCTCTAGGTTAATTCATTGAACGTAGTGGCAAGCACATTTAATCAAATTGGAGCTCAATTCGATTCGGGATATTTTTACAGCAAAGCTTTCTTTAGCAGGAGTCGAAGATGACATAGCAGTAGAAGTCGCTTAGAGATTACCTTTGCATAAGCAGTGCAATATCAGTAGCCTCAGGCTTCTGTTCTTCCTTTTGTTTCCCATATATTTGGCAAGTCACCACGTACGTAAACTTTAGATCTGCCTGTGCTCTGGCCTCAGGAGATAACTCAAAACCTTGGGTATTGGTCGCATCTTTTGTACCAACAGCAGCTTCCTCATCTGGAATATGCTTACACTAGGTTCGTCAAAAGAAAAAAGAAAAGGAAAAAAAGGGGGACGATGTAAACACTGAATACACAGTATCTCTCACCTTCAGCAGTCCCTCTCTCTAAGTAACTTTGAAGCATAATAGCCTTCCTGTAGTACATCATGCCCCGCACTGAAAATACAAAGCCAAAGCTCAATACAACATCAAGGGAGTTGAAAAATACAAAAGGCAAACATTCTATGCAATAAGCATCAATGGCCATCAGGGTTCATCTGTGCAGAAGAAACCAATGACTGGCAACATAAATATTCAAGTAACAAAGAGAAACAAGAACTTAACAATGCAAGACTAATTATGCATGAAGCCACCTCCAGTACTAAGCCTGACTAATGTACCGTCCAAAACCCACACAATTAGTACATATCTTATAGGTTCAATGAACAAAGGTGAAGTATAGGAGGATGAACGAGGATATAGCGCAACGGTAAAGCTCGCTGCCTTCCAACCTGGAGATCCCAGGGGCGCCGAAGGGAAGCCTTTGGTAGCATTCCGCTCTCACCTGGGACGGGTTTGGCCTGACTACGGCATTACCGAAGGTGGTGACCGTGGAGGGTGTTCATCGTCAAAAAAGAAAAAAAGTACAGGACGATGAATGTGGCTTATAATAAAGGGAGTCGGTGTGGCGTAAAGTGAAGATTGAGGGAAGTAGAGAAAAAATTCCCTTTTGGGGTATACAACACTTCTAAACAAAGTACAATAGCAGCCATGGCCTATGGCAACCAGAAAATTTACCACCTAAGTAACTCATATACAAGCGGCTCATTCGGGATGACACTACAGCTTTCTATTAGACCAAGCTTAACTTTGGAGGCCAAAAGGCCAAAGGCTAAACCTACAAAGCTCCATTTAGATGTGGCTTCATCCCCTCCAAGTTAGCCTTTGGCTATATATGGACAGTGAGCCATGTAGGGGAGGGGGAGAGGGGGCAAAAGCAAATAGCAGCAGCAACCGCGGGGCCACATGGACGCACGGAAGGAAGTCCTATTCGCACACTTGTGCTGGACATCGGCCCCTCCGCAATGTTGTTGCTGGCTAAATTTGAAAGATTATTGGGTTGCAGCAAACACAGATGTTGGGGAGGAACCTAAAAAGCTGAAGTGGGAGTTTTAGGAGGCTAAATTTAGCTTCCACAGTTGCGGTCAGCATTAGAACAATTGATTTTGAAAGACACATAAACAGTACTGAACTCCCACATATGGAGAATATTGAAAACCGACAAGGCATAAAGACCCACCCAACTCCAAGCCAAATTCTTAATGAGTTGAGATGACACAAGAATGAGAGTCATTATCAAATCCATAAACAAGTATTGAGTTTAGGCCTAGTTGTCAAAGCATGAGTCCAGTACAGAGTAGTGCAACCAAATAAATGAATTATGAAGGAATTTCCCATCAGAACTTGAATAGAAATATATTCTCAAGAAGCAACAAAGCCACTCAAGCTAATAGTTAGTGATGTTGAATAGAGACAGAGAAAATTTACCTGTTCTAGCTAGTGTTTGACCCCTATATGAAGCCCAAAAACGAAGCTCAAGGATGTCAGCAGGACTGTCAAACAGTTCTGTATCGGTAGAATTTTCATCACGACCGATTCGAGCAAGAAAATTCTTCCACTCATCTGTACCAGCATATGACAATAGTTAGGATACAGTTTATATGTTTTAGGATGTGCTTAAAGCTAGAAAATTAAATATTTGTCAGTGTACATATCGACTACAAGACCGACTGTTGTATCGAGTAGACGGTAATACCGAAAGTTCTGGAAAAATGACTTACAGATATGGCAATTGAAGACCTTTTTCGTTTCAGAAAGATTAGTAATTAACGATTAGATGTACAAGAAACTATATAAGATGCACATAGATTACGAATTACAGAATTTTGGAAATATCGGATGTTCCTAAAGGGACGAATTTTGGAAATATAGTAAAACACAATGAAATTCTCTGTACGTCCATTAATGATCGTACGTTGGCAAGACAGTTTAAACTCCTCAACTCAGCAACCTGAATTAATCAGGTAATAATTCTTGAGAACTAGTAGACAGTACCTGGTTGGACTAGGTTACGAATTCATACCAACCCAAAATATTATCAATATTGGTAAATTTAGATATGCTTCAACCTTTGCCATTATATCCATGTGATCAACTGAAATTAAGAAATGGCTTCATCCACTTTAGATTGATCAAATTAGGAGAACTAAATTATAGTAGAACAATCTGAAGAACTGATAGTAAATTTGAACTTTATTATTATTTTAATTTACATAAAAGCCTAATATACAGGCAACACTATGAGTATGTGATCAACAAATGCTCATAAATTATGTCAATGAACTGTTTAACCACAAATAAGTAAATCGTGTAGTTAAGTGCCTAACCCACTAGTCCCTCTTTACTTGACCTTGTAATGGGTAGTCATGCAAATAAATTGCCGCTGTTTATTATAAGAATATCCTTAAGATCTCTATACTTTGACCTTGTAGGGCAGATATATCATCATTCCACCAGCCAGGTTTCCCAAGAGCCGGCACTAAAACATTTAATATTAATGAAATACAAATAATTGTAGAACAAAACGTACCTGGGTATATTTTCTGAAGGTAAAACAAGGTTGATATTCCATCCTCGTTCTTCTTAAGAAGCTCAGACATGCTGTAAAGAACAATCTCTGAATAGTATGGAGTAAACACACTGCAAACAAAATAAAATGGATCATGAGCTGGTAAATTGACTGTATAAGTATAAAAGTCAGAAAGCAAAGGAGCATGACAATGTAACATAAAAAGCATATAACCTGAAGGACATCATCTCTCGCACTGGCTTTGCTGCAGGCATATCCATAAAAAGTGAATTTGTGAAGAACTCCAGCCTACGCCTGGCTTCAAAATTGGTAGGAACATTGGCGGCAGAATCTTTGATGGTTAAGAGAGAATGTAACCTCTTGATTTGTGTTCTCTGCATGTCCACAGGTACATTTTAATGGAAATTCCATGACTGGTGGGTAAGAAGGTGAAATATGATCCAACCTACCAACTCTGGATCGCTAGGCCACTTCAAGTTTGTAAACAACCGGCCTTCAGTTCTTGCCTTTGACAGCAAATTCCATGTGTCATAATGCTCCCTATAAATTGAGTTGACAAAGTTCACAAAGATGAGGGAAAATCTCCAACAGTTCCAAGGAGTTGGCCTACTACTAATGGGTAACTGACCAACATCATCAGTCAACAATCCATTCAGCAACAAGAGATTGTACCAAACCTTTTGTCAATAGAAAGGACATCATGCTGAATAACATCATAAAGATCTTGAACAGCCTTAATTGCACCTTTTTCCATTTCTGGCGTTCCTGCCTCTTTCTGAAAATGAATTTAGACATAATGAAAGACAGTCAGAAGCATTTCGACTTCAAACAGGACAGGTGAAAGCCTCTATAACACCAAAATCATGATGCTTGCATCAGGGAAGAGGGCAGACTTGCTCCACTGATCCTGTCATCAAGCATGTTTGTCCTCTATGGATCAAAAGGTATTTAAGAGAATGGAAACTCACCAAAATTCCCATTAGAGCAGTCACTCTTTGAATAACAAGTGCCAACTTATTCAACTGGAAGTCAATGTGAATACTCCTGTTCTGTATACTTGCTTGAATGTCCTGATACACTCTTTCAGCCCTACGAGAAATAGAAACAAAGCTCTTGTTATAACTCTTACGGTCACAAATCCACTGATTAATAATCATGAGATGTTTACAATCATATGTTTCCACGAGAACTTACCACATCCTTCCTTCACCTTGTAATATTTCAGTCAGAATATATCTAAGAGCATTATAGCACTCCTCAACAGCATATTTCATATAGTCATCTTTTGAAACCCTCTCCCACAACTCATCTTGTGAATCCCTACTCTCCGCAGCAATATCCTTAGCCAAAAATATCTACATAAGACCAGGATACGTGAGCTTAGTAAGTTTGTCTGTCAACTTCCTTTTAATATAAAGAAGGAACTGCATGAGAAAGTTGAAAATGAAGGCAAAGGGGACCTTGTTGGCAAGAAGAAAAAGCGGCCATTGAACCAGTGTAAGATCTCCGGAATTTCTAGGCATTTCAAGCAACTCCATTTCGCTGCAAATAAAATATAAACAGGCATCAGACTGACTGCATTAAGTCAAGGTAAACTTGCACTATATGGTTTCAACAAATAAATTTATTAGACAGATTGTCAATTACTTAGATTATCAAAATCATAATTCAGCACAAGAAGTAGAGAAGAAAGAAAAGCACACATGATGCATATATATATAAAAAAGTGCAACACGGGCTTAAAAGACTGTAAAAATCCACAATAAGAATGTCTAGTGTAATAGAATGATGGAAATGCCAAATAAAATCCAGCCACACAGTTCTATTGATCATTCCTTGAAAAATGTCCTTAGACTATGATGCCTGTATTTGAAGGGTAAACAACATATGCACTAGTTTTCTAGACCTTGACGCAAAGAATGAAATGAGTAGACTTTCCCATTCACTGTCACGGGATAAAACGAGAGGGATGGGAGAAAGTTACATTCCGAATAAGGACATAGATAAAAGCCCTTCAATCATCTCATCACTACTGTAGTACTTTGGCAGCCACCATAACATATCTCATACGACCAAAAGAGAAACACCAAAAAATATCACACAAGACTGGGGAAAAAGCCACTAGCTTCTGTGATATGTGATGGTTAATCTAAATGAACCTCAAGGTCTGCTTTATAAATTCCACCTACTCCATTACAAAAGAAAAAAGAACAAAATTTAAACCCTTGGATAGACAATTACTATGAGCAAGACTGTAAAGCAACAATGTCTCTGTAAATATGTAGAGCACTTTTAGTCAATGCCCCGATGGCAATTGCAAAGCGAAGAGTTAGTTTATCAGATGTAAGAAGATGACCTATGACAGAGCCACAATTAACAAATAAAACAACAACTGGAATAGCAAGTTTGAGGAAAAGATGGATAAACTCCACTCACAAATTTGCAATATAATCCTCTTCCCTCAGATTCCTTATTATCTCATTCCAAAATGGGGAAAATCGAGCTGCATCAGTCTTTCTCTTCTCAATAGCCTTCAGAAACATACAAAAAACATATGGATGATCATGCTACTTTGGACGTGAATTCTTAAGAGCAGGAGGATACAAAGGGACTACACGACATAATATTTATGAAGATATTTGTTCAAGGATGCCTTGGTGGTGAAATGGTAGACACGTGAGACTCAAAATCTCGTGCTCAGTCATCCCAAGAAAAGTCCGTTAGTGAACAAGAAATAAGCAGGCTAATTGTCCACCCTTTCCAAGTGTGATTTCCCACTTGGGAGCTAGGTCCAATGTGAGTAGGATCACTTAGCCATGCTTCATAATTGGAAAAACCCGTCTCGATAATATTTTTCACTGTTCATAATGAGCTGTTCCGTGATAAAACCTGTTGTTAAAAAAAGCTTCCTATACCCACTTATCTTTCGGGTTGTAGGAGCTACCCGTAATAACGAACTTGCAAAATGAATATTATGTGTGGCTAACATAGAAATCGAATGCTGTGAGCACATTCAATACCAAATTCAGACATCAAGACCAGAAGATTAGGCACAGATAAAAGCATTACATGATAAATCATACAAGTTACTAGTTTCCCATACAATGAAAAGTTTAGACAACTAAAAAGCACAGAAGCAAAAGAAAACCAAGTGCGCTCATCTAATGTGAATATTCTTCCATGTCAAATTATAAATAGCAAACCTGTATAGAAATGTTCCCAGCCGTCCTGCAAAATAAATATCTGCTATGAAATCCCAGCATGGAAATATCAGAAAAAGAGATTTATAATCACAATGCTTGCATCAATGATGTGGATTAAAGTTAAAAAGAACACAATCATGCCTGTTATAATGCAGAGTCCTCATAAAGGCTGCGGGGAACTCCTCGAAAAGTTTATGGACAGATTCAATTGATCGAATCTGAAATTAGTAAATTGAAGTGAAATGTTAAAGATATGAACATATGCAATGCAATGGACATGTTGAATCAGACATGTCAGCAGAATATAAAAGCTAAAATGGGCTCAAATTCTTTATTTATTTATGAATAACAAGTGAAACAAATTGGATGGATAAAAACCAAGAAATTACCACCATCGCTTAATAAAGAGGTACAATCACTACAAAGTTACTCACTTCTCCAAGTCGGTCTCTAGCTCCAAGCAAAAACCCCCAAACAGCAGAGATAAGAGTGTAAAACACATGGATATCTAAAAGATAGATCTGCAGTGAAAGGAAAAGGAGATCAACATCACAAAATGTGAAGAGTCGAGAGATACCTTTCGTATCCCAAAGATAACCACTTGTAATACTAATACGGACGTTTGCTAACCAATTTATATTCATAACTTCTGCAAAGGAAAACAACCCTATTACTGCTATCGCTTTTAGAGGACATAACAGGTAATATACATTTGAAGGGATACAACTTAAGAGAAGATAAATAACTTGCCAGAGTAATTAGCTACCATTATGACAGAGTAATATCTCTTCTAGTACACACACACACACACACAAAATCAACATGGACACCATGTGGGGTCACAGAAAGACCTGACTTTTAATGTTAATGAATTAGTAAATTTATACTCAAACACTCAAGTAATTGTTTATTAGCATGAACTACAACTTACAGCAACTACAGGTGCCCAGAGGGTAACAACTGTCAAGGCATTATGATTATCTGCAAAAAATACATTTGGAATGGGGTCAAGGACAGGCAAGCCAACTAGGACAGATTAAATCACTAAGTATCATAGACCAAGCTACATACCAAGAAATTAAAACGTTCAACTTGAACATAATATAGAAAGACATACAAGTTCTGTTTCTTAAGGCAGTGTAAGGAAATAAGCACATTGAAGTATAACATGGTGTAGCCAAGAGAAAATTTATAACAAGAGTTTTCTGAACAGAAACTGAATACTCAGTAGACTTTATTTCAGAAATTTATTAATCAAGAATCAGAGGCTTCATGTTTTAATAGGTGCCAGCAAGCTTTCTGTAGACTTTAATTCAGAAAATATGATATACTAATTCAAATCCACACTTATATCTTCAGTCAACATGCAATAGCACATTCAATCTTGAAGCGTAACTTAAAACGAATATCGAGATAAGAATTTACCACCAAGTCATATACTGTTGGAAGAAAATTAGGAATTAAAATCATGAACTGAACTATATTGCAACAAATAATAAAAAATCAGAATCATCATCAAGACTCTAGACAGTTTACAGTGTCAGGGAATTTACGTTTAGACACAAGGTCATGCCAAGAGTATTGGATATTATCAGTCATACTGACAATAACTTTCGTTGGTTTCACCAGTGGTTTTATCTACAACATAGAAAAAAAAAAAAACAAATCAATGACGAAAAAGAATATGAAAGCTTATATCAATGCGTTGGGATTAGTTCACAAGTAGGGATGTAGCAAGTAACCTGAAGGAAATAAGCAAATGAAAATTTTGCACTCAGAATGACAAGCCAGAAAACCGTATACCTGCACCAGTAAACCATATTAATCAAAAGCCTGAACCGAAATTTGTACTTAGATAGCATAGACATGTAAATAAAATGAAAATTAGAAAGCAAACTGGATATTACTTGATGAAATCGCTAGTCCTTTCATACATTCCACGGCCAACATAGTACCGTTCCTTCAGGAAAAAAGATAACAAAAAATTAACATCACATGGTACCAAATAAGTATATGAACGGAACAAGATCCTCAAAGTAGGGAAATAAGAGCAACAAATAATAGTTGTGTAATGAGCAACGGAAAACCTGTCGCATCCATTTTACAAAACGAACGAGTGACCACTGATCACATTGATTAGTCAGGAGATGACAGGCTGGTATGCGCATTAGGAAACTCAGGAAAAACTGGACACCAGCATAAATTCCTATCACAATAACATATAGCTTGAAAATGACTGAACTTGTATCTTGCTCCTGCAAAGCTTTCCTGATAAAAAGAAGGAATAGAGAAAGATAAACCCAATGCTGTTTGCACAAACATAGATAAACTTGAAAGGCAAGAATCAGATGAGCACATACACATAAAGGAAACATATGAAGACAGAAGCACAGCTAAACCAAACGAATCGAAGAAGAATTCGAGAAACGGCGACACGGCGTGTTGTTGAATAGGCACCATACATCATGAGGACATCCAATACGCCTGCATCATGAAGTGAAAACAATTATAATAAACAAATTAACCAAATAGTTAGAAAAGAAGTATACGAGACGTTCCAACAGTGCAATAGAACTGAATGTCGATGATTATCTAAGAGGAGCCATACTCTCAAAAAACTTCATCACAACAAATGTTGGACCCAGACTCAAAATTTCCCTGAGAGTCCTAGAGTTGAAGCGCCCATCATTGAAAGCAATGACAGCAAGCCCCTGGAAAAAGGGAACATAGAGCTCAAGATTCATAAAACGAAAACCAAACTAGTAATAAAAGCCGGACAACATAAGATAAAGTAGGTGAAGGAAACACACAATGGGACTGATGAAGGGATATTACAAATCAGGCAAAAGAAAAGGACATCATGCTCACAAGTGGGTTCTTTCTCACAAATAAAACCTACTGGGGTTCTTCTTAGATGTCATATTTGTGGATAGGATCCCAGGTATCCTCGGGAATAGGATATCCTAGTGGGTATCTGTGGTTTCAGTACCATCTTTAGGGAAACAAAAGCATGAAAAAGAAAAACCTAACAAGATAATAAAAGATTATAAATTTAACAAGGATAACACATTGCCTCACACTGACCAATACATGGGCATTCGGAATTTGCAATCTAAAATTATGAAAGCAAGGTCCATACACAGAGAGAATTGGAGACAAATTAACCCTGTTCACTTCTATTTTCGTTTTCTGTTTTCATGTCATAAATTTAGCAACACAAATAAGAAAACTTGTTTACTTTTCATTCTCTTTTCTATTCATTTCCAACTATGAAAACAAAAAGTGGCAACTTCCTCCTGTTTTTGGAAATGACAAAATATTGTTTTCACCTGTTTTCAACATCTGTTTTCTCAAAAACAGGAAACAGAAATGAAAGTAAACAGGCCCTAAGGCTTTCAGATTGGACAGCAAACCTGAAACATCATCACCAGGAATATCCACAACCGATGAAAACTATGGTAAAGGTGCAGAAATGTCCGATGCTCCACAAACGAAGTTTTGCCTCTCCTCTGACTTCCGGCTGTTTTTAGCAGATACTGAGAATAAAAAAAATGCAGGGTCAGAGTGAAGGATAAATGAAGTCGAATACAACACCAACAGACATCCAAATATAAGAAGCATATTATTTGCACAGAGAAGTGAGAACATCTGCAACTTCAAAAAAATATTTCAAGGTGAGCAAATATCGGAGATAGACCATTGTGTAGTTGTCAAGTAGTACGAAATAAATGAGGAGAGTAAAGATCTAAACCTTGGTCCTTGGTTTAGGCTTCTGGAAAAAGGAGGAACTCTTGCGCCAGGGCCAACTGAGATCGAAGCAGTGAAGAGACCTGGCAAATGGGAACGCGATGAAAAAGGTTCACATCAACCAGACAGATAGTCCACAGTACTAAATGGAACAGCTAGGCAAACAAAATTACACAAAAACATACAGGTCAGTAAGAGCTCCATAAAAAATACAAGTGATCTATAAAATTGATGGACAAAAATCTGACTGAAGAAACAGCACAAAATATTTTGTTGGCAAGTAAACTTAATAAATTGAAAGTCTGCAAGAGTGAATGCCATCGTGTGAACCAGAATAGAGTTACGCAAACGTCACTCTTAGCACCTAATAACACAAAAGCTTTCAAACAGATAGCAAGCTTCAGTTGCAAAATGAATTTGCATTAAAAAAAAAAAACTCAGTTCTTTCATATTCATGCTAAATGGACTTTTGGTAGTTCCATGTCCTTTTTACCCTTTCAATCCAATGAGAATGCAGGAATCAACTCATACAGTTCCGATATGCATGGTTCCACAAGTACAAGGGAATCAGCTAAACAGAATCATACCAAAAGAACTCATTGAAATCATCATAATTTCTCCAACCAGAATGAGGTGCTCGGCCATTATCGTTGTTCGCAGCTTCCTACAGATTTTCAACAACATAAGTAGAAAGAGTAAACTTAGGAAAGCCATCCAGCTAATCAGGTAATTATGGCACCGCAAGAGAAAGAAGCCGGAAAAGTAACAGAGATAAAAATAAAATAAATAAAAAAAAAAAAAAAAAAGCAAACTAGTGCAACAAAGCAGCGCATCCAGGAACCCTCCGACTGAAAGGCCCAAGAATTGCCTGGAAGCACAGATCCCAGCTCCTAGAAGAGCAGTTTTATTGGAAAGTGAGTACTGGCCAAGGTCTGAACTATCCTGAATTTGTTTACTCCGTCTGCCACTAGTCAAACCCCTCGGGGGTTCCAGGCGAGCCCTAGTTGATCATATGAAACCTGACCCTTTCTTAATGCTAGGCCTATTGCAAAAGATTATTTGGATTTGATGACTTGAAATGCAGTCAGTAATTGTTCTCTGCATAAGTGAATATTAAACAAAATCCCTTCTGTCTCATAAAAAACGAATTGACAGAAGACGAAGATGCCTTGAATCATGGACTGTTTCTTAGCCGCTATGGTACCAACAAAACAAGCAACCCTTTGTTGATATCAATCAAATAGGAATGACTGCGTCCTGCAGGCCACCCACAACTTACTAAGAAACCTGGTTTTTTAGACAATGCACTCAATGATTCGTACCACAAAATGAAACAATAATGAAAATTAAATCCAGTATTAGTGGGGTATAGGCAAGAAATATGTAACTAGAGAAGAGCCACAAACCCTGATGTAATATAATCTCTTAAGGGAACAACAGACGGGCCCAGAAAACACAAGCAAAATATAGAAAATGCGAAATTCTAAAGCCAAATCCTGATACTTACAGCTGAAACCACGTCATATACTGGGGCAATAACTTGATCAAGGAATGATACATGGGCACCATCCTCAGAACTGCAACTATTTGCCGGCTGGGCATTTCGCTGCCTTAAGATCTCATCCATTTCTCGGGCCATCTACATGTTAACCCAAGATTTTAATATACTCTGAGACTACTTTTGAAATAGGAAAGTTGAGTTTACCTATAATTTTAAAACATGGGCAAACAGCTGACAGTCAAATGCTTAACAAAATCATCAAGTAGGAAAGTAACTATTTCAAGAAATTGAACCATCCGAATTCGTGTCTTCAGATAAATAGATTAGTTGGTGAAAAACCCAAGTGTAGGTTGCTCAAGAAACCTCTGTTAAACGTTCAGTCTGAGAGAAGGAAATCCTTAGTACACAGTAAATAGAATAGTCTTGTACACTCTGGTTCTTGGTAAAGAAAGAACAAACAAAATATGAGTATCCAAACCTAGTGTTTTACTTACATGATGAAATATGTAGCATAAGCATTCTGGAAGGAATCTGACATTGGCTGCCTCACCCCATACAAGGAAGTACAAGGAAACAAATAGCAGTTTCTTGTCCTTGCTCAAAGCCTCCAAACTGCCATACAAACTTGTCAGACCATCATCGTCTACCATAATAGAAATAGAAAGATGGCCAGTGAGAAAGAATATTTCTAACAAATGCGGAGCCATACTTGCTCCAAACAGGCTGAATGCACAGGTAGCTGCACCAACTTATGTAATTTCCAAGTGACTTCATAAATACATTTTGTACAGCAGCCTCGTCTAATTTCTGCACAAAAATAAAAACGAGAGGATGTAAGGCAGTACACATAAATATTTTTTAAATCCGTAAAAAATCTGGAACTATTACACTATTGTTAAGACCTCATTCCATTAAATGGATAGCACAAATTGAAGAGTTTATGCAACTAAATGTAGACTTTTACACAATACTAGCCAGCAGAAGCACAGAAAACAAAGGGAAAGAAATTATGGTGAAGAGACAAAATGACATACTGGTTCACTTGCATCAGGTATACCAAGTCGCGATTGTTCATTTGCAAGGAGGTGAACTATGTTCTCTCGCTGGTTAGAGACATTATCTTTCTGTTGGCACAAAATCTTGAGTTAGAAACATATGATTTGAAAGAATAGTAAAATTAGAAGATTTAATGAATAGATGGCCAATAACTTGTGTCAATGAGAGTATTTCACAGGTACTCCTAACTCCAGATCTAGATCTAGATAGAACAAAAAATTAAAACAGCTTATTTCCCAATTTGCTTTACCCTGTTTATTTTCAAGTGATTTTCTCGAATGGAGATTAGAATATTCAACCATTGTGTGCGACTTTTGAAGGCATAAAGGACGAGAAGGTTAGAGCCATATACATCCATACTACTCATTCTTAAAATGAGACTACTACAAGCTGAGAGACATCTATCTCACTATCATTGATCAAATCAGAAAGATTTGCAGTTAGGAACTTTGTTCAAACGTATCCAACAATCTATCTCTACTATAAGATGCACCAATTCCTCAATAAAAAACCGCCATTCACATCAATTGTCAAACTAGTTATAAATGGCAGTAGATTTTCTAATGTCATTTCAGAACCCGCCACCTAATCCTATCTCTCAAATTTAACCAATGCCAAGAAAACAAGATATTATATTAACTTTTTACTTATCTAGAGCAATTATGGAGTCCATTCAAACCACAAGTGTAACTACCACAAGGCGTCTGGACCAGGGAAACCTAACAAGTTAACGGAACCACAGTCCATAGGAAAGCAAAACCGAAATCACTAATAGGACAGATAAACTACAAAGCTCAAGGATTGACAAAGCAGATTCCCTTCTATTCAAATACACCAGAAAGGAAATAGCCGTTTTTAAAAAATTTGGATTTTATACTATATAGTTCCCTAACTGCTGTTGTTATTTGTTTTATTCAATGGCAACAAAGGTAAGCACAAACCTGGAACCCAAAAACATAGTGCAGAAAATCAAACATATCAGCAGCTCTTGTGGATGGAATAGGAAAATCAGCAGGCAAACTTGGCAGACCTTGGAAATATTTTAAGGACAACACAGCTGCTTGAACCTGCTTAGGAAATACTGTCAGAAGAAAAAAAGCAGAGGGAAGAAAAGAATAATGCAAGGAAATAATATATAAAACAGGGCACTGTCAGACCTCTGGGAAAGACACTACAGCGTTTGTTATAGTTTGAAGATCGAGAGGAATGATATTGTAAGCAATCAGGTCCTCTGTCATGGCTGCATCTGACTCAATCATCCTAGTCATCTGCATACAGAAGTAATTTTTTTTTTTTTTGTAAGTCATGATGAGTATTATTAAAGATGGAGAGAAATAGCATAACTCACAAGCTCTGATCCTATAGGCAGAGGAAAGTTGGACATAAAAAAAACTGTGAAAAAGATTGTTAATCATATCATCCTGTACTAAACGTAACAGTATCAGAACATGAACCACTAAAAGGAAGAAGCCAAAAAAAAAAACACCTAATAGCTCTAGTAAAGAATATGGCATCATTAGAAACTTGGCAAGTCAGCCAGATAGACATTAGGCCTCACTGTCAAATGACCAAATGCTGAAAACTCAGCAACTGAACCACCTATAGATGACGGTTCAGCATAATTCATTAGTAAATAAATATATAGAAAGATATTAACATTAAGTAAGACATTTAAACATATCACAAAGTTCATAGACAAACTACAATTGATTCATTAGGAAAGTGAAAGGGACAATATTAGGGAAAATAAAGCCTAAGGAGACTCTGAGCACAACCTCTTCAGGCATATCCTTAGTCAACTGCTGAAGAACTAACCCCAAAACTTTTAGGGTTGCAAATACTCTTTTCCGTTTAACAGTTTTGCGCTCCAACCTGACAGCAGTCAGACAAAATCATAAGAAAAACACATCAAGCGAAAAAAAGGTTACAGTTACAAGGAATAGGGGCTTCATTCTCTAAATAAGAAAACAAATTTGTCAAAGCCAACTGAAGAGCATGAAAATGGTAGCGCGAGAATGAGAGCATGGATAAACACCAGACTATATGTTGAACAGAAGTTCCATTAAGAAGAGTCATGAAGCTGAAGCATATACAAGGATAGCATTAACTAAACTTGTCTACCCAACAAACAAGTGAAGAAGCATTTAGAACAAGTTTGCAATCTTGAAGTATGGCAGCTTCTACAGAAAGCGTGTCAAAACACAGGGGAAGAGCCAAATATAAGATATAAGCACATATTTACACAGAGTGATGACATCAACTATTCATAGAATACCAAGATAGTTGAACAATCATATATCATCAAAACCTTCCACCAATCAAAGGTAATAGGAATGTCAACAATTTATATGATGCTTGCACATCCAGAAACATACTCGCCAAGATTTCCACTGAAAACACCAGATTCCCGCAGTTTCTTTTCCTCCTCCTTTAAAGTGTCTACTCTGTTCCGCTCTCTGTATAGCTTGTAGAATTCCTGTAAGCGTGCAATGTCTTGCCCTCTGTCTATCATTCCAACCTCTCTCTTTGCAAGTTTTTGCTGCAATGCACATGAACAAAGATGATATGCACATCATTTACCAGAAAGTGAAACACTAAATCGAATAAAAGATAGGCATCTGATAATGTTTCAAGGATCTATAAAATAATTTTAAAACAGAGTACATACGTACTAAGACCAGACATACAATGATAAGATAAATATAAAGGCTTCATGACAATAATCTTATTTTTCTAACACAAGGATACCACAGAAAATTGGGTAGCTAGTGCACCCCATGTTAGTAGTATCACCAGTCATGAGCATACAGAAGATTAGGATTAGGCCGAAAGAAGTTGCTTGTATCAGCAACTAGACCAGGGAGCAGAATGATCTAATTTCATCTGGAAGTAGTGCCTAGTTCAGGGCATTCAGAAGGACTGCAGAGCACAAGTAGTTGGGAGGAAGCATAGAGCTAACAATTAGAGATCAACTTCTACCCAAAAGAAAAGCAATTAGAGTTCAACTATTGTTTAGCACCCAGGTTGCTATTCCCTTGAGGCATTGTACAACTTGTATATTATGGTTAAAGACCAAACTGATATCAAACAACAATAAACAGATAAATGAGGCATACCAAAAGTGTGAAGACATATTTCTTAAATGAGAAACCTACCTTAATAACTGACATCAGACCAGTTTTGAACTGCAGCACTCCTCTTCCCTCGCTATTAGGGTCCAGATTTTGAGCTTGTGAATAAGCATGCTCACAAACTGCGGACAAAGCGATCATTCAAAAATGTAACCATCAGCAACTCGCCAATAAAACATATTGAAACGATGTACATGAATTGAAGCAACTACAACAATCACAAACAGAAGGTCGCAATATCTGGCTTTCTAAAGCAACAAACATAAAGTGTCTAAAACAAACACAAGATTCGATGGACCCTAATTATACTCTTAAAATGTCATGATTGTCCGAATTTTATCATTGAATTCAACTTGTGTCATGAAACATATATGAACATATCAAAATGTTTTGAAATGAAAAAATTCAACCAAAAGAGAGAGGCTACATACGAATTCTCGAGACGTTTGGATCTTCATCTTCGATCTCGTCAGCAGCTCTAAGAATGGAATCTATATCCCTGTTGTTTTCAAGCGAAGAAGGGACATTGCCAGCAATTCCCGTAACAGCCCCAGCAAATGCACCAGCACGAGTGCGCTCACTCCTTAGCGCAGCGCGCACTAACCTCTCCCACAGCTCCTCCGCTCCAGACATTCTCTGCGACGAATACATGTAAGGAACTAGCCAGCAATTCTACTGCTTTGCCATCTCTCCAAGAGTAGAAGGAAGGTCTCAATTTATGGTTCCCTTCATCAATAATAATAGAAACAATAGAAAAAAACGAGTCGAGTGAGGATTAGCGAACGGTGGTGTACCAGAATCGGAAGGCCAAAACCCTAAACACCGAGCCGGCGGCCGGAGCTGAATCGCATCAGTAGTATCGAAGTGTCAGTTCTTGGGCTGCGGAGCAACACAAAGGGGGAATCGGGAATTTCAATCGCAAGTGTTCGAGCTGATGAAGTATAGGATTTCTGATTCAAAATGAGAGATTCCAAACTCTATACAAAAGTGGCGAAAAAAGGTTGAGCTATGTCGGAAACTATAAGAAAAGAAATCGTGAAAAGGAAAATGGAAGGGGCATTTCAGTTTTGAACTGCGTTTCGAAAGTCATAAGTCGAAGGGGTTCGGCTTTTTTCAGTTTTCGTGTTCGACGCGGCTAAGGAAGCAAGGTTACCTCTCTCTTTAGCTAGCCAGGACCAAATCATTTTTTGAAATTTCGGAGGGTTTTCCTTTTCATTTAACTAGCATGTTGCCCGGCCGTTGGCCGGGTGTTATTGCCAATCCATTTATTTAAAACGCAACTAATTACGTGTATCGGTGTATGTACATGCTTATGGTACATTACAACTCGCTTAAACTTTCAGATGTTTAAAAAAAAAAAATATTAAAGCATATCACGGTTGTTGACATTGAGTAGTTGTTCCGCTGTGACACTGAAGATCTTTTTGCTGGAATGATCTAGGTTTACAAAGTAAGTTGTATTGGTTCCGTTCTTCACTAAAAGCACAATCATGTACCTGCATGGTGTCAGGATTATATTAGATGAATGATGTTTTCATAGGATCTAATTGTTGGTAATTGAAGGTAAAGATTTGGATTTAGTACCTTTTCAACCATCAAAATGATGTCCAAATGCATGAGGACTTTGGTTTTGATGTTCACTGGCACTGCACCCACATTCCGGAAACTCTTGTTCGAATTGTCCTTGAAAAGGTCCTTCTTCAAGACTGTCCAGCAGTGTGTTTTCCATTGTGATGCTCCCATGTTGGATATATGTTGGAATCCCTTCTTCGCCTCCGACAACTGAACGGATAATCGATTGAAATGGTTGAGTTATGAGATGCTGCTGCAAAACGTTGATGATTTTCGCTTTGATGGAACTGTCGTTTATAGTAGTTGTGTACAGATTGAATATTGCACGCAATGTCTCTTGGGCGAGATACATTGTTCTTAAATAGTGCATCATCGTTGGTAGAGTGTGAGTTATTGGCAGTTGTTTGGATGTTGAAATGGCCGAAAAGATGCGGTGATTTGCTGGGTTTGAATTTGATTTTATTTGAAGGTAGCAAGATCTTTTGTCGGTGATGAGGGTTGGAGATGCAGTTGGTTTTGTGCCTATGTTTTGGTGGTAGTGTCGATTGGGAGGATTTTTTTTATTATTTGAATTTTAATTGTTGTAAACCTGCAATGGAAGGTGGATGGTGCAAAGATTAGAGCATTCATATCAATATAATTGTAAAATTCATTGCATATTGTTTTTTATTGCTATCTCAAAATTTTTGCAATCCAACTCAAGTTTATTTTATTACACCTTTATCAATGTAATTCACTTGCAATTGCATAGGACGGTTTAAGTGATTTTATATTAAATAAAAATAAATAAATCATGGGAAAAAATAAATTATTGTTTTATTATTTTCCTACGTGGCTTTCATCTTAAATTTCATTTAATGCAAGCTTGCATCTTTGGAATTGTCCACTACATTGATGCAATCCTTTTTGCGATTGCATATTAAGTTCCATGTAGGATATGCAATTGAGAAAATATCATTGATGTGGATGCTCAGTTGGCCCCACGTAGAGTGGTCGAGAATGCCTTTTAACTTGTGTTTTGAACCAAGTAATTCTATTTAATTGGTTTAGAGCATCCACGTCAAGTTATCATATTCAATTGCAAAATGACATGAAAATGGAAATATCATTAGATTTTTATTCTATTGATAGAAGTGTTGATTGCAACAATGCAAGCTATCATTTCTAGCAATTCCACATACTCATCATGGATTCTTTATTTTAGCTTTGGATAAAATAATAAACATATATACCTTTTATTTTTCTAAAAAAATAAGGTATGCCCATATACCATTGCAAATTAATTGCATTGATTTAGCTACATTAGAGTAGTATGAGTTAGGTTGCAAAAAAAATTGAGATGGCGAAAAAAATTACAAATGCAAATGTTTTTCTTACAATTGCATTAAAAACAATTCCCTCCTAAAATATGAAACATAAGTCCGTCTATCCCTGGTTTGACATGTGGTATTGTTTGGGATTTTTTTCTTTTTTTTTTTCCTTCAAAATTACTATAAACATTTACAACAGTAGGTATTCACATTTTTTTTTAAATATATATAAATAACATTGCACCAGGAAAATAATACTGCACAGGATAGGGGAGAAATTTGCTGCACGTGCGGAAAAAACAAAAAAAAACCAAAAAACGGAAAATATACATGCTGACGTGGACAGCTCTCGTTTTAGTTGAGGGTACGTGGCAGGGGGTAAAAACTAAAACTGCTTTAATATTTTTAAAGATGGTATAACCTCAGAAAAGGTTAGTGTGAGTACTTCGTTCGAAAAGCAACTTTAGGATTGAATAGGGAAAAATTCGTTCGAAACTCGACTTGTTTATTAACGAGCCAAGTTTGAGTTTAGCCTTGTTAAACTCGCGAGCTAGCTCGACTCGATGACTTGTTGAGCTCAACTCGTGAGTTGGCTCATTTAGAGCTCATGAGATGTCTCAACATTGTGGTTTGAGGCCAACTTGATCACCGACTTATGGACGAATCGATCTAATTTGGACTTTCATAATTCATAGGATTGTTAAATCATATATCTCACATCATGTGAAGTTTAACATGTTGAACATGTAAGAAAATATGCCTTGTTTTTAATTCTATAAAGAAATTATGTACAAAATTGTTTCGGTACTATGAAATAACATGATTTGAACTAGTTAAAATTTATTAACTAAACAATATGACACCTACAAATTATAATATAAGATTAATTAATGTTGAACATTTGATTATTTTTTTAATCGTTACATCAATCACATGTACCATACACGACATACAAAATGAATGTATCAAATACGATCTAAGAATTTAGTAAACAAGCCTAACTCGAACCCGACTCGACTCATCTCGTTAATAAATGGCTCGAGCTCGAGCTCAACTCATTTGTTAACGAGTCAAGCTCACGCTGGGATAAAACTTTGCCCAACTCGGCTCATTTGCAACCCTAATTGTGGCCGCTATAGTATCAATTTAAAAACCCTGAATTTTTCGCACTCGGTCCACTAGTGCTAGGCGTTTGTGAGTACTTCGTTTTCGCAAGACATTTGTGAGTATAAATTGAATTGGTATAACTTTAGGGTATGTACTATATTAAGTGTCTCGTCCATTCTTTTCTCTGACGCTCAACAGAGTTGTACTATGGCAAATGACATCCCAACAATGATGACACCTGCTATCTTGGTGCTTCGACCGTTAATGAGGTTAGAGGAGCTATGTTACATGGTTAGGTTGATGGGCTAAATGGGATGGGCCTAATGACTTGGGCTGAGTTTGGCAAGTAGGTATGTATCATTACTAACCCAACAATTGTCCCCTAGTTAGGGACCTGAGTCCTAGCGCTCAACTTCACGCACTCTGTTTAATGTTTGCAAGCGATGATGTACGTTCCCTGACTTTCGTTCATGCGCCTGGTGCTCTTAACTATTCATGGCGGGAAGTGCCTTTACTAGTGGTGCTCCCTTTGATCTTTCTTGACCATGTCTCTTGATTATCTTTCATGTGCCTAGTACTCTTACCCTGGCATTCATGGCGTCGTCCCAACCACCATGTGAAATGAGAACATGCACTTATTCTAACATGTCTAACATGCCCCCCCACCCCTTCGAATTTTATTATTGGAATTAAAAATAATGAGAACTGAGAGATGAATTGTTAATTTATTTACTCTTATCCATGCTTCCCTTTTCTCTCTCCTTCCTCCTCTATCTAAACCCCCTATTGCTCATTTGCTACTAAATACTAACTAATTCCTCTCACTTGTTTCTCGCTCTACTCTGAGCTTTTCTTGTGTCATCGCAACTCCGTCTAAATATTACATTGAGCCATGGTTGATACAAGAAAGGGTACCTTTGAGTCATGCCCAACTCTAGTGGCGTGTATCTATCACGAGAGAGTATGGAAGATATTGACGCTGCCAGTACTAATTCCAGAAAGATAATACCTCGTAGAATTCGTGCTTTGCTTTTTTTTTCTTTTTCGTAGATCCTTGGTTGTTTGAGAGTCGTATGAGCATGGACCAAGAGAGTCCTCCATTTCAAACTCGTGGACCTGCTCATCATCGATTGATGAAGCCGGACTTACCGCACACGTGAAATTATGATGAAGCCTTAGATGTCTTTACTGCGGAACTACTCGCCCTGCAAGATGCTATTTAGTGGAGTCTAAGCATAATTTTTGGTTGTGATATTTTGTGGCAACTTTCAACTTATCAGTCTACATGCTATGTCAAAAGAAGCTTCACACTCGGTGGCGGGGCCATCTTGGAGGAAACTCGTCTTCTTTTTATGTCACTCGAGTGTGTATCATGTCATTTTTTTCCTTGGAGCTTTAATAGACATATCCTTTAATGAATTTTTTTTTATCAATAGTTTGATTGCATCCGGACTACCAGTCTACCACAGGTGATTGCTGTTGATAATTAGTCATTTCTCGGCATATAATCGAAAAAAGAAAGAGATAAAGCACTATTTAGCATGACCCAATTTGGTATTGTACAAGGAAATACATTGAAAGTTCAATGTTGTTAGAATCGAACTGAAGTATGAACTGATTTAATTAGTGGGTCGTTCGCATTTTATTGGTTAACCGATATAATACTGTAAAAAATTATTGACAAATCGGTATCTCATAACAAAGGAAACATAAGTTATTTAGACAAGAACGACATAATAAACATAATAACTTAATCACAAATTTGTGAAAGAAATTAAAATTATTATTGAAAATGCAAGCAAAAAAATTGTTACTAATAAGTATTTCAAAATATAGTTTTATTTTCAAAGAATTAATATAGAGTGAATTATTTTATAATTTATGTCGTGTGTTCAAAACCCCCACCCCTAACATTTTTTTAAGAAAATATAACAAGCATTGGGGAGTTCGAACAGGTCAAGTGGGTTTCTCAGTTAACCGCTCAGACCAGTTGGTGGTCGGTTGGTTCTCAGTAGGCAGCCACAACTGCCACCCGGACAAAGAACTTTTTGCCGGTTCTAATGGTCGAACCGGTTGATCTAGTTCGGTCTCAATAACGCTAATTAAAACCAAGTATTTGTTTAGTTTAATAATTTGAACTAGGTGTGAAAGCTTGTCCCGGAAGACCCACTGACCCGTCCCTACCCGTCCCGTCCCTAAGGGTCGGGACGGGTCAGTTTGTCTACAGGGACAGATTAGGGACGGGTCATTTGTTGACTCTGTAAGGGTCGGGACAACTTAGGGACGGGTCACGTTTTGACCCTGTGACCCTTAGCAACAACAAATATCTCTTACTTCATTGGACCTTTTTTGTAAAGTTTTAAAAGTTTAGGTACTAATTTGTAAAAATAAAAAAATCTGGGTACCAAAACGTAAATTTACCATCAAAATTTATGGACTTATTTGTAAAAAAAATAAAATTTAGGTACTAAATTGTAAGAAAAAATAATTTTGGGTACCAAAACATAATTTGTAAAAAAGTAGTGTGTTGATTAGGGTCGACCCACTGACCTGGCTCGTCCCGTCCCAACCCTTGAGGGTCAGACAGGGTCAAGAAAGAGACAGGAACGGGACGGGACGGTTATACATCTTGACCCTTCAGAGACGGGTCAGACAGAAACAGGGACGGGACAGACAAATTTTCGGCCCTAATTTGGATTGAGGTAGACAAAATTACAAGGGAGAGAGAGGAGTCGGAGGGAGATATTCCCACGAACACATGCATCTGACTCCTCTGGCATACAAGTCAACCCTTCAATTATAAAACCAAACGGTACGACTTTTATGCGTGGATTACCATAACCAAACACATGCATGCTTATAATTAGTCTTTTCTTACATCCTTAAAATTGCTTTGGTAGGCGTGAATTTCCTTCAGATTTGACCTTAAGGATCGTAATAAGCAATAAGTAACTGCTACACACTAGTCCTATGGTTGGTTTCAATTATTAGGAACGGATCTGGAAATTAAAGAAATTTACACACTTTCAATTTTGGCTTATATATATAATCCAACATAGTCATCATTTGTAAAGTATACAAATTAATCAGTCTGTAAATACTAACACATACATACATATGGTTTGTGAACTCTAGAGTAAGTATATTGATTTATCGTTTTTTTTATAATATATTGTAAATTTGGTTATTAAAAAGAAGCTGTGAAAACGCGGCAAAGGGTTTTTGACTAAGTGTGCTTTTTTTAATTAATGTTTGCTTGAACGCAAAGGCGAAATTCATGAATTTCCGGCGAGCACCTGCCGCCTGCCGCTGGCCTCTGTCGCTCTCTCTCTCTCTCTCTCTCTCTCCCGCAAGAACAATATTCCACCTTACTATTTATACATAAATACACATCTTTGCCTCATCAATTCAAACACCTTAATTAGCTAGCTAGCTAGATCGGTCTACTTCTCTTCCTCCCATGACAAATAAGCCGTTGATCTCTATTATTTAGCCATGAAACGCATCCTAATTGTTATAATTCCCTATTTGTTAGCCTCGCTTCTATGCTTATGCTTCCTCTTTGCCTTCTTCTCCCGTTCCCTATTCAATCCTTCCTTACTCTACGACGAACAACAACAACATTACTACTACTACAGCGGCGACGGCAGCAGAAACTGGCCGGCGGTGTCGTTATCGGCGAGCAGCAGCAGCAGCAGCAAGTTCGATTTCACGCCATTCCTCGAAAGGCACCGCTACTGGCAGCTCCACCGCAACCATCATAGTTATCATGAACGTCACAAACGGCCGGCAGCCGACGCCGGGAGTGGTGATCATCATGACGGTGAGATATCATCGGTTGACCCGCGCTACGGCGTTGACCTTCGCCTTGTTCCAACGGGTCCAAACCCTTTGCACCATTGATTCTTTCTGTACTTCTGGATACATAGTTAGAGATAATCGGCGTGAGTAAGAATTTGTTCATCAAATTCTACGTCGATGTAAGGAGGTTGTACAGTTGATTATCGAATTCTTTATTTTTGCCAGATGGGTTTCGAATTTCGCAATATAAAAAAAATGCACATTAATTAATTAAATTATCAATTCTCAGGTTAGTACGTGCTAGATCATGCTTGCACTTTGCTCAATATTATTAGATACTTTAATTTCTTTTTTTTTTCCGGTTATATATATATATACTAGCTTATAACCCGGCCCGTTGGCCGGAATATTCATATTTGATTATTTATATTTTTATGTTACGTGTAAATCTATCAACTCATTTAATTTTATTGACAATCCTTCGATCGAGATGATACATATATAAAGAATATATCGATCGAAAATTTGAAGAAATATAGAAATGTATCATTGATCTCATTTTAATAATGATAATTAAGTTCCCGATAAAATGCTATTGGTTAGTTGATTATCAAGAAATATAGAGTATAAAAGCTCACTGAAATTCCCTCACGAACCATAGATAGTTTGAAACTAAATTTTAAACCTCACAATCCTACATAAAGGTTCGATGTTTTCATTTTAAGAACAATATTCCACTCATAAAAAAGAAATAGAGAGTTGTTGATTCAAGTCAACTATATGTTAACAACTCACCTAAGAGGGGACCATCACAACTTGAGAGCAAACGTCAAATTAGGGCTCTATCAAAGTAATAAGGAACAAAATTAGACACTCCTTCTCTATCAGTTCCAGTAGGTTGAATAAAGAATCGACCGACCTACTTCAGTAAATAAATCAATGATTCCTACTTTTAAGATATAATTAGGTCACCATAGCTTCAACAACCATAAACCTAAAGATCCAATAGCCTCCACTCTCCGTTGTACAATAAATGTTTATCCACTATATCTTCAATCTCAAGGCGTATATTTCAACTAAAAATTCAATTTTTAATCCTCCTTTGGCACCTCCATTTATTGAACTCCATTCTATTCGCCATTGATTGATATCGGAATTTAAATCTTTTACTTGCCCAGTTTAAATCTCCAAGAATAAAATCGTAGTGCCAAGAGACTGGAAGATTGATTTTCAAAGGTGGCCTTGTACCATGAAGTGAAGGGGAGCAAACTATTGCACCGTGGACGGAATTTCAGAGGTCGTTAGAAAGAGATAAGAACAAATATAAAAAAGTACAAATTGAAAAATAAATTGAAAATGCAAAGGACACAACACGTAGTAATAGAATTTGTTTCTTCCATGTTGGCCAATTACCAATTTACATTTAGTGACAATTAAGGAGAGAGCAGTAATTATAGAATTGAGAAACTACATAAAACTCTGCTATGAAAATTGATGTATCAATCACCATAAAATACATATGGTAGACTTAGTGGGCTTGCTAATCATGATGAAAAAGTCCTATGATTTTTAGAGTGTCACCTCGTGTATGTTATGTGTTAAAAAAGATATAACAAATTTGTTTAGTCTAATTGGTTGTGATTGTTGTCTTTATTTGTAGAGACCAGGGTTCAAACTTTTACTCTCGTTGCAGAAAATTTGAAATAGAGAAAAGTAGATAAAACTCTACTATATATTATTGGAGGATATATATATATATATATATATATATATATATATATATATATATATATATATTCATGATTATGCATGCATGACCGAAATCTTATGTCATGTTCTTTTCCATAATATATGTGTATTCTAATTTCTAATTAAACCTATGGTAGCTGGTATTAGTAATTATTACCAAAAAAAATGGAGAAAGAAAATAACAAGTAATAATTAAGTCAGTTTTCTCTTGGTAACAATTTCAGGTTTTGTTGTACTTTCTCCTTTTATTGCGCTTAATCTCAAAGGCTGGCATTTTAATTTCAACGGAGTTGGTATATATACATTTGGAGTGTAGTAAATTTGAAACGTAACAGCAACGTCGACGCCACCCTCTTTGTCTTCTTCTCCTCACCCTTAATTTGAAATTTCACAACAAAGCAGAGGAAATTTATTTGAATTTAGCTCTATATCTGATCGAATGACGATTTTTATATGAAACTCAATATTCCAAACACAAATATTCATTAAAAGAAATATATAATTTAAAGAAATTGCGCGCAACGTTCACATCATATATCAATTTTCAAACACAAAATCTAAACAGTTAAGCAGGTCCGATATCCTCTAACTTCTACACTGAAGAGTAAAGAAGAACAAAAGAGAAAATACAAATTAAAATTAAAGACAAAAATAATCAAAGTGAAAAAAAAAATACAAAATTTATGGTAATAAAACTGAAATTTATACCTTTTAAGAAAAAGGGACAACCAATGGAAGAAAAAAAAAACCGCTAGAAGATTTCTTCTCTCTTGTTCCTATCATCAGAACCACAAACAACGGAAAGAAAAACCTAATAAGATCCAAAAAGTACCCGTCGGAAACTATATCCTAACCAGATTCAACCGTGAACCCAACCCAACCCGACCGGTCCGACCCATCAACAATTGGAGCTAGGCTCCAGGAGCAACATCCTTGTTGGTCTTGTCTTGCATGTACCCACTATATTCTTTAGCACATTCCTTGACATGGGTAGCCGTGTCGACGATCCGGTTCCTGGCCTGTTCCACCCGGTCCGACCCGGGCGGATGCATCCCTCTAAAATAGCTATGCATCCACGACAACCCGGCAACAAAGGCCACAAAGCAGCCGCACGTCATCAAGAAGCCGGAGACGAGGACGAAGAGAAGCGCGCCGACGGGGATCCATACGGGGCTGGAGATGATCACCAACGGGGCAAACAAGATGAGAGTCAGAATGGCGACGGCGATGGTGACGCCGGTGAAGAAGAGCAAAACGGTGCCGGATACGAGGAGGGTGAGGAGCCCGATTAGCTGTGTCGACGTCGGCGCATTATTCCAGTATCGCGAGCAACTATTTTGTGCTTTGCGGAGGAATGTCGTTGTTGTAGATCCGGCGCGACGACCACTCTCTAAGCTTGTTTTGTTGTTGGTATCGCTTTTGTTTTCTTTGTCTTTTTTGGTTGATAGTGGAATGAGACCATTGCTATCTGGCTCGACGGCGAGTGGTCTCGTTGGCCTCGGGACTCCTGTTGTCGTCCCTTGATACTCTGTAGACATAATTAATTACTATGCTCAAAAGGAAAAAAGGGGGAAAGAAAAAAAAAATTAAACTAGGGAGGAGGGAATTACAATAGAGATTTTCAAGATCTAATTTATGTGATTGGTAAAGAGAAATGATGAGATGCTAAGATTTCGAGATTGAATGTAGGAAAAAAAAGAGAGAGAGCGAGTTTCAGAAGACTTGTACCTAGTACACGCGTGGAAGGATGTGAAAAATGTACTTCTCGAAAAATTAGTCGCGCGATCGGCTTCACTGACTGTTTCCTTTCTGCAATTCTGGGGGATTGGTTGAAAAGTATGGGTGTTTCGAAAAAAAGGAAAGAGAAATAAGACTCGTGGCATGAAACTTTTCTTTTTTCCTATTTGTTCGTGATTCTTTTTATTTCGTTATTTTTGTATGAAACAAGTAAGGTAGTGTGTCAACACCCATACATAGACTTTCATCATCCATTAGATTTGTTTTCTTTAAAGGGTCGTTTGGAATTGGATGGATCAATCTAGAAATGAGTCAATTTGATCAATTGTCTCGTTTTATAAACGAGGCAATTAAAACGAGTCAATTCGAATTACCTGCCCCCACCCCAGGTGATTGAAATTGACTCAAAACGGATCAATTCAAAATACCTCAGGCAGATTGATCCTTCCAATTTTTTTTGCTGGCAAACGCGAGGCAATTTGGTACAATTGTCTCAAAACGAGACAATTGTATCAAATTGATCCGTTACCGTTCCTCATCCAAACGACCCCTTTAATTATTTTGCATCGTTGAATTCAAGGTGCTTTGTTATCTGATGTAAATCAACCCTTCGGTTTGAACTTCCAATTTTGAGGGGCATAATTGCAAGTTTGGTCACTCGAATTGCTACAAAATTTCACGTTTGCCACTCAAATTAATTTATTCCATTTATAGTCACTTAAATTAGGTTAACATTCCAAGTTTGGTCACTGGCCGTTAGTCTCCGTTAACTTTTGCTGATGTGGCGGTCAACTCTTATAGTTGACCGTTAAATGCATGACGTGGCAATTAAAAATTTTAAAAATTTAAAATTTCCACCTCAACTACGGCGGTTACCTTCCGACGTTTCCGCGTCGGAGGAAGAAGTAGTCGCTCCAGTCGAGGGTGGCGCCTTTCTCGACCCCGAGGCGGCTGCCGTACCCTTTGTCGGAAATGGGGTCGTTTGCGTACTGCTGCTTGGAGTCGAGGGGGAGGTCGAAGAACTCCCGCCAAATCTCCCGGATGTTCCTCATCATATCCACGTCGACATCGTGGTTGACCACCTGGAAGAACCCCCAGTCCTTGCACGCCGACGACAGCCGCCGCAACGTCTCCGACCTCACGGATGGGTCGTGGGAGAAGTCCTCCGCCAGGTCGGTCACCGGGATGTTGCTGACCACCGCGGCGGCGGCATTGTGGTTGAGGGATGGGCGGTGGGAGGGTGGCTTGACGTAGCAGTCGGGTATCTTTCGGATCCCGCTATCGGATAAGGACTGGACTCGGACCATGGGTTCGGCGGTTACCTCCCGATCTCGTCCAGCTCCGTCGAATTAGGTGATTTCATTTACAATTTTACTCCTCTGTTTCACCGCTTTCTTGGATCTCCCCCTGAATTTCATTCTTCCTCGATTGATCATTCATTCTCTCCCCCGCCGTCGAAGTCGAATTCTGCCTCCGAATTTTGAGCTGAGTCTTCCCTGTATTCTCTTGATCCATGTACCCATTCGACAATGGCGCCCTCTTCTTCCAGCAAGACGCGCTCTCATAAGTCACCGCATCGCACAAGCAATCGCTCAAATAGAGATGAAGAAGAAGGGGCAGAAGAGGAAGAGGAAAGAGAAATATGACATAGTTGAAGAAGAAGGGGAGGAAGATGTTGCAGAGCCCACGATTCAGGCAGCGTCGAAGAAAGCTGCGGTAGAGGAGAAGGACGAGAAGGAAATGGAGGAAAAGGAAACTGAGACTGCAGCTAACGAAATGGCTGGCATCCCAATCGTTCAGATCGACCAACATACCAAAAAACCTGGGATCATTTTCGTGCTGGAGAGCATAGTTAGTAAATACTCCGTTTAATACACGTATATGTACCCGTACGTACTTTATCCGTTTAAAACTTCCGTATTCGTATTATTGTCAAGTCGTTTCATTTTTGTCCGTTCATTTAATGGCCCCCGTATTAAACGCGTATAAAACTCGTATAACACGTTTAATATCCGTATTTAATGAATTCAATTATTAACTTTACTATTATTAATATATATATATATTTTTTAAATAATTAATTTTTCTATATTTATGACAATTAACGTACTATTAAACGTAACATTAGCATAGAGACGAAGTAAAATACCCGTCCGTATATTATACGTAACTTTCTCGTACCGTATTTTACTAACTATGCTGGAGAGGGCCTCTTTGGAAGTTGCCAAAGTTGGTAAGGTAAGGTGTTTTCTCTTGTTGACTCGAGGTTCAAATGCTTCCCCAGTTCCCTGATGTTCATCAGTCACATTCGTTTCATATTTTAAAATTTTTTAATTGCCACGTCATGCATTTAACGATCAACTATAAGAGTTGACCGCCACATTAGCAAAAGTTAACGGAGACTAACGGCAGTGACCAAACTTGGACTTTTTAAAATTTTTTAATTGCCACGTCATGCATTTAACGGTCAACTATAAGAGTTGACCGCCACATTAGCAAAAGTTAACGGAGACTAACGGCAGTGACCAAACTTGGACTGTTAACCTAATTTAAGTGACTATAAATGGAATAAATTAATTTGAGTGACAAACGTGAAATTTTGTAGCAATTCGAGTGACCAAACTTGCAATTAAGCCAATTTTGAGGTAAGGAGTCATCCTAATATATTGGGCCGTCAATCATCCTAGTATTTTTGAGGTAAATAGTTATGGGCTTCTGAATGATACTTTTCAAATCCTCTCAGCTAAAAAGCCCAAGAGGGAAAGGAAGTGGATTAAACAAAAATCAACGTTTTGGAGGAACACACAATTAGAAAAAGGCCAATACTACAGTGTCGCTGTAAAAAGTGCGGCACCGGTAACGCAGTTTGTGATTGGTCCACGTGGCCTATTATGTGGCGGGCTGGCTTTGTTTAATCGAGCCCGAACTGATGGCCGATTAGACCTACCCAATGTTGGAGAAGAAGTGGAGCTGTAGTTGCTGAAGCAATCCGAGTCCGAACAGGAGAAGGATTTGTCTTGGCGCCAAAGTTCAAATGGGAGTCTAACTAAATAAAACGGTGTCGTGTGGCTCGGTTTAGTTTATCTGTCTGTCGAGTGGACATTTTCTGGTTTGGTCCTTGAGTCTTGGTTAGTGTTAATCGAGTCCTGTTAGCAGTTAGTTTGTGTGGTTGGTTATGTGGAGATCATGTTGCTGATTTCCAGGTTGTGTAGTTAGTGGTGAAAGCCAGGACTGTTGGCTAAATCCCACGGTGTATTTAATAGTTGCAGTTGCACTCTAATGAAATTGTCAGTTTGCAAAGCTTTGTTTGTGTGGACTGAAACACCACAGTAGTTGTGGACTGAAAGTCCTCCTTCAGTCCCACTTTAGTGTCTTTGGTTGTGTGGCATACATGCATGTACCTGATCAACAGAGAAAGAAATTAGATGACAAGAGTGTTCCTTGTCAGTTTATTGGCATTTCAGTAGAATCAAAAGCCTACAAACTCTATAACCCCAACACCAAAAAAGTTGTGGTCAGTAGAGATGTAGTTTTTGATGAAACCAAAGGTTGGAGGTGGGATTCTGAGGTACAACCAGCTCAGACACATTTGTTTTGGGAAGAAGGTGATCATGATTGGTTTGATTCAGACACTGAAGAGGATGCTGCAGATTTGACTATGCCAGTTGTTGCTGCAGAACCAGAATCATCACAACCTGCCACCCCAAAAACACCAGAAGGAACAGGAGGAGGCTCTATGAGCCATGAACCAAATGATGAGACTGATTTGGATATGGACTCAGATGTTTTGGGGCTTCCAAGTACCAGTTTGGGAAAAAGGGTTAGCAAGTTGCCTAGTCATTTCCAGAACTATGACATGAGTTTTATTGCTACAGATTGGGCAGCAATGGTGGCTATTACTGATGATCCTCAAACTTATGAGGAAGCAATGTTGGATCCCAAGTGGAATGCTGCGATGAAGGAGGAAATGAACTCCATTAAAAAGAACAACACTTGGACCTTAACTGATCTTCCAGAGGGTTTTGAAGCAATTGGTCTGAAGTGGGTGTACAAAACAAAATTGCAGGAAGATGGGAATGTGGACAAGTTTAAAGCCAGAATAGTGGCCAAGGGATATTCACAGAAGCAAGGTATTGACTATACAGAAGTCTTTGCCCTAGTCGCTCGTTGGGACACTATCAGGACATTTTTAGCACTTGCAGCTCATCATGGCCTCCCAATCTACCAGTTGGATGTGAAGAGTGCCTTCCTCAATGGAGAACTCACTGAAGAAGTTTATGTGGAGCAACCACCAGGGTTTGTGGTTGTTGGGGAGGAAAGTAAGGTCTATAGGCTGCACAAGGCTCTTTATGGCCTCAAGCAGGCACCTAGGGCCTGGTACAATAGGATAGAATCCTATTTTGTCAAGTCTGGTTTTGAGAGGAGTCCCTATGAGCATACACTGTTTGTTAAGAGAACTGGAACTGGCATCTTAATTCTAAGTCTATATGTGGATGATCTGATGTATGCAAGCAACAGTTCTGAGATGATCACTGAGTTCAAACAGGCAATGCAGTCAGAATTTGAGATGACAGATCTTGGGAAGATGCATTTTTTTCTGGGAGTTGAGGTTATACAGAGGGAGTCTGGAGTGTTTATCTGTCAACAGAAATATGTGAAGGAGGTACTTACTAAATTCAATCTGCTAGATTGCAATTATGTTCACAATCCTATGAGTCCTGGCAGCAAGATGAGTAAGGCTGGAGATGGAGTTATGGTGAATCCTACTGAGTACAAGCAGCTAATTGGGAGTCTGTTGTATTTGACTGCAACCAGACCTGACATCATGTACTCAGTGTGTCTTCTTAGCAGGTATATGGAAATCCCACTAGACAACATTTGCTGGCTGCTAAGAGGGTACTGAGGTACTTGAAGGGAACTATCAGTTTTGGTATATGGTACAGACGTGGGAGTGAAGGAAGGGAGGAACTGATTGGGTACACTGACAGTGACTATGCTGGAGACACTGATGACAGAAAGAGCACAAGTGGCTATGTATTTTATCTAGCAGGTGGAGTTATTTCTTGGGCTTCCAAGAAGCAGCCTGTGGTTACTTTGTCCACCACTGAAGCTGAATTTGTTGCTGCAGCACACTGTGCAGCACAATGTGTCTGGCTCAGAAGGATTTTGGAACAGATGGGTTGGAGAAGAAGTACAAAGGGTGCAACAGTCATTTTTTGTGACAATAGCTCAGCAATCAAGCTGTCTAAGAACCCAGTGCTCCATGGCAGGAGCAAGCACATTGATGTGCGGTTTCACTTTCTCAGAGAATTAGCAAATGAAGGGGTGATTGAATTAGAGCACTGTGGCACACAAGAACAGGTTGCAGACATCATGACTAAGCCTCTGAAGTTGGACATGTTTCAGTTGATGAGGAGCAGGATGGGTCTATGTGACGTTTCTGAGTTCACTGCCGAAGTCTGAAGGCTGATGGAATTGAACTGAACAATGGAGAGAAGGTTCAGTTCAGGGGAGGATTTGTTGGAGAAGAAGTGGAGCTGCAGTTGCTGAAGCAATCCGAGTCCGAACAGGAGAAGGATTTGTCTTGGCGCCAAAGTTCAAATGGGAGTCTAACTAAATAAAACGGTGTCGTGTGGCTCGGTTTAGTTTATCTGTCTGTCGAGTGGACATTTGCTGGTTTGGTCCTTGAGTCTTGGTTAGTGTTAATCGAGTCCTGTTAGCACTTAGTTTGTGTGGTTGGTTATGTGGAGATCATGTTGCTGATTTCCAGGTTGTGTAGTTAGTGGTGAAAGCCAGGACTGTTGGCTAAATCCCACGGTGTATTTAATAGTTGCAGTTGCACTCTAATGAAATTGTCAGTTTGCAAAGCTTTGTTTTCTACACCCAAAACCCAGCTACCCAAACGAAGGCGGGTTCTCTCCAACTCCAAGAGCTCCAAAGTACAGAGGATACGAGATCGTTGATGCTGCAAATTCTGTAATCCTCACTTTTTTTTCATATTCTCTAATTAAAAGCATTGAATTTTAAAGCCATGAAAGTCTGCACTACAAACAAAAGAGAACATTGGCGAACGCCATACCCACATCAATTACACTGCACACCAGTAATTCAACACCTCATCACCATCAATTGCAACTATTGATTTCCCTTCCTAGTTCACACCCACAATCGACCCATCCAATTCTTCTCGTAACTATCATCTTTGAAACCATGCGCTACCTTTATTTTTAGAGCAGTTCAGTCGGCTTTCATGTTTGCGGCATCTGCAAATGGTTTTTCTTACCATAAAAACCCGAATCGGTAGCTCCCTCTCAATCAATAGACATTAAGGCAAAGTGGGGAGACAGAGGAATAGATAGTGGAGATTAGAGAGGGAGACAACGGAAAAGAAATACCTAATAGTATTTCACATTCGTTGAGATATATCGCAATAAACCTTCAATCAAGAAACTTAGGATTAAGATTTCGACATTTCCAAGAGAGAGCGCACAGAGCTAGGGGATGATACAGAGAATTTTGGATTTGACACTTCGAAGAGAGATGGTGCAGAGCGAGAGAATATACAGAGGATTGCCTGGATCCATTGGTAGTAGAACATTTTAACAGACAGAGATAGATAGCCCACCGGTAAATATTGTAAAGAAGATGTGATCGGCGACAGAGAAGTTTTTCAGAGCCTTTTGTTGATTTGACAGTCCGGCGGAGAAGGAGGGCTAGGAAGATGAAGGGATTGTTTCGAGTTTTATCTCTCTTTTTCCTGGGGAAAAAACCCGGGTCTGTTGGGCGGGTTAAAGGCTTTGAGCCGGGTGATGGGTTTGGGTTGAGTGTTTAGAAAGACAACCAAGCCACATAAGCAGCCACATGGACCAATCACAAGCTGCGTTACCGGTGCCGCACTTTTTACAGCGTCACTATAGTATTGGCTTTAGAAAAATGAACAGAATAGACTTTTACTGATGCAAAAGCTCTAAAGCTTTCAACAACATGGGTCTAAACCTTCTAACATCAAGCTTTACATTCTGATTGTCCAAGTAAATCGATTTGAACAGATCCCACCCTTGTTTCGCAAAGGACCACGGCTTGGTGAAAACGACGTCGTCGGGCGGATACTGTTCTCTCAAGCTGCTCTCTTCTCTCCTAATCTTGTACTCCAGATACCTCACCTTCATCTCCTCCGACGGCTCACGAAAATACGTCTTCGAAACCCAATCCGCGCCCAACGGAACAACCTGAATCAGAACCGCACCGTCCGGAACGAAAACCACGTTGGTCAGCCCGGCTCCGTGAACTCCCATCACCACGTCACACGAGTTCATGATCTCCGCCGACTTCGAGATGTTCCTATCCGGCTCCGCGACCGTTACTTGATACCCAAGTTTTCTCGCCATCCTGGCGACATCGTTCACATTGGTGAATGCTCGAGTCCTCTTGCGAGATATGATCAGAAGACGTGGCGGTGGCATCATCGTCGATTTCTCGTCGTCGTCTCTGGCTCGTCGCAGTTTGATCGCGGTCGCCTTCTTTAACGAATAGGCACTTCTTAGGAACTGTTTGAAGTCTGCCATCCTGTACTCGGATTCCGATGGGTTGATGTTGAGTTCTTTCTTGTGCCTCCCCTTTAGCCCTAGTATCAGCCTCGAAAAACAATGTGTTTTCACGCTTTGTTGCTCCTTGTCGATGTCCACCAAATTGTACCTGGATTTGAGTTTATAACATGTTAGCTTTCCACCAAAGTTTCGATCTTTTACGAGTCTACTGAATTGAAGAGGAAAATGAAATCGTTACTTGGACAGTGCTTGGAGTATAGTTCCGAACTTGGACACGAGCCACGGTTGATAGTCAGTCACGAGGAACTCGACTTCACCGCGAAACTGCCGTGCGGTGGCGAACAATGGGACGAGAACATCGGTGAAGGCGTGGAAATGGTTGCCGGCGAACCCTCCCAGAGAGAAAATCACCCCCGGAGGTTCATGAATCCGATCACAACGCGGCGGTGGCGAGTCCCGGTCATCTTGAGCCACCGTTTTTACCGACCATTCTCTCACCAGTCCCATGGCAACCTCGTCGCCCTTTCGCCCGTAAGGCTTTATCGACATTGTCGAATTACCACTGTTTCGACCTCCGGCGACGACGTAGTAAACCGTTGCTGAAATGGGATCAACCCTGACGTCACCGATTAGGTCGCAAAAATCCGATCTTTCGCCCCTGCTGCACGTAACAGAGACCATGCTCTGTTTTTTGCTCTGTTTTTCCTGTCCTGCATCTGTGGAGGGGGGGGGGGGGGGGGGGGGGGGGGGGGGGGGGAACAGAGAGAAATGCTCTGTCATAATGTGATCAGAGGTCAACCCAAGTGAATTATAGCTAATAATAAATCATGACGACGATTGGAAATAATGATGGTTAGTTAGTGGGGAAGAGCAGGCCATAAAGTAATCTCCGATTAGGTGAAGGGTAGTTAGCCATGGAAGATTCACTACTACCAAATTACTTTACCTTCTTCCCTTAATTGATTAGAGTTGTTGTTGTTGTTGGCATCTTTGACAATTGGAGTCGTCACGTTCGTTCTGATTCTTCCGTCTTCCTCCCCTGCTTACCAAATTTAATAACAAAAATATAATCAGAAGAACATCAATTCCCTCGGTGTCAGCTGCTGCAGTGCTGCCCATGAACTTCCCTCATTTTGGCTTGAAAATAATATTTTAACTAATTTTTGCTGAAATGATTTTGATGTTGACAAAAAAATGACGTACCGTTATTGGTTGTGGCGTGGGTTTCTCTTTTGCTCGTTGTGATCGTGCCATTCGTCGTCGTTTTGGTGCTCTGTTTCACAGAAGCTGCATATTCATGGACACAAGACACTGATCAAATTACAACTGGGAAATATCCGGAAAAGTTTGAACTTGAACGATACTGCACATTGTGAATTCTTACTTTGCAGGGTTGGTTGCTGGCTGGAGCTTCTTATCTCACCATTAATGGCTTCTTTATGCCCTGCGGTTTCTGCAAAACGACGTCGATTTAGCACCCATCAGTGATCAAAGTAACCTCTATTGTGAAACTTGGAGTGAATTTGACAACTTTTTTTTGGTTATGATGATGGATGAACTTTTAAACTTTTTCTTATTTCGCTGAAAATCATGCTAGATGTAGAGTCAAACATCTTTTGCCTTTATACTTTCTGTTTTGACGGGAAAAACCAGAAGTACTCACGATTTGGTGTGCTGTTCTTCATTGAGCTGATCGTATAGTTCTTCACCTTCGCAGGAATGTCGTTGGAGGCGACTTCAGCGTCTGTAGAGGTGATCATCGATAGGTGGTTTGAGTTAGTTATATGCCATGGAAAACCTTGAGGAAATCATGGAGTGTTCCAGTCGTTCTGAGGGCAAAGCACACTTACTGATCTTCTTTGGCATCTGGAGCAGAGAGGTGGCTGTACCATTGACAATATGCAACTTTTGAGGAGACCACCTTAGATCCACTACAAACAGAAATGGCGATGTCAGAATGAGAAGAAGACACACAAATGAAGTTGAGACAAGAACAAAGGGATTGAGTTGCTATATCTACATACAGGGTGAAGGCAGGGGACCCCATTTCTGAGGCTTGAAAATGGTGCAGAAGCTGAGGAAAATGAGGAAGCAAATGACCAATGCCCCTGTTCCCAGCTTCTTCTGCTCATGTTTGCTGAAGCTTCTCGCCAGCAAGCTATCATACATCATCATTTTTTCTTCTTCCTCAACTTTTCGATCAAAAGACTCCTTCTTTAGCAGCAACCAGTCGTTGTGCTCATGGCTAAACTCTTTTACTCGAATATAAAAGGTGGTGATGAAATGGGAAATGGAAATGGCAAGGAGCAATAGGGACAAAACAGAGTGGTTGGAAGATACAGGGGAGGGTGCGAAACAGGGGAAGAGATTTATTATGAATAATTATAACATTATAATGTGTAATTTGGAGCTGTTGCTCCCCACGTATAATCATGTTTCCCAATTAACATTTTGTTTAATTTTGTGCAAACGGGTTTGATTGGGACAATAGGGAGGAGAGGTTGACTATTGCTATATAGTATTATACCAATCGGGCGGCCACCTTAGTTTTGGTGACTGATATATTCACCCTCTCAAATGATGTTGCCGGCAGCAAGCCAAGAAGTTTACACATAGATTGCAATACCTTTGTTGAGAAAAGGGCAACGTGACATAGTAACTATGATGATTTAACATCAGTGCTGTTTCAAGAAGATGCTATATCATTGCCAAGGACAAAAAGAAAGGTACACCGCTTTTGAGTTCGGATCAACAATCGTAAAAACCGTACTTGAGGTTGTACAGAAACAGTCAGCGATAAGTAGGGGTGTAGCTTTGGCCTAAGATAGTCACTGACCTGGTCCGGCCCTGCTCTGAGTGTCGGGCTGGGTTAGTTTAGAGTCGGGTCATCTTTCGGGCATGTAAGGGTCGGGCATGGTCCACTCAACTTAGGGAGGGTCACTTTTGGGCCTATGACTCACAACAGCAACTAGTGATTTGAAATTCTCCATATTAAAAGATTGGACCTATTTATGAAGTTTTAAAAGTATAGACACTATAATGCAATTTAAAAAATATAAAGGTATTAAAATGCAATTATGCTATCAAAATTTCCTGTCCTATTTGTAAAAAATAAAGTTTAGATAGTAAATTGTAGAAAAATTAAAAATTAAATATCAAACTGTAAATTAAATTTTCATATATCAGTTTGTTGGTTTGGGAGGACCTGCAGGCTTGACAAGACCCCATCTAGCTTGAGTGCCTGACCCAAGTGGGTCAGACAAGGTCAAGGGAAAATAGGGTTGGGCCGGGTTCCTAGCGCGACTCTATAGTGCCTGTATTTTGGGTAGTTGTAGGGTTAGAGTTGGGTTTGACCCATTTCCATCCCTAGCGGTAGGATTTTTGTACTGAAACCGTGATTTAATCACAGTTAAATTTTTTATTCCGCTAAAAACCGTCTAATGATTTAGACTCCGATTGAATATTTACTCAGATCTTACTGTACATTAGTGTATGGTTCTACAATATTTGGTTTGGATATATGTCTCTGGAAACGGTACACAATGAAAGACAAAATTAGAATGCGTTAGATGAAAACTTTGCCCTCATTGGACGAATAAATCTCAGTTCGTAGTTCTCACCCAAGAGAACGAAAATCAGTCTGGTGAGACAGGCCAGCGAAAGAACTACGCTTGGATAATAAACAAACGAGGGCCTTTCTGGTGCATTGGAACACAAATGGCGGTCTAGACTACAACATCTGGTTTGCTCCCTTATTTTATATGTTGAAGGGAAAACATGGCATTCAAATGAAAGGCTAAATCCTCACCTTTCATCATAAACTAAAACATCTCAACGAAGTGTATCAGTGGTGGAGTCAGAAATTCGAATGAGAAGAGCTAAAAGTTTACGTATAGATAATTCGAAAATAGAAGATGAGACTTATACGCTTTATCAACTACTATATTTTGCCAATTTATTACAAAATTTACATGTATTTTTAGATAATTTTGAGAGTTAGGGGGGCTAAGTCTCCCCTGCCATTAACATAGCTCCGCCGCTGATGTATGTATCCTGTTAGAATTATTTGAATATTTGTTTCTATCATTATAATGACTAGCATAGAGCCTAGCCCGTAGGGCGGGTTGTTCTTATAATTAAAGAAAGTTCTGGAGCTTTGAAGATTATGGAGTTTCTTGTGTCGTCATTTCTCATTGAGTGTGACTTCATATCCAAAGTTGTGCTTCGAATTCCTCATGGTTCGGATGATAGGTTAGACTAGCCGTTCGACCCTCTGGCATGAAGCTAGGGATGGCCGTTGGCAGGGACGGAGCCTAGGATTTTTAATTAGGGGAGCCAATTATTTTTTCAATACACTTGTATAATATCCACTTAAAATTTTGCTAAAAATTGCAAAAATCATATTTCTATACATATGAAATCATTTATAAAAAAAATAATATCTTACATAGTCTCCTATACTTATCAATCTGATAATTAAAAAAATTAATAATTCCAAATTATAAAATAAATCAAGCCCATATAATATAGCTGTCAAGATTTGACTATTTAAAAATAGAAACATGACTTACAAAGAGAGGGTAATCAACATTGAACAAGTGATTTCAAAGAAGCTAATTATCAAGTCAACGAGCATGCCTTCGAACCCTACTACTTTCGATCAAGGATGAGACCAAACTACCCCTATAACCACTACGCTGCCAAAATTTTATACGCTCCTTGCCTGTGTTTTTTGTAATTTCAAATGTTTAGGGGGGCCATGGCCCCCCTTCATAAGAGCTAGCTCTGTCCCTGGCCGTTGGTTTGCTTGCTTCTGGACCTTTGGTCCTTCATACAATTGGTCCTAGTCTAATATAATAATCTTTCTTCGGTGTATTTAGGTTCGAAAAATAACTTAAAAGTACCCAAAACGTAAGAATAAGAAAATACTATCGAATGAAACTTAAGGACGCTTCGAAAAGCGATTCCTTAACCTTTCGAAAGATTTTCATGGTCGCTTCATTCTTTCATTTTGATTTATACCTTTTCTTTTATGTATTTCTTTTGCACAAACCATACATTGTAGCACTTTTTATTGAGAAATCCCCAAAATTGGCTTAATAAGTTTTTCAAAGTAGAATATCATGGTAAAAACCAGCTAAGGGGAATCTTTGGAAATAGTTCAAGCGAATTTTGGCTTGAAAGAACATATATTGGTTTAAATTAAGTTGTAAAGAAAGAAATAGGCCTTAGCCGACTGTAGGTCATGCAAAACATTAGGCATATTTATCATGCAAAAAGGGATCCATCAAGCATGAAGAAAACGAATATGCATTAGTCTCACATGGCTTCCTAGATGCTATGTATTTCATGTAAATATATCACTTAATCTCTATGTCTAAATGTTCAGAGATGGTGATTGACTAATGCTAGTTTGCATGCAATTTTGTTATCAAGGAATAAGAGTGTGACAGGAGACGTGCTTCTACCACAATCTCAGTCATCATCATTGAATATCATTCATCTAAATTACATTAATATTTATGCATCAAAATTGATGGACCATGCGACTGAGAACCAAAATCAACGAATTGCCCATATATAATTACCAGAAGAAAAAAAAATTAAAATCCGCCGCATTTGCACAAATATGCCTATTAATGTTACAAATTTTTAATCAGAACATCAATATTATAAAATTAAACAATTGAACTACCAAATCATACTTTACATTTTAAACGAGACATTGTCATTTACACTAATCCCTTGATAACCATTTGTTTCCCTTATAATCAGTATCTGCGAAAGAAAGAAAGAAAGAAAGAAAGAAAGAGGTGGTGCTGACATGCTAACAAATAACTACTGAATTATGCACCACCCAATTTTCTGTGTCCAAATGTGATCAGTTTGGTTTGGTGAAAATAGATGGTGACATTTTAACAAATCGTTCACTCTTTTTTCTCTGGGCTCCAATTGTCTGGTGGGAAGCATGATTAATATACGCTGATGACAGCACAGTATCTAAATATTTATATATTAATTTCTTCTTGATGACAATTACGTGTCCATTTAAAATAAAATAAAAAAAACACAAATTGTACGTAGTTTATATATATATATACTAAATTGTAGATAGCTCCACGATTACTGAACTACTACCGGATTATAAAATTAAAAGTTTGGGTTTCTCTATAATACACAACCTCTCTTGGCTGTATTCAACACTAGTTGATACTTTATTTTGTGTCAAGTCGGTACTACTATCTGTGTCGGCTGGACAATTGACATGCAGTTTAATTTGTAATTGTATTGTAAGAAGAAAAGAAAAGGAAAAAAAAAAGATTGGTATTGTCCAGTAAATTTTAATTTGTATGAATGTGTATCGTGGTTGAGTAGTTTTGTCGTTGATTTTCAATCTGGACTCCTCAGATTTGAATCACAGGGACGATGTTTGTTTTTCTTTCCTCAACCCCTCTAGTAGCATTCCTAATGAACATTTTCTTATAAAAAAGAATACTCATTAAGAATCGGGTCAAGGCCATTATGAGCTCTAAGAATTCATCTTTGACCTAGCATTTGCCTTCATGAGGTTCGGTCAGAACCCCGATTTAAACCCACTGTACCGAGTGCAAATCTGATGATTAAGAGAGTTCTTAGTCAAATGACTAAATCCTCTTAAATCATACCCCTTAGATTTAAATATAATATACAAATCTAATTGTTAAAATAATGAAATGACGATTTAATTAGTCATACGGATAATAATTATGGTATGAAAAAATAATTTTTATTATCTTTTTTAGTCTTCTAGCAATCATTTTCTAGTGTCCTCTCTTGCCTCTTTTTTCTTTAACCAACTTCTTTTATCTTATTTATACTTCTATTTGGACAAAGATTATAACGTAGCATCCCAAAGTGTACAAAATAGAACAAAAAATATACAAACTATAAATAAAAAATTTACAAACCATACAATAAAAGCTTATAAACTACACAAATAAGACTATGAAAGTGTACAAATCATATCATAAAAATATAAAAACTAATATTACAAGGTATTTTTAATGGTTAAATCAAAATTGCATTAAGAACCGACACCAATAGCAAAAACCGCTATGGAGCCTCCAAAAAACAAACCGTTTCTGTACGGCAAACCCTCAAACTAGGGAACCTATCAAAGTAAACCAAAAACACTACCCCAAGCCCCTAGAATCAAAGCAATCAATCAAAGCTTGATTCTGAAGACATTGACTCCTTATACTCCATTTTGCAACAAGGATCAGCTGAGAGGGACTCCTTGCTACGCCAGAACCATACAATCTAGAGCACCTTTCACGCCACACAAAGCTCACAGTCACACTCCAACTAACACGACAGAAAATAGCAGAAGGCATATCCCCTCTCCATTTCTGCAAACACCACTGTAAAACAGCTTGCCAGCTATCACAAACAAGGGGAGAATCACCCTGCAAAATCACACTATTCAAATGCTGAACATAAGGACAAGCAGAGAACAGGTGCCATCGATTTTCCACACCACCAGGGCATAAAGTGCACATCCCAGAAGCTTCAGTCGATCATTGCTTACCAACCAAAGAATAAACCCATGCCGAGGAAAAATAAACTTGCCCCAAACCAGCTTAAACCAAGGAACCACAAGATCATGTTGCCTCAATGATTCCAGACGTGCTTGTGAAATAAGGGTTCATAGGTTCCCCATCCCAACACAGTTCAGCCCCATATATTGCAAGAAACAAAAGGTATCGTTGAATCCTTGCACTTCAGGATTCGTTTCCAAATCCAAGTTCCAGCAGTTGAAGCCTTCAAAATCCCACAATGAGTTCTGCTTAAGACGATACCGTGCAACCCAGGCCACCCACAAGGAACCTGCAGCAGTAAGAACTGACCACAAATGCTTGAGTCACAAGCTTGATTCCAAATGGAGAAATTTCTGACCCCTAAACCCCCTTCTTTCTTTGGTCGAGCAACAAACTGGCAGGAGGCGACAACCCGCTTTCTCATTGAATCATCATCAATATCCCAAAGAAATCTGCTACAAATTGACTCCACTTCCTTGATTACAAACTTTGGAAGCAAGAAAATCCCCATCCAAAACTGCAGCACACTAGTTAGAACCGATGAGATCAATTGCAGTCGACCTGCAAAGCTAGGAAACCTTGCTTTCCAGCTACGAACTTTCCCAGTAATTCTCTCAATCAGCACTTTACATTCTGCCTAGTAAGCTTTCCTGTTATCAGGGGAACCCCCAGGTAATGCACTGGCAATTGCCCCATAGGAAACTTAGAATAACTTGAAATCAATTGCTTCTCCCCCTCTGAAATGCCCCACAAAACAACTAACACTTCTCTGGATTGATTTTTAAGCCAAAAACTCTGTAAAAAGTCTTTAAAACCCTACAAACCCCTGCTACTCCTCTGATAGACCCATTAGTAAAAACAAGCAGGTCGTCAACAAAACATAGATGTGTTATTCAGATGTGTTATTGCTAACGGTTTACATCTAGGATGACTAATATTACAAGGTATACAAACAAAACCGTGGAAATATATAAACCAATTGCACAAACTATACAAACCATATAATAAAAGTTTACAAAGTAATAGTAGATAGTATACAAACCAGAATATAAAAGTATACAAACCAATAATAAATTATATGCAAACTATTAAGACAAACTATACAAACCCGATTATAAAGGCTTACAACTAATAATACAAAACGATTATGCCCCCCTTGTAAGAAGCTTCTGGTGGGAATAGAGGAGCAAAATCCATTATATAATTTAAATGAAGGGCTGAGATATACTTAGTCACCAAATCTCAACCCTATGGGTACCTTTTACATTAATTGGGCGAAACACAAGTACTTGAATAAGACAATATTGTTTGCTTTATGCATGGATTAGTCTCATTCATCCTAAATGAGAAAAAGCATGTAAATCAAATTTTTTGTTTCCGTCTCGATGTATTCCAGTTTCGCCCATCTCCGATTAGATTTAAAGTTGATAACCAAAATCAGATTAAAGTACTCTAGGATTCAAAACACCTTTCTTATAAATATTTCAATTAGGATAAATATATATTTGCTACAACAACTCATTTAGCAAACCAATTCAAGTTTCAAGGCGAAACAAGTTTAACCCGATCAATTCTCAACACCGAGAAAAAAAAATCACTCATGCAAAAGCTCCAAACCCTTCACCAACAACGGCTTGAATCTCGTAACATCGATCGTCACGTTCTGGTTCTGCAAGTAAATCGGGCTGAACTCCTCCCACCGAAACGACGCCGGGTCGGTGAAAACGACGTCGTCCGGCGGGTACTGCCTCATCAAACTGCTCTCTTCCCTCTCGATCTTATACTCCAAATACCTCACGCCCATCTTCTCCGCCGGCTCCCCGAAATACGCGCCGGAAACCCAGTCCGCGGCGAACGGAACCACCTGAATCACCACCGCATCCTCGGGAAGAAAAACCATGTTGGTGAGCCCGGCGCCGTGGACTCCCATCATCACGTCGAAACCGTTCGTGAACTCCGCCGTTTTCGAAACGTCGTCGTCGAGCTCCCCGACGGTAACTCGGTACCCGAGTTCTCGGGCGAGATTCTCGATCTCTTCCACGTTCGTGACGATTCGAGTCTTCTCGCGAGATATTATTAGGAGTCGGGGGATAAGAGTGTTGTCTCCGGTTTGTAGCTTTACCGCGGTTGTCCTTTTGAGAGAGTATGCGCTTCTTAGGAACCGCTTGAAGTCGGCCATCGTGTATTCGGATTGCTCCGAGTTGATGCTGAGTTCTTTGCCGTCGCGGCCTTTGAGGCCGATCGTGAGTCTCGAGAAGCATCGGGGTTTTCCGGCCGGTTGTCCCTTGTCGATGTCGATCGTCGGATACCTGAATTCGAATTCCATTGGAGTCATTCTGGTGGTCAGTCGTCGAAACTATCAAGAATATTTTTGCTCAATTGTAAGAATTCGGCGACATCAATCCTTTGTTTCGAGGTTTTGATATGAGATTTTTAGCTAATATGATTTTCTCGTAAATTCTACGTGATGAATCTTGCAAAAAGAGAGCATATGTTCTAAGGCAAATATCTCGATATTTTTTATCCAATTCGGACAGGTTGGGTAATTTATTATAATGGCACGGAGTAGAGTAGGGGTTAACTAATCATATGAGTAGGTATTTAAAAGGAAATATAAAAAATATTTATTTTTTTCATTTAAAAAAAGGAAACAAACTATAATATGACAAATGTAATCAAATTATTGGAGAAATTGAGGTTCTAACTGTTTACAACATCATTATAGTTAAAAATAAGAGGTAACAAAAGTAAAATCTTAAATAAATTCGAGTAAAATTATATATAATTTTGAATAAAAAAAAGATCGAAAATGAAACGAGTCAGGACATGTGAAGTCAAAGAAAGTACTCATATATGTTCTTGCCTACAACGTAAGTATTATTTGTCCAAAACAAGTAAGATAAAACGGATCGAGTCGACATTGGCAATGCTAATCATCATCAATCAGGCATCTAGAGAATTGTACATCAATGTCGAAAAAGATAGGATAAAGAAAAAGGGAAAATCATACCTGGACAGTCCGTTAAACAGAGTCATAAATTTGTCGACGTGCACTGGTTTCCCGTCGGTGACGAGAAGCACGACTTCTCGGTTGAACGGATGTGCAGTGACAAAAAGCGCGACCAAAACATCGGTGAATGCGTGGAAATAGTTCCCAAAATAGGCTCCGGCGGAAAATAGAACTCCCGGAGCATCGTGAATTTGATCACCGCCGGAACATCGCGGCAAGTTCTGGTGGTTTTCAGGCACCATTTTCACCGACCACTCTCTTATCTGTCCCATGGCAACGTCGTCGCCGTTTCGCGGGTACGGCTTTATGGTGATCGGCGGTGACCTGATCTTGTTTCCCGCTGCGAGCATTGCGTACGTCTCCGACTGGACGACTTGGTAAATAGTTGCGGTATCGGGGTCTATTCGGAGATCGCCTTCTATGTCGCAGAAATCCGATCTCCCGCCGAATGTGCACTCCGCCGGCCGGACTATTTTGGGCTGCTTCGGTGCAGCTCCTGATAGCAAATCAGTGAGATATGAATCAAATAATATAAGGATGGATTTCCATATATTGTATTTGAAATGCTTGTAATTCAACTCGTTGTTTGGATGTGTTGATGTTGCCGATTTTATAACTTTTAATTTGAATTATTGTTTTTACACTGAACTTTATTTATTTTTTTACGAACGGTTCAAAGTATTCTAGTATCTTTTGGGGTCGTTTAGACGATGAATTCTAATGGATCAATTGATTTCATTATCTCATTTTGAGACAATTGTGTCAAATTCGACATATTTGGCAGCAATAAATTTGGATGGAGTAATTTGGACTTGAGAATTCTAATTGACTCGGTCAGAGACAATTACAATTATCTGGGGCTGGGATGGGAGGCAGGTAATTCGAATTGACTCATTTTAAATGATTTGTTTATTAAAATGAAACGATTGGTCCATTGTCTCGTTTCCCAATTGATCTATTCAAACGACCCTTATATTGTTTGTCTTACACTATAGTACCCGAACTTTCAAAATTTTACAAACAGGTCCAATCTGTTGCTTTGAGGAATTTCAAATCACTAGCTGTTGATATGCATTTGAAATTTACTAGACATATATATGGAAATCACGCCATGAATTTGTCACAAATCTAAATACAGTTACCAAACATATGATTCAGTATTTGGAAATCCAAATACCAAATAGCAAAATCTAAATCCTTCTATCCGAACACCATCAGTAACTTTGGTGAACAAACACACATCTTGGGATGATAAAGAGAGTTACGTACCATGTCGTCGGTGCAGCGACGAGCAAATGATGAAGCTAGCAAGAATGAGGAGGATCGTGAACAATGCTGCACCGGTTCGCAGCATCTTCTTTTCACGTTTGCTCCACCGTCTGCCCGCCATCAAGCCACTGCTGTTGTTGATGTTCTTCTTCTTCATCTTTCATCAAAGCTGTCATTCAGTTTCTTGAAGTATTGCTTCTTCTTTTTTATATCTCACGCAACTTGTCACTTGGGAAAGCTGGCTGGGTTGAAGACTTGAAGAAGGAGGCCAAGACGCATTCTCTACTATACTGAAATTAATTACTGTCACGTAAAGGTGATAGATGTTTGAACGACCAAACCGAAAGGTGTGAAGAGATATAGATATAGCAACCGTCGTCTTTTTATTCGATTATATAATATATTAACCAATTTTCTGCGGTTATTATTTTTCTTTCATATTTATGTAGTATATGAACTTTGTTTCATAAGGGATAACTATTTATTGTGAGTTTGGTCAGGATCAATGATAATATCAAACAATACGGGTAAGTTGAAGATCATATTCAGTGTTCACGGTCATCTGATTTTTATTGTCCAACAGTTTTTCAACTTTTTGAAATTGTAATATAGAAGTCAATCTTCAACTTATTTCCTTCAATCTGGCGACAACACGTAGAAGATTCAAATGATCATAGATGCAATGATTACATTGGAGTAATCTTCAACTTATTTTTCTATCTTATATAAATATATTACTGAACAAACTTAAGATTTGGACATTTGATGACATTAACCTTGGCTTGTCAATGGCAAATTCAGCCCTCAATTGATACATATAACTCATGTCCATCATTCAATTTGTGAGTGGTATTCTCACCCATAGAACGCGAACGCCAAAGATACCATTATAGATCCTTACTAGCCTTTTACCCGGCCCGTTGGCCGGAGAGATTTATTTTATAATTTATATGTTTAAATCATTTTGGATCTTCTAAATATTTTGTAACCGAGTTTGTAGTATGTTTATATTGAAATTTTCAATATTTAGCACACTCACTTGTGATGCTTCGGTTTTCGAATCATAAATTATGCCGCTGTCACGTCCCATTTAGAACTTATATCAAAATTTGTCAACCAAAACACTAATATTTAGCGTACGCCAACCTAAACCACACACACATATATATAGTTCAAGCTAGCGTGCGCCAGGAGTACGTTATACTCTTGCGTTCATACTACCATACGACCATTGAGTTTTACTATTTAGACCTGAATTAACCGGATTTTTTTGGGGCATTATACTATACCCTAACCTCTAATAGGTGAACTCTAGTCCCTAATTCTGTAACCTCTAATTTATGCACATACTTCGTAATACCTATCTTCTATCGTATCTTGAGTTAAATAAAAAGTATAGTATACCTTGATATTACATATACATACATATATATATATATATATATATATATATGTATGTATGTATATTACACTCAAAATTATCTAGAGATCTCGCTTTTACCCCCATAACGCCAGAGAACCATTGGGGTTGTCTATTGTTCGATATATAATATATAAAAAGGTAGGGATGACGGGATCATAGCTCGATATGGTTTTATTATGTTCATCTTATCAGAGGTTATGTTCTTTTTTGCTTTTTTTGGCTTCTTTTTCATTCTACTTTAGTACCTATGGTTGTGATCAGAGGTATCTAGCCCTCGAAAGGGATTGGGATTTTAGGTCCTTTGGAAATCCAATACATATTAATGATCCTCGAGTTTGGACGAACTCGAGACCAATGTTGTAAAAATTATGACTTTTTAGTGAGAAATTCTTAGTAAAGATACTTCATTATTGGATTTATTCATCCATATTGAAACTTGACACACACTGTAGCCCTCATGATGACTAAATTCTCTAATCTCGACTCATTTCCATTTTGGATGTTTTTTTTATCCAGACACTTAAATTTAGTATATTATACAATATGTATCCATTGTTAATTTTTGAAGTTTATACTAAACCTCAACCGGTGGTCATTGTTTATATGTTGACTTAGAATCTCAATCTAAGACACTCACACACACTATCGAAGATTTTTGGTCTTAACATGGTCGTTGAATGTGTAATTTACAAAGATTTTATCGCTTATATATTAATAATTGATAAAGAGTGTCTCCAATACACACATATTTTAAGTGCATTTAAAATGTCTTATCATTTGAACAATATCAGTGTATTTCATTTGATTATTTGCATTAACTTATTATCTTATACAACATATATTAATTCGTTTTTCTCGAGTCTAGACGAACTGAAAACCAATTTTGAGAGTTGAGATTATTGGATAAAGATACTTGATTGCTGGATAAATATGTTTATCCCAATTGACGATCTTACTAAAAATTGCCAACCTTTATTTGGTAAATGCCTATGTTAGTAGTTGATGAAACGTGATGTTTATCGTAGATTCTGAACAGTGATTTTTCTAACCTTCACATCTATTATTTTTCAAGGAATCTTGTATCTCATCCTAGGGTATGAAGTCAAAGTTCGTCAACAATCATACTTAAGTCATTTTGAAAATTTTGATTTATAATCGTCGAAGATATCTCCAAGGCTGAAAGAAAATTTCTTAGCATACGACTTAGAACCTCAATAGAGCTTGCTCAATCGACATGATATAGAGCAAATATTATTAATGTGAACTTAGGTCACATTATCAAATTATTGCACATGCGATACCTCTTCATTTGAGGAATTTAAGGTAGAACATGATCTGAATAAATAAGAAATTTTTTTAAATAAATAACTGTAACTACTCGATCAAGATTGTACTCTGACATTTTGCTAAATAATACTGTTTTATTTTATAGATATATATTGTACGAATAAGATAATGTTTCATTGCAACAAAATATAAAGTAATTTAGTTTATTTTTCAAAGGTAATTGAATGACAAATGTTTATTTTCTCTCTTTTCATATATATTTTGGTTTAATCGATTAAAACATAATTGTTTATGTGTATGTTTGTTTATTTTTTCATCAAAATGTAACTTATCATTGAATTTTAGTAAAAATGAGTAGAAAATTTATTTCATAAGGTTTAATCAGATATTTTTTATTTAAATAAATATGATATATGTCACTCTCTTTTTTCGTATTTATATTTTGTTTATTTAAAAAAATTATTATTTATGTGTGTTTGGTTAAGTTTATCAACATGTAACTTATTATTAAAGACAAAAAAGAATAAATGGATAAATGAAAAAGAATAATTGGATAAAAGAAATGGAAATATTAAAGAAGAGAGAGGTATCTCCATAAATACATTAATAACTAATTTTTTGTTTGTAAAAAAGTTGTCCAACTTGGCAAATTGTAGATCCTCCAAGTGCTTATGTGGCAAGAATTTTTTTTTTTGAATTGCCATAATATATAGTATAGATAGATAGATAGATAGATATAGATGTTCCAAGAAGAGAGAGAGAGAGATTTTGGTTTAACCTCAACGAAAGAATCAAAGCAATAAAATTTGTATTATGTGTTGTCTCGGGAGAAAAATCTTGTTTAGTTTGGTTTCTGTGTTGGTCATCTCTAGTCGGCTAACCCGTAAGACAGTGCAGAGCACAGGCTAGGTAGTCCGAATTTTCCTTCATACGAATCAAGTCGTTGAGGGATATACCACGTTAACTCGCGTCTTGCACTGGCCGAACAAGAGGCTTTTTGCAATGAAGAGGTGAATGTGACTCCCATTTGCAAGTGACGATGGGTTAATATTAATGTACTGTTACGTTTCTCACGTTATAACACAAATAAAATTAACTATCATTGAATGGGTACACAACTTTCATACATTTATGCTACATATATATATATATATATATATATATATATATATATATATATATATATATATATATAGTACTACACAATTATGATAATTGCACCATCATGCATGTTCCTACTGAATTCGATGCAAGCGCATCCTCACCAATTGAACGTCCGGTTGGGCTGCGAGAACATGGCCAGCGCCTTCAGCAGCGTCGGCCGAAACCTCTGCGTGTCAATCGTCACGTTCTGGTTATCCAAGTAAATCGACTTGAACACCCCCCACCCCTTCCTCTCAAACGACGCCGGATCGGTGAAAACGGCGTCGTCCTCAGCGTACTCCCCCGCCAAACTGCTCTCCTCCCTTCCGATCCTGTACTCCAGGTACCTCACGTCCATGTCCGTCGACGGCTCCTCGTAGAACGTCCTCGCGCACCACTCCAGCGCCACGGGCACGACCTGGATGAAAACGGCGCCGTCCGGAAGGAAAACCACGTTCGTCAGGTCGGACCCGTGGACTCCCAACACGACGTCGCACGAGTGCACGACGCGAGCCGACGCGGGGAGATCCTGCATGGCGGATGGTTCCGCCACCGTGACGCGGAACCCGAGGCCCGTCGCCATCCTCGCGATGTCGCGGAGGTTGGTGAACGTGCGGACGGTCTTTCGAGAGATGATGAGAAGTCGGGGAACTGCAGCTGCAGATGATTTGTTGTTGTCTCCCGGTGGTTGGGGTTTGGTTGCGGCGGTGGTGGTGGTGGTGGTTGTTTTGTTTAAGGAGTAGACGGTTCTTAAGAGATGGATGAAGTCTTTGATTCTGTATGGAGATTGGAGCGGGTTGATGCTGAGTTCTTTCAGGTGGCGACCTTTTAGGCCTAAGGTTAGGGTTGAGAAGCAGTGTGTTTTTTCGCCCTGCCTTTCTTTGTCGATGTCGATCACTTCGTACCTGAAAATGATTTCCAAGGATATGGATGAATGATCCTAGCCATTTCATTTACAGTTGCAGAAACAAAGAACTTTTATTAGAGATGAAATTTGTCTAAATGTATACTACTTGAGGAATATATCAGATTATGGTGGCTTCTACAGTGCACTCACAATGATGATTTAATATAGAACCGCAGCTAATAAATACGTTATCCTAAGTGTCAAAACTTTAATTTCTAACCTTAAACCCTAAAAATGCTCTTTCATCGGTTCGGCATTGACGTAAGGAAGCTAATATCCCTTTTTTATTGGATTTTAGTGTCTTTCGCTTTATTTTTAGGCAAATAACAGAGCTGCCCATGACGTGGGTAAAAAATACTATTTTATTGGCATGTCGATTAGTATTTACTGCCACATTACGTTTTAATCTCTTGTACTCTCCTACCGATTTACAATCTATTGAGAGAAAAAAAACTTTTAACCCTAAACCTCAAATTGCAAATCCCTACCTTCAAAACAAAGTAAATACATCTTGAATGATTTTTATTCAAATTCATGTGTTTTCTTGTCTATTATATTACAAGTGACGATTAACATTCTTTTGACATAAATTATCTGCTTAGAATGACGATTATAAGACACTACACAAAAAAAAAAGTGAGTACACAGAAAACAAACTGACTTCTCACTGTACAAATTCTTCTAATACAACTCTCTTATCAATAGCAGATCATCACATAAAACTTTAAAGCACCACAATTTTATTCTGAAAATCATGACATGATAAAACCAATTAACCCAAATAACGACTCAATCAAAGAACTAGAAAAAAAAAAGAAGAAGAAATTCGTACCTGGATAGTGCTCCTGTTATTGGTTTGAGCAAGGGCACCAGCCACGACTGATAGTCCGTCGCCAAAAGCTCTACTTCCCCCTCGAAGGGACGAGCGGTGGCGAAAAGAGGGACGAGGACGTCGGTGAAGAGGTGAAATCGGTGCCCGGCGTACCCAGCAAGTGAGAAGATCACGCCGGCGTCGTCGTGAATTTCGTAGCAGAACGGCAGGTCCGGATCGCTCGGCGGCACCATTTTTAGTGACCATTCTCTTACGGTCGCCATTGCGTAGGGATCGTCGTTTCTCGCGTAGGGCCTGACGCTGAACGACGACGTGTTGCCGTTTTCAGGGGACAGGTGGATTGTATCATTCTCTGACGTGGCGACGTAGTAAACAGTCCATGAGTTTGGGTCGACTCTAATGTCTCCTCGTAAGTCGCAGAAGTCTGACCGACCGCCGGTGGTGCATACCGCCGGCGGCGGGATTGCTATTTCGTTCTGTTTGACCGTAGTAACCTCTGCTGCGTGCGAACAAGAAAATGTTTGTCAAACCAATATTTTAGAAACCTTACCATAGTGGTCTATCTGAGCATAAATGTCAGGATATCGAAACTCAAATCAATTGTGTAGTCAGAAATTTATTTAAGGTAAATCTAATGTGATAAAACGTACTTATGTTTTAAGATGTGTTATCAAATTCTGAATTTTTTTAAAATACATTTATCTGCAAATTATAAGAGATGTTAAGATACTTTACCGAAATTCATTCATGATTTCATCTCTCAAATGATTCTGAAGTGTTTATTCACTTTACTCGGTGTCCTTTAACACTTATAATAACAACTAATAGCAACAAATGCCCTTAAATTTTATTTTTTTTATAAACGGAGTTACAAAATATAATTAAAAAGTTAAACAGAAATGGAAAAAAATTGCTTTTGCCGTAAAATTGTTTACAATAATAGGACGATCTATTATTCAATTTACAATCCCATAAAAAAATTTACTACCAATTTTGGGTCAAAGTGGTACAAAGAACCTACTTTAGCCTTAAGTGGCTCCACTACTACATCAAAACGATAGGCAATTTCAGCGTTACGAAACGATTGAACCACGGCTCAACCACCATTTCAATACAAAATACTCTATTACTAACTTTTTCAATATAATTTCCAGTACGCTTTCACAATTCAAACTCATACCTGCTTCATATTTACTTTCAATATACGAATTTCTCATTAAAATCTTACCTTCCTCCTCCTTTAAAGGCTGAGAACTACTGCTGGTACCGTTTGCAAGTGGTGGAGTCTCCTCCACCGATTCCATTCCGATTCTTCCATCTTTCTCTGAAAATTTCAGATGACAAAAAGTAAACACATCATATTAAGGAAACATCAAGACTCAAGAGTTGACTTTGAGGCTTGATGTTAAATTATGCATGCATGCATGCATGTTGTACCGTTGCCGCTGGTCGTGCTCGTTTCCACAGTAGAGATGCTACTGGTTCTGTCATCGATCCTCGTCGTTTCAGTGTCCCGTTTCACAGATTCTTCTTGCAGTAGTGGTTGACTTTCCCGCAGAATCATTTGCTGTCGGGATTCTTCTGGCTGTGGCCGTTGACTGTCCTCCAGAATGCCTTGCTGCCGGGATTGATCTTGTGGCTGTAGTGGTTGACTTTCCTGCAGAATGGTTTGCTGTTCGGAGCTCCTCGCGTCAACACGGGCTTCATTACCGGTTGAGTTTTCTGAGAAAGGTTAGAAGCACTCATATTAACTTGAGTCGTTGGGAGAAGGGTATGCTGGATCTTATACAATCTCATATATGGTACTTAACCACTTCATTACACGCCCCCTCAAACGAAAGCCGATTCATGGACTTCCTCACCTTGTGTTTTTCTGTAAGAATGATTCTGATCAGCTTTTGGCGTTAGCTGAGTGGAGTTGCTTGTATAATCTTGTGCAGTTGCGACAATGTTTATGATTTCTGTGTCTGCACAGGTTATCGATCATCATCCCAAGGGAAACTGTGTCAGTCAATCATTCCTCTACCCAAAAACGCTCCCTTTAATTATATGCCAAAATAAACCTCAAAAGTTTGAAGAGTAAAGTAATTTGAGGATACGCTACACTCGCTGGTCTTGCTAACATCAACAACTCCCAGAGGTCCGATCTGATCAACTGCATCCAGACCAACATGCAGCATACAAAGTAAGATCGACGACATGCATATATATAATCCGATTCAAGTCATATCAACAACGCACATGCATGAATGCACAGCACAAGGGTATAGCTGATGGAAGAATAGAAAAGAATATATAATACCGTATTGAGAGAATCTGACGCAAACGAAGAAGCCAGTGATCATTGACCAGGTTATCCTCCATTTGGTCTGTTCGTACTTCATCAACCTCCTGGCCCGCAATGCGTCGTACTTCTTCATTGTGATGATCCAAAGAAGAGAAAAAATTCAAGTTTTAACTGCGGGTGTGGATTCTTCAATTCACCTTATAAAATTTATGTATCGTCGGAATAATGGCGAGTTACGTTGGAGAAGCTAGGCGGCACGCATTCTAATAACTGGTTGTTATAGATATTGACCGAAAATGATTGACGATGAATATGATATAAGAACTGGAAGGTGTTATGTATAAAACGATCGAGGGAAGTGCCGTGGGGGTTACATACTAACATAAAGTGTCTCGATTTTTCAAATTGATTGCGATGGCGATGGCGATGGCGATGGGGGGCGCATGATTATGCCGTGATTACAGCATCGGAAAGAAAGACCGACCAACCCACCCACCCACCCACCGGACGTGTCAACTTGGGAACCTTTTTTCGGCCACGACTGGGCTGCCGGCCTATTAAGCATCACGATCGCATGTGCGTCTCATGTTGGGCCGAAGCCTGCAGCTAATGCTCCCCGTACTGGAAGCCGCAATCAGCCAAGCGGTGAGACCAAAGGCCCATATCTCCCCCATCCATTATCAATTTCAGCGCATCAGTGATGGATAAGAGGCCAGTTCAAAGTCGAACGCACCAATAATGGATCAGAGTCTAGGCCCAGCTGACTGAACCAGTCGCATGATGCCCGCCGGCCCAGTCATTGTACAAGGAACCGAATCCCTAACATTAAAGAGAAATTTCAACAGCAAATGGACTTCACCAATCAACTTGTTGTACAGTGGCTGAGTGTTTGAATAATTGATTCCTAGACAAGAGGCGGGAAAATCACAACGGCGGAACGACGGATCCGGCACTCACAATACAATATGATTCACACCCCACCTAGCTAGGTGTTGAGGAGGATGTGGAGCTACGTACACAATTATGATAATTGCACCATCATGCATGTTCCTACTGAATTCGATGCAAGCGCATCCTCACCAATTGAACGTCCGGTTGGGCTGCGAGAACATGGCCAGCGCCTTCAGCAGCGTCGGCCGAAACCTCTGCGTGTCAATCGTCACGTTCTGGTTATCCAAGTAAATCGACTTGAACACCCCCCACCCCTTCCTCTCAAACGACGCCGGATCGGTGAAAACGGCGTCGTCCTCAGCGTACTCCCCCGCCAAACTGCTCTCCTCCCTTCCGATCCTGTACTCCAGGTACCTCACGTCCATGTCCGTCGACGGCTCCTCGTAGAACGTCCTCGCGCACCACTCCAGCGCCACGGGCACGACCTGGATGAAAACGGCGCCGTCCGGAAGGAAAACCACGTTCGTCAGGTCGGACCCGTGGACTCCCAACACGACGTCGCACGAGTGCACGACGCGAGCCGACGCGGGGAGATCCTGCATGGCGGATGGTTCCGCCACCGTGACGCGGAACCCGAGGCCCGTCGCCATCCTCGCGATGTCGCGGAGGTTGGTGAACGTGCGGACGGTCTTTCGAGAGATGATGAGAAGTCGGGGAACTGCAGCTGCAGATGATTTGTTGTTGTCTCCCGGTGGTTGGGGTTTGGTTGCGGCGGTGGTGGTGGTGGTGGTTGTTTTGTTTAAGGAGTAGACGGTTCTTAAGAGATGGATGAAGTCTTTGATTCTGTATGGAGATTGGAGCGGGTTGATGCTGAGTTCTTTCAGGTGGCGACCTTTTAGGCCTAAGGTTAGGGTTGAGAAGCAGTGTGTTTTTTCGCCCTGCCTTTCTTTGTCGATGTCGATCACTTCGTACCTGAAAATGATTTCCAAGGATATGGATGAATGATCCTAGCCATTTCATTTACAGTTGCAGAAACAAAGAACTTTTATTAGAGATGAAATTTGTCTAAATGTATACTACTTGAGGAATATATCAGATTATGGTGGCTTCTACAGTGCACTCACAATGATGATTTAATATAGAACCGCAGCTAATAAATACGTTATCCTAAGTGTCAAAACTTTAATTTCTAACCTTAAACCCTAAAAATGCTCTTTCATCGGTTCGGCATTGACGTAAGGAAGCTAATATCCCTTTTTTATTGGATTTTAGTGTCTTTCGCTTTATTTTTAGGCAAATAACAGAGCTGCCCATGACGTGGGTAAAAAATACTATTTTATTGGCATGTCGATTAGTATTTACTGCCACATTACGTTTTAATCTCTTGTACTCTCCTACCGATTTACAATCTATTGAGAGAAAAAAAACTTTTAACCCTAAACCTCAAATTGCAAATCCCTACCTTCAAAACAAAGTAAATACATCTTGAATGATTTTTATTCAAATTCATGTGTTTTCTTGTCTATTATATTACAAGTGACGATTAACATTCTTTTGACATAAATTATCTGCTTAGAATGACGATTATAAGACACTACACAAAAAAAAAAGTGAGTACACAGAAAACAAACTGACTTCTCACTGTACAAATTCTTCTAATACAACTCTCTTATCAATAGCAGATCATCACATAAAACTTTAAAGCACCACAATTTTATTCTGAAAATCATGACATGATAAAACCAATTAACCCAAATAACGACTCAATCAAAGAACTAGAAAAAAAAAAGAAGAAGAAATTCGTACCTGGATAGTGCTCCTGTTATTGGTTTGAGCAAGGGCACCAGCCACGACTGATAGTCCGTCGCCAAAAGCTCTACTTCCCCCTCGAAGGGACGAGCGGTGGCGAAAAGAGGGACGAGGACGTCGGTGAAGAGGTGAAATCGGTGCCCGGCGTACCCAGCAAGTGAGAAGATCACGCCGGCGTCGTCGTGAATTTCGTAGCAGAACGGCAGGTCCGGATCGCTCGGCGGCACCATTTTTAGTGACCATTCTCTTACGGTCGCCATTGCGTAGGGATCGTCGTTTCTCGCGTAGGGCCTGACGCTGAACGACGACGTGTTGCCGTTTTCAGGGGACAGGTGGATTGTATCATTCTCTGACGTGGCGACGTAGTAAACAGTCCATGAGTTTGGGTCGACTCTAATGTCTCCTCGTAAGTCGCAGAAGTCTGACCGACCGCCGGTGGTGCATACCGCCGGCGGCGGGATTGCTATTTCGTTCTGTTTGACCGTAGTAACCTCTGCTGCGTGCGAACAAGAAAATGTTTGTCAAACCAATATTTTAGAAACCTTACCATAGTGGTCTATCTGAGCATAAATGTCAGGATATCGAAACTCAAATCAATTGTGTAGTCAGAAATTTATTTAAGGTAAATCTAATGTGATAAAACGTACTTATGTTTTAAGATGTGTTATCAAATTCTGAATTTTTTTAAAATACATTTATCTGCAAATTATAAGAGATGTTAAGATACTTTACCGAAATTCATTCATGATTTCATCTCTCAAATGATTCTGAAGTGTTTATTCACTTTACTCGGTGTCCTTTAACACTTATAATAACAACTAATAGCAACAAATGCCCTTAAATTTTATTTTTTTTATAAACGGAGTTACAAAATATAATTAAAAAGTTAAACAGAAATGGAAAAAAATTGCTTTTGCCGTAAAATTGTTTACAATAATAGGACGATCTATTATTCAATTTACAATCCCATAAAAAAATTTACTACCAATTTTGGGTCAAAGTGGTACAAAGAACCTACTTTAGCCTTAAGTGGCTCCACTACTACATCAAAACGATAGGCAATTTCAGCGTTACGAAACGATTGAACCACGGCTCAACCACCATTTCAATACAAAATACTCTATTACTAACTTTTTCAATATAATTTCCAGTACGCTTTCACAATTCAAACTCATACCTGCTTCATATTTACTTTCAATATACGAATTTCTCATTAAAATCTTACCTTCCTCCTCCTTTAAAGGCTGAGAACTACTGCTGGTACCGTTTGCAAGTGGTGGAGTCTCCTCCACCGATTCCATTCCGATTCTTCCATCTTTCTCTGAAAATTTCAGATGACAAAAAGTAAACACATCATATTAAGGAAACATCAAGACTCAAGAGTTGACTTTGAGGCTTGATGTTAAATTATGCATGCATGCATGCATGTTGTACCGTTGCCGCTGGTCGTGCTCGTTTCCACAGTAGAGATGCTACTGGTTCTGTCATCGATCCTCGTCGTTTCAGTGTCCCGTTTCACAGATTCTTCTTGCAGTAGTGGTTGACTTTCCCGCAGAATCATTTGCTGTCGGGATTCTTCTGGCTGTGGCCGTTGACTGTCCTCCAGAATGCCTTGCTGCCGGGATTGATCTTGTGGCTGTAGTGGTTGACTTTCCTGCAGAATGGTTTGCTGTTCGGAGCTCCTCGCGTCAACACGGGCTTCATTACCGGTTGAGTTTTCTGAGAAAGGTTAGAAGCACTCATATTAACTTGAGTCGTTGGGAGAAGGGTATGCTGGATCTTATACAATCTCATATATGGTACTTAACCACTTCATTACACGCCCCCTCAAACGAAAGCCGATTCATGGACTTCCTCACCTTGTGTTTTTCTGTAAGAATGATTCTGATCAGCTTTTGGCGTTAGCTGAGTGGAGTTGCTTGTATAATCTTGTGCAGTTGCGACAATGTTTATGATTTCTGTGTCTGCACAGGTTATCGATCATCATCCCAAGGGAAACTGTGTCAGTCAATCATTCCTCTACCCAAAAACGCTCCCTTTAATTATATGCCAAAATAAACCTCAAAAGTTTGAAGAGTAAAGTAATTTGAGGATACGCTACACTCGCTGGTCTTGCTAACATCAACAACTCCCAGAGGTCCGATCTGATCAACTGCATCCAGACCAACATGCAGCATACAAAGTAAGATCGACGACATGCATATATATAATCCGATTCAAGTCATATCAACAACGCACATGCATGAATGCACAGCACAAGGGTATAGCTGATGGAAGAATAGAAAAGAATATATAATACCGTATTGAGAGAATCTGACGCAAACGAAGAAGCCAGTGATCATTGACCAGGTTATCCTCCATTTGGTCTGTTCGTACTTCATCAACCTCCTGGCCCGCAATGCGTCGTACTTCTTCATCGTGATGATCCAAAGAAGAGAAAAATTCAAGTTCTTAACTGCGGGTGTGGATTCTTCAATTCACCTTATAAAATTTATGTATCGTCGGAATAATGGCGAGTTACGTTGGAGAAGCTAGGCAGCACGCATTTGTAATAACTGGTTGTTATAGATATTGACCGAAAATGATTGACGATGAATATGATATAAGAACTGGAAGGTGTTATGTATAAAACGATCGAGGGAAGTGCCGTGGGGTTACATACTAACATAAATCGTCTCGATTTTTCAAATAGTCATTTTTGTCTTTATCGTGTTTTCAATACGTTATAAGCATATTTGAAGTTGTTCAAGTATTTGTTTAGATGATTTATAGTCAAATACCAAACAAAATTTATCAACAGTGATGAATGACACGTACAAATTAAGCCGTTAGATTGGGGCTTATGAAGTTTGATATGAGATATCTATCTATAAAGTATCTTAAAATGCTTTAAATCGTAAACCCCGCCAACTTAAAGAAGCATAGAACGACAAGAGACCAAACAACAATTACTCAAATCGTAAACCCCACCAAATTACATGGAAGTTTATGTTACTGATTGTTGTCGAGCAAACTGTGTGCAAGTCTGACATTCTACTGTGCTCCTTCTTAAACTTTTTCTTTAAATTATTCCCATTTGAGTCTAAGTCACTATTACAACTAGGATAGGCAAGGGGTCTTGTAAGCCTACAAATACCCCACTATTTTTGGCCTATGTTTGCAACTCACAGAGGTCTATAATTTGTTGCTATAACAATGAGGATGGTCCTAATCGGTTAGTCGGTTAACCATTTAACCATAGATGAATTATTAGTTAAATTTGGCTATCGAGAACTGACCGTTTACTATTTATTCGGTTATTGGTATAACCGTTAAGCACCGGTTCCGGTTCGATTATCAATTACACCATTAATGGGATAACTGTTTACCATCCCTACATCCAATACATGAGTCCTCACCATTTCTCTTAAATTGGAGTCTTCTGTGATTTTTATGTTGGGAAATCAAGTAAACAATTCCACCACGCAAAAAAAGAAAGAAGCAAGTACATAATATAAATTTCCAGGACCTCATTTTCCCTTTCAATATTAGCATGTCAACTATCATCATGTGAATGAGTATAAATGAAATAACTGTGCAAAATATTGTAATGTGAGTTTCCAAATACAATTGATATAATTGGAACGAAAAATATATAAAATTATTTTGATGTCTACTTATAAAAAAAGTTCATTATCACAAGTTGCATAATAAATCGTACGAATGTTGGAATATAATAATATTTTGACAAGATTTTGAATGACACCATTATAAAAATTATAGAATGACAACACTAAAAATAATTGAAATGTTATCATGAAATTTATTAATGTAAAAAAAAAATGAATTCACCCGCCCAATGGGCGGGCTCAAAGCTAATAAGGCTTACAAACAATTGTTGACGGAAAATAATTGTGAAAGCCCAATTCGATCCGATAACGTTATTTGCCCGTTCTAGCTGTCCATGGGCTTATAGTCCAGGGTCCGTTGAAGAAAATGGATCGGTTTGAAAGCTTTGGCCCAACCCAAACGACACATTCGAAAGCTTCTTCGTCCTCAGTGAACTATACCGTAAAAAGGGAAGGGAAAAAAAAAAAAAAACGTTTACTGACGAACTCCGTTCTATTGCTTAGCGATGGTTGAATTCGACTCCCGATTCACCTAAAGAAACCCCAATCAAATCAACACAAAAATTCCCAGACCGGAAGAATCTCGTCTCCAACCAATCTCCAATGGCGTCGTCTTCTTCTCCTTCACTGATGGACTCGCTCTTCCAGCGCAGTCTCGACGACATCATCAAGGGCCTGCGCCACCAACAAGCTGGGGAGTCAGCCTTCGTGTCCAAGGTCCTCGAAGAAGTTCGCCGGGAGATCAAATCGACCGACTCCCACACCAAATCGACTGCCCTCCAGAAGCTCACCTATCTCCACTCCATTTGTTTCGTGGACATGTCCTGGGCTGCTTTCCACGCCATCGAATGCATTTCCTACCCGAATTTCACCCACAAGAAGGTTGGTTACCTCGCCATCTCCCAGTCGTTTCAGGAATCCACCCCTGTGATTCTGCTGATTTCCAACCAATTGCGCAAGGATCTGAAGAGCAACGTGGAGGTCGAGGTGAGTTTGGCCCTAGAATGCCTCTCCAGAATTGGGAACCTTGATCTGTGTCGCGATCTTACCCCTGAAGTTTTCACTTTGATGGCCAGTTCTAGGATTCCTGTTAGGAAGAAAGCTATAGGTGTTGTTTTGAGGCTGTTTGGGAAATACCCAGATGCAGTTAGGGTGTGTTTTAAGAGGTTGGTGGAGAGTTTGGAGAGCAGTGACTCTCCACCAATTGTGTCTGCAGTTATTGGTGTGTTCTGTGAACTTGCTTCGAAAGACCCCAAGGCGTATCTTCCCTTGGCACCTGAGTTTTATAAGATATTGGTTGATTCCAGGAACAATTGGGTCTTGATCAAAGTGTTGAAGATATTCACTAAGCTGGCTCCTCTCGAGCCGAGGTTGGCTAAAAAAATAGTCGAACCGATTTGTGAGCTGATGAGCAAGACTGGAGCTAAATCTTTGATGTTCGAGTGTATCAGGACCATCTTGACTAGCTTGGCAGAGCATGAATCTGCAGTAAAGCTTGCAGCTGGAAGAATTAATGAGCTATTGATTGATGAGGATCCGAATCTCAGGTATCTTGGATTGCATGCTTTGGCCATAGTTGCCCCCAAGCATATTTGGGCAGTGTTGGAGAACAAGGAATTTGTGATCAAATCTTTAAGCGATCCGGATCCCAACATAAAGCTTGAATCTTTGCGGCTGGTTATGGCAATGGTGTCCGAGAGCAACGTGGTTGAGATTTGTCGGGTTTTGGTCAACTACGCTACTAAATCCGAGCCAGAGTTCTGCAATGTGATTCTTGGCTCAATTTTGTCCACATGTTCCAATAATGTGTATGAGATCATAGTTGATTTTGACTGGTATGTGTCACTTCTAGGCGAAATGTCGAGAATCCAACATTGCCAGAAAGGTGACGAAATTGAGAATCAGCTTATTGACATTGGTTTGAGGGTCCAGGATGTCAGACCAGAGCTTGTCCGTGTTGGCCGTGATCTCTTAATGGATCCTGCTTTACTTGGTAATCCTTTCTTGCACAGGATCTTATCTGCTGCTGCTTGGCTGTGCGGGGAATATGTGGAGTTCATCAGAAACCCTGTTGAACTCATGGAGTCATTGTTGCAGCCCCGGACGAGTCTCTTACCTCCATCAGTGAGAGCTGTGTATCTGGAGTCTGCTTTTAAAGCACTAGTGTTTTGTCTTCATTCTTATCTACAGAGTGCTACCAGTAGTGATCATTCAGCTCTGGGATTATCAGACCCTGGAGTGTCAAGTCAGTCATATGATGAATATTCTGGAGCACATGGGGAAAATGGAGAGGAATCTGGAACAACTCTTATACAGGAAAACCACATCACCCCCGACTCTGTTCTTCGCCTGTTAAACTTGATCGACATGGCTGTGGGTCCACTATCAGGCAGCTATGATGTGGAAATACAGGAAAGGACCCGGAACATACTTGGTTTCACAGAGTTAATAAAGCCAGTACTATCTGATTCCTTACATCCACAAGATGAAAGACATAAACAGCAAGCTGAAGCTTCAAAAATGGTTAGATTATTACATGATACATTCTCTGATGAGCTTGGACCCGTCTCAATGAGTGCTCAGGGGAGAGTTCCTGTCCCGGATGGACTAGTTCTCTATGAGAATCTTGCTGATTTGGAAGCGGTATGTGGAAGTAGCTTACCTGCATCAAGTGCAACAATTTCTTTTGAGGGCTCTCACAACGTGGAAGGTGCTACTAGTATCTTTATCTCTGACCAGAAAGAAGAATCAGAGCCGTCATCCGAATCCACTTCATTGCTTGCTGAACACCGTAAGAGACATGGATTATACTATCTGCCTTCGGAGAAGAACACTGAACATCATGAAGCAAACAATGACTATCCACCTGCCAATGAACTGAAATCAGGTGTTACCGTAAGTAATGATGCTCAGGATCTCGCTAAGCTTGCTGAACAGTCTTTTCTACCAAAGAGAAAGTCGAAGCAAGTGAAGGCCAGGCCAGTTGTAGTGAAGTTGGATGAAGGAGACGTGCTGCCCATCTCTTCTAAGATACCGCAGGCGAAAGACGATTCGCTTTCAGAAGCTGTTAGAGATGTTCTTTTAGGTAATGAAGCTGATGCTGACACATTGACGCAGAAAGCTGCTGCTGATTCAGTTAGTAGGAAGAAAGGCAAAGAGAAACTGAATGCTAAGGAACAAGAAGATGATTTGGATCATATGGATTCGCAAAGTGGAACGGTCCAGAATCCTGTTAAAGAGCGAAGTAAGAGAAGTTCGAGGAAGCAGAATGCTGATGAGGGGGACCATGGTGGGGATAAGGGAAAGCAGAAGAGAAGACATCGACATGGTAAGCATAGAACACGAGAGGGAGTTCAAAATCCTCCTGCCAATGTTATTTCACAGACACCAGTTCCTGATTTACTTCTATAGTGTCCAACTGTTTGTCAGATGTGCGTTTTAAGTAGTAACTTTGGAGGATCTGATTGATTTTTATACCCTAGTGCTCCTTCGTCCAAAGTTTTTGTGGTCATCCCATCTTACATTATCTGAAACATCTTCTGTAAATTTTGTACTTGGCCCTTTTTCTTTTTTTTTTGGTTAGACCTTCCTGTTTTGCTTTCTGAGGGGATATTGTTCCTTGTTTACAACGCTGTAAAAACATGCACTTTTTGGTCAGAGTGACAAGTTGGAATTGAGTTTTTGGGAGTTGAAGAAATTGGTAAAGCAAGAGAGTCATGATTTGTTGCTTTTCTATGCATGGTTCTTGAATTGTCTGAGTAGTTTGTGGCCTGTGATGATTTCTGAGATGCGACTATAGTATGCTAATCACCAGAATCTGAAATGCTTCAGCAGTCTTACTGCAGTGCGTTAATCATCAATCGATGCTAGGAAATTGCTGATGCCCGATTGACAGAACCAATTCAATTCCCAGGAATTGCAGGATCATTGAATTCTCCAAGAAAGCCATACTTTCTTACCTGGAATGACTCCACTTCCCTTGCTCAAAAGCTCTTTCCTTTTAGTAAATTGGAAGGCTGCCTAGCAAGGTTGACGTGCCTTCCTTTCATCATTATCTCTGACATGCACAACAATTAGGTGCTCACTTTGATGACTGGTAGTAGAAGAAAGAGGAAGAAGAGATTTCAACCCTTTCCGCCGCAGACTAGTTGCAGTAAACTCACAATAGAATCAATTTCCTCCCTCCACCTATTCTGACCCGTCTCATTCTTGATTCTATTTTTATCTAAATTATATGTGATTTTACTCAAATTTACTTAGTATCTTATTTTTATTATCACATATTATAAATTTGTAAATAGATGAGAACTTTCATTTCTCGAAATAATTTAATTATATTTATCATATTACATTTTGTTTCTTGAGTTTTAATGAAAAAAATGAAAATTATAATGTTTTTCTTTTAAATAATTCACTCCCGTGATAAATTACACAACCTGAATCCGACCTACCACCAAATAAGTATGGATATTGAAATACTTGTCTCGAACTTGTGCATTGCCATTCCTAAAATTGGGGGTTGATATGGAGGGAGAGAAAACAAAGAACGAGAAGGATTTGAGAATGACCAATAATGCTGGTCCCGTCGGATTATTTACTCAACTATATTAATAATCTTAATTAATCTCTCCTTCATATACATATATCATTCAACTCGTCTCATAAAAGAAATCATACAAAATTCTATCATAATTCAAATGAGTAATTAGGACTCGATTAGGAAGTCGATCGATAGTGGATTGCATAAATAAAACAAGTAGGCTATAAAACAAAGAAAGATAAGGTAGAAGTGAAATAAGTAACTAGGGTTGAATGATCTCAGTTCACATCATAATAGTCTTTATCCTACACATTTTATGTGGTTAGAACTTAAAAGAGTAACCTTGTGAACCAGTCAAATCGTTTGGTTCATCCTAACTGTTCAATCAAAATGAACCAAAACGGATATCGTAATTGATTTGACGGTTCTACTGTTCTACAAATACGGTCCGGTTCTGATGACAAGGGTACCAAGAAATTAAAAGTATATATAAAGCATGGACCGTGGCATCCTCTTGAATTTGACATGAGAGTAGACTTAGGCAATGACTAACATCGTACACTAATAGCTACCCATAAAATTCCACAAAAGATTACATATAAAAATTCATATAAATTTGAAGGTAAAGTTCGGCCATAGCATGATGTCCGACTCCGACCATACCAAGAAACAAAAAGGCGTTAATATGATCGATTAATAAAGAAGAAGAAAAAGGATGCGGCATGAAACTAGGCAATGACTTATTCAACCACGCAATGCTGAAGACTGGGGAAAGTAGTGAGTAGTGATGACAACAATGGTGCGGTCGGTATCTCACTAGTATTCGTTTCGTACTAAGTGCATGTCAGGCAGAGTAATATCCTAGTATGTACGAGTAAGTCGGGCAATCCAATTTTTTTATGAGTTGTTTGGATGGCTCAATTACAAAGCGAGACAATTTAACCAATTGTCTCGTTTTATAAAATGAGTCAATTCGAATTACATGCTCTCACCCCCAGACAATTGTGATTGCCTCAAAACGAGTCATTTCGGAATTCCCCCATATCAAATTGCTTCATTCAAAATTTCTGCCGCCAAACGAGTCAATCTGGCCCAATTGTCTCAAAACGAGATAATTGTGTCAGATTGATTCATCAGAATTCCTCATCCAATCTGGCCCAATTGTCTCAAAACGAAGACAATTGTGATTATAAGAACATATAATAGAGAACATATTTTTTAAATGAATGAGAATATCGTAGAAGGAATAATTGAACCTAAATAGTCGAAAGATAGAGTTTTAAAATTTCCTTGGGAGGAAAATAAAATTTTAGAGAGATTAAAAAAGAGAGAAAATACATATAAATATTGATGCAAATCATGATTGACACATATCGAATCCCACACACGTCGGGTCAGAAAATTGCCATCACGAAACTGCCAGTAGTATTAGTAGGGGTGTCAATTCGGGTTCGGTTTTTCGAGTTTACCCGAAACCGACCCGATTATATACATTTCCGGTTTTTTGGGTTTGGGTTCGTTTCGGGTTTTGGGTTTTTCGATTTCGGGTTCGGTTTTGCTTATCGATTTTTCGGGTTCCAGCTAAAAACCTCCAATGAATAGTAGTCAGCCCGTATTTTTAGGTGTTCGGGTTTCGGTTTTGCTTTAACCGAACCTGAACCCGATAAGGAATTTTCGGGTAACCGAAACCCGCAAGTCCTTATCGGGTTAGGGTTCGGTTTTAGTGATTTTCGGTTTTGAATTTTTTCGGATAACCAAACCCGACCCGAACTGACACCCCTAAGTATTAGTGGTAGAAATTAGGCCTCAAGCACGCAAGTTGCACGAAATTATTAAGTCGACTCTGATTCATCCTTCCGCCTGCCTTTCCGAGTTGGGGAAGTGGTGGCGATCCCATCCAATCCCATATTGGTGGGCGGCAGTTTCAGTAATTTCAACTGGTTTTTCGAGCTTAATGAAATGGCCACTTGGATTGACTTACCCACTTTTGCTGTCCTTATAGTTGACGCTGTGTGTAAACCCACCACAAATTTCTGCACCAAAGTGCGTTTTAAACTGGTGGCCGGTATGGACTTTTTAAAGCATGTTTCATGAAACCGTACTGTACAGGCGGTTCAACCACGAAATATCAATATTGAAGGCTAAATTGATAGACGGTATTTAATGTAATAGCGGTTGAACTACGATTAAACCACGATTTTACAATAAAATATTCTACCGCTGACTTTTCCAATACAATATTCGATACGATTTCATGTACCATGCTTTTAAGTGCTACATATACTTACCCCGATCTTAAAGTCGAATACAGCTGCTGGGTTTTCTTATTACTATTTGGAGGATAATGCAATTTCAGGTCACTTTCACTATCGATAGTAGGCAGGAAGGCTCTAGTATTGATTAGTCATGCTTTTTTTTTTTGGAAATATGTTTATTGGTAACGAATAGCTAGGGCTGGAAAGTCCCGTCTAGATCGGGTCATATATATGATTTTACGGTTCAGACAGAGGACCTCAAGTACATATGTGAAACTGGACCAAAAATACTATACGGTCGAACAAACCAATTTGTTTGGTATCTAAGATCAAATCAATAATCGAGAAAAAAGTGTTTTTTCTTGAAATTTGGATTGGAATACTATTGAATAACTTGAGTTATATCCACAATCCTAGACTAAACCAGACCGATAGACCAAAAAGATCCCATAATATAGATTATGAACCAAATCAAACCATTCTTACCAGTTTCGACTAATCCAGACCTTGATGCAGATCTGCATGTCAACAATAGGAAGGAAAAAGATTCATGGTTCGTAAGTAATTTAGAAATCGATCTTAATTAACTGACAAGTTGGCAACCTATGAAAACTTTAAAGGTGGGGGCAAGTCAACTCTACTGCCTCTCTATATAAATCCACCACAACCGATTCAAAACCTCGATTCTCATATCATTTCTCCCATCTCATATCAACATACTTTGCCACAACAACAAAATCCACACACACAAAACAAAACAAAAAAACAAAAAACCATAACGACGTCGCTCTGTCTTCCGATCACCACCGAGCACATGGCGACACCATCCACTCCCGACGACCGCCGCCCCGCCGCCGGATCGTCGTCGAAGCGACTAACCCTCGGCATCCTCATGTCCATATCTTCCCTCATGGCCCTCTGCGCCAAACACGCCGGCAAATTCTCCACCAAGCTCTCCAAAACCAACACCAATATTAATATTCCCGGCTGCCACCGTCAGCAGCGGCGGAGCCAGAAGTTGAAATTCGGTGAGCACTTTTCTCGCAGAATATATAAATTTCACTTATACTTAAATAAATTAATTTATCAAAATCAAATACAATAAAGTGAGTTCAATTCTTTCCCCGTAAGCATATTTAGCAGCTGGCCGAGCCTTAACACGACGAACACTAAAACAAACACCGAAAAATCAAAAAATTTACAAGTGCTATACTAGCTCTGGATCGAGGGACTGCGGCCCGCCTTGATCCGCAGCTGATATTTAGAAATTTGTTATCGTTTTACCAAAACTTATCTTGTGTCCCACGACAGAGCCCAACCGTCAACCGCCGCACGGCCTCTACTACTCCTCCGACAACGACGACGGCGGGGTACTCCGCTCGCCGAGATCGCCGCTGGTGCGTCACTCCAAGCAGCTGCTGACGCAGATCAGCAACAAGGCCGTCACGTTGGTCCACGGCGGCAGCAGGAACAATAATAATAAGGATCGGAGAGGCGGCGATGTGGCTGCGCCGGACGAGTTCGGGGACGGCGGCGTGTGGCAGCGGTCGATCCTGATGGGGGACAAGTGCCAGCCGTTGGATTTCTCCGGCGTGATTTACTACGACAGCTGCGGGAAGAAAGTCAACGAGGTTCCCGTCCGTTCGCCGCGGGCCAGCCCGTTGCCGCGCTACCTGACCCGTGGGCACTAAGAAAAAAAAAAAAAAAACCCCGGTCAAAGGAGGTGAGTGATTTACGTGAGGATTGAAAAACCGTATTGTATCGATGGTTGAGTAAGAAAATTTCGGAAGCGAAATTGATAGGCAGTATTTTAGCGGTGTGAAATAGTTGAACCATAATTTCGTTATGAAATATCAATTCGCTGACCTTTTCGGTACAATCTTCGTCATAATTTTTCCAATCATTGGATATAGGTATACACACTGTACCGTTTGATTAGCTTCCTAGGTTACACATGTTTGTAAGTTTTGTTTCATGGACAAGGTCAAGTTGTTGGGCAAAACTTTGCCATTTCGTGTATCGTGACGTGTTCTTTTTGGAGGCATTGTACTCGATATTATGTGAAGAATTTTGTTGAACAACGTGCTTTATTTTTTTCGTATTTTGTTATTCTGTTCCGGAATTATATCGGACGGAAAATAACGACGAATCTCAACTTTTTTTCAATTTTCACTTTTATTCACTAATCTCTACTAGAGAAAAAGTCAGAAATTGATTCTGCTGAAGTGAAATATTCAACGGTCAATGCTAACTAGTGGTGTACATAAATAAGTACTATATCATTTCGAAAATCAATTTAGTTTAAATATCCAAAACCCCGTATTAATTATTTGTTAGTGGAGACAGGAGAGTGGACTGATAAAAAATTCGAGAGAACTATTGCGAGCATTTTCAGCCCTTATCATGAATAATTGTTATAAACATGTTGTATTAATATAACTAATAAATTGCCTTTTTTTACGGTTTATATAAGTCATTTATGAAATGTGGCAAGGATTGTAAAACAGTTGCTGGGGTTGTATCGAAAAATTTAGCGATAGGATATCTTATGTTGAAATCGTAGTTTAATCTTGGTTTACATTGATAAAAATCGTCAACCAATTTAGACTCTGATATGAAGTTTTCCAACCGAACTACCAATACGGTACAATTCAAGTAACATTGGAAAAATATGACATTTGAGAAACATGTAATATTCCTTGCCTTTTATAAATGTCACACCTTATTCAATTGTCACATTTTTTTTCCCTGAAATGCTCTATAATTGCGGCTAATCCTTAATCATAAAAAAATATTAGCATTGTACTAAGACCCTCCCAAAAATACCGAAAAAACTTTGTTCATCCTCCGCCGAAAATGGATGAAGAAACTTCATGATCCTATTTAGTTTTTTTCTTTCTTTTTGCCAATCGATTACTCTTCAAAAGAGAAAACATAACCGATCCAAAATTACAAAGAATATATCGACTATTGTACCATGAAACAAAGTCAAACCCCCTTTGTAAGTAAGTGAGGTGGCAACAATCAAACCCCTTTGGGATTCGGGATACAAATTCCGGACCCTAATCTTTTTGGGCTACTTAATCGGATTTTATATCCAATACATAATCGTCGTTTTGGGCTTTGTCAGGTTGATTTAGAATCAGGATACGAGAAAGTGATTTCAGAATTGGGCTAATTTGGTAGGCTTGGTTTAGGAGTTACAACCATTAAAATTGTGCAAATCCAATGGCATTGGAGTTCCAACGAAATAAGAACTTTGAATCCGAATTTTGATGGTGATTTTTACTAGGGTTCTCTATCCCGAAATTCAACGCTTGCTTGTTCATCAATCAATTAGTTGAACAGCTTTCAAGTAGCCAGTGGTGTTACTACTTGGCCACTTAATCAAAGGAGGTTGTTTAAGTAAGAAACCATGATTGAAATATGAAATCGAATTGCAAGGTGAATAACTTGGCTTAACTTAACTTTACAATATATATACTTAGTATCGAGATGATTTGTTTGCAATATGATTTTTACTAGGGGCATGAAAACAATCATCTACAAGTAGGAATGCTAATAGGAAGATGAGAATGCCGTAATGGTGGTAATTTCTGTAAAATTACATATAATTTACACAGTAATAGGTCGAGAATAGGACGGGTCAGAGCGGATCAGGTCGAGAATCTAGTTTATAGGACGGAGCTTATCAGAGTCTAAAACAGAGCAAACATGCCGAGTAGGATGAGTCAATTCAAAACAAAATTGTCGTCCCTGTCTACAAACAACTCCTGTATCCGACTCACATGTTCCTCTGATACATGGGGGGAACTCAAATTGTATGCTCTCTGTAACCGACAGTGGTGGTCAGCTGGTTTGGACAGGTCTGATGAATCATCATGTTTGAACTCGAACTAAATAAAATCATTATTGTTTCATATAATATTCCACGTGGACCAAATGTGTTACCCGTACCACACTTTTTTACAACAAAATCATAGTATTTACCTTTTAGTACATGGAAAATATTCAAGACTCGAGAACTAATTCACTTGTTACCAAAAAAAAAATGTCCCTAAGGTTCAACTCGGGAAAGCGTTACTCCTATTTTCTGCCCCCGTTGGAAGGCACTCTCCTCCCACTAACATCATTAAAAGGGGAAAAGTATGGCATTATCATCCACGATTGTCTTAAGATTCATTGTGCTTTTAAGTTTTGGAAAATTCACGAATGTTAGCAACAAATGTATTAAATACCACACGCAGAATAATGTCACCACCTTTTAATTTGATTGGTTGTTTAATGGAAAACCCCCTTTTCCCCTTTTGGCAAATTAGCTTTAAGCATTGAAATCAAACCTGTAAATTTTCAATCAGGCCCGAATCGGGTAGAGGTGCCAAAAATATTCGTGGATATCCGTTCGAATCCGACTCAATTAGACAAGAGCAAAATTTAAACTCGAAGAATTATTAATGAGTATGGATAATACTCGAACCTGATATTGCGAGTGATAGGTATGATTTTCTCACTATCTAATCTGAGCTAGCCCGATTAATCGATTATACACATACATATGTTTCTTAACATATTTTATGTTCATTATACATATATCATATGTTTCTAGAAATTATCATTATATTTCTTAACATATTTTATATTTATTATACATATATCATATGTTTCATGAAAAGGTGTTGTTTTTTTCATATGAAATTTTCTTCATTCTTGTGATTTATCATCGTAATTTTTCACTTATGTAATGACACTATACTTATGAATGTTAATATGTTGGTTGTAATTATAAAGCAAAATTATTGTACATTGATAACCATGAAAACTGAAAACCCGAAACCTAATCAAATATGAACATGATTTTGATTTTCTATCCTATTCTTATAAAATATGAATAAAATCTAAACTATTTTAATGATAGTGATAATATACAGTTATACACTATCTATTCTCGACCCGAACTATTGCCATCCCTAACCCTAACATCCAGTATCGTCATTTCCGTGTCCCATCTATCTCTATGATGTAAGAGAAGGAGAAAAAGAAAAAGGCTTTTCAACACAACAAAATGATTATCCCGATAAAGAAAAGTCACTATTAAATCCTTCCTCCTTGTTTTCTTTGATGAATTTTCCTTGATTCCATCCCGCCGCCGTGGAAGATCACCGGGCCGACTCCCACCGGCAATTCCAAAACCCTGTAGGCCCCATAACTCCTCCCCACCAAGTTGCAGGCCTTTACAGGAAATTCCATTCCCTTAATTAAACCAAAACCCCAATTCAAACGCCACCGGAAAAGAACAGAACAGAACAGAGCAGAGGAACATTCATTCCTTCCTTCCAAATTCCCTTCCCTCTCTCTCTCTCTCTCTTCAATTTCTCATCTTCCCTTTAATATCCCTTCTCCCTTTTCGAAAAACCCATTTCGTTTCCCATACCCTTTTCCCCGATGAAGAACACGAAGAGCCACAAAACAGAGCACCCACAACCGCCGGTGATTCTTCGCCTGATCAACGGGCAGAAGAAATTCCCCCTCCACAACTTCATCTTCTCCGCCGTGTTCTTCGCGTTCGGGCTGCTCTCCGGTCTCGGAGTCGGCCTCTACCTGTCGAACATCTCATTCACGTTCCAGCTCAGCCAATTCTCCATCTCCAAGTCCGCCGGCGGCGGCGCTTCCCCTGTTCTGGCGGTCCAGCAATCGACCGGACCCTGGCACGAAATGGACGACGGGGAGCTGATGTGGCGGGCCTCGATGGTGCCGCGTGTTTCCGAATTCCCCTTCCGCCGTGTGCCCAAAGTGGCGTTCATGTTTTTGACGGTCGGGCCTCTGCCATTGGCGCCGCTGTGGGAGCTCTTCTTCAGGGGAGGAGACGAGAGGCTTTACACGATCTACATTCATTCCCTTCCGTCGTATGTTAATGCGACGTCGGATTTCGCAGCTGATTCCGTGTTCTACGGCAGGAGGATCCCGAGCAAGGTCAGTGAGTAACGTTTTTTGTTCGATTTTTTTTTATTCATACACACCCATTACTTTTAACTAATTTAGTAATAATCACCCTTTAATCCTTTCCCTTAATTCATATTAATATGGACAAGACAATGCGTGGAATTTTGTTTTTTTTTGTTTTTACTGTGTGGATGTTTTCCGAGTTTGGATGGTTTTTTTGTTTACAAAAATGTGTTACACTTTCCATTCAATTTCAAGAAAACTTTGGAGCAATGACTATGAAACCGTTGGACGGACTGGAAATATCGGATATTAGACTCAAATTGATGAGTGATTACAGTTGTTGGAAATGGTTGGACTACAGTTAAATCAAGTTTTTGATACAAAATATTCTATCAATAATTTTTCTGATACAACTTCCGACACGATTTCACAATCCTTACTTTGTTGATGATGAAGACTATGCTATGGTATAAAAGAGTATTGAACTGTCCAAGTTTTTTTTATTTTTTATTTATAACTGAATTGTCCAAGTTTGAAAACTAAGGAATGTGGTCTTTTCTATTCAAATACTAATTTGAATTTTCAAGAGATTCGGAGCATTTTCAAACGATTATAATATTGAAATTAGTTACAGAATTTTCATGCATAATTGTGAAAGTACTAGTCAGATAACGTAGCATGAAGTTCTTATCATTATCACGATTAAATTGATAGTTATGGTATGTGGGAATTAACTTTATTATGGACAAGACAGCTCGTTGGAAAACTGGAATTTGATTATGTGGTGCGATTTCCTAGTCAAAATTCGATGGCCAGATTTCGAGACAACAGTAATTGCAAAATTGTATCGAAACTCCTCCGAAAGATATACTAGAAAAGTCAATAATACAGTATTTTATGTTGAATTCATTATTAAATCATTTATTTCACTAAAAACCACCCACCAAATTTTACTCTTTGTTGAAAGTTTTTTTTTTTCTTCCTGTCGAACCGTCGTTACTATACGGTTTTACAAACCCTGCACCATGATGATGAGTACGAATACGACAGCATCGGTAACGTGCTTTTTTGTGGTCTAGTTGTAGCCTCACAATGTTGTTTAAGAAATGGGTATAGTAGTGGCATTGGCACACCACTAAAGTGTTAACATCCAGACAGACAGGTATTGTGACAGAACATGGGTTGGATTAATCTCCCACATGATCCCCATCTTTCCCATTGTCACCCAACTTTCTTCCAAACAAGCAATTCCTTTTCTTTATCAATCCCTATATCAAGAAGAGGAAGTGCATGCCAATCCTTTGAACCATTCAATTGGTCGCCTCTAAGGATGATATTGTTATCTTTTGTGATCTAGGTTTAAAATTTAAATATGTATCGTGATAGAGTTATATGAACGCAGTATATGAGAGATTATTGTTTCCCTTAATATTTGGTCAGTGTAGTTCAGTGTGGGTTGATACGAACCAAATCGTTACACACCCTAAGAAAGACGAGTAGAGTTGAACCTAACAATAGTTTATTATATAAAACATTTGAATTTTCTATTGACTGGTTTTATGCACAACAGAAAATTAAAAATCTCAAATACAGTTTTATTTTGTATAAACCGCGTTGGTTTATTTTATTGATTGGTTGACGAGAAAAATGCAATCATCTAATGTTTTTTTTAAAGAATTAATTATCTGATGTCATAGGCTCATAGCTCAAAGGTTTTCTTGGACATAGAAGTTGGGTGTCGATAGAGCTTATTCTTATTCTTACATTAGTCATGAAGGGAGCTAATGATCCTCTTTGGCTATTAAGAGTGCGTAGTCTTGTGCAGTGGACAATCCAGATTCATGGTATAAATATGGTAGCTTTTATCGTATCCAAAATAAATTTAAGAGTATCACATACTTTTAATAAGAAACCTATATCTTAATCCGGAATTAACATGAATTTGAAGAATTGTATATTATACCCTAGCTTCTAATGAGTTCTCTAAACTCTAAGTACTAAACACTAATACTATTTATCTAATGTATTGAATGTATTTTGGCGAATCATAAACATTGGTTATTGTATCCGTTAATTTTAAAAAAACGAAGTAGAATATTCTGCACTTATCTTATACGTAACTTACCGTACCGTATTTTCCTCGTTAACAGGATGTGCAATGGGGGAAATCCACCATGGTCGCAGCCGAGCGCCGCCTCCTTGCCAACGCGCTCCTCGACTTCTCCAACGAGCGATTCATCCTCTTATCCGAATCCTGCATCCCACTCTACAACTTCACAACAATCTACACCCACCTCATCACCTCCTCCCCAAAATCCCACGTGGAAGTCTTCGACCAACTGGGCCCGGTGGGCCGGGGCCGGTACAGCCCAGCGATGCAGCCCACCATCAAGCCGGCCCACTGGCGGAAGGGCTCCCAGTGGTTTGAGATGGACCGCCGGCTGGCGGTCCAAGTGGTCTCGGACCGGACCTACTTCCCGCTATTCGAGCGGCTCTGCAACGGGTCCTGCTACGGGGACGAGCACTACCTCCCCACGATGGTCAACGCCCGGTTCGGGGGATGGAACTCGAACCGGACGCTGACGTGGGCCGACTGGTCGGTCCGCGGGCCGCACCCGCGGAGCTTCTGGCGGCCCGACGTGACGGTGGGGTTTTTGGAAGGGTTGAGGGACGGTGGGAGGATGTGTGGGGAGTACGGGAGGAACGTCGGCGGCGCCGCCGGGGGAGGGATCGGGGTGCATTATTATCACAATGTTACTGAAAGGGGTTCATCGTCGGTGTGCTTCTTGTTTGCTAGGAAGTTCCGGCCTCATTCGCTGAGTAGGTTGTTGAGATTTGCTCCTGGGGTTATGCAGTTTTAGGATGTAAATTAGTAGGTGTGTTTTTTGGATGATTAGTTTGATTCGGGGGGAACAAGAATCCTTAATTGTGGTCTAACGGTCATGATTTTGTTGTTTTATTGATTGTTTCGTAGGGTGTATCATGTTAAGCTAATTTGGCTCATATGCTCTACGTGTAAGAGTATGGTATAAGATCCAGCAGAACTTTCTCTCAACAACTCTAGTTATTGGGAGCAATTGGTTCTTGACATGGTATCAGAGCATAGAACCGAAAGGTCATGTGTTCGAATCTCCACGACATCCAATATTAACAGTTTATTAAAGCACAATGTATGGTGGGCCTGTGCAAAGCCCATGGGTTGACTTTCGTTGGTGGGTTTTTGTAGCGTATCTTTATTTTGCAAACAAACATAAGAGTCGAGAGTTTATTGATAAATGATAAAAAAATGTCATGAGTCACCAAGGTCGGGAAATAAAAGGGGAAAAAAACAATTAATGATTTGTTTTTAATGACTGATGATAAAAGCTTTTGGAGTTGTTTTGATTAGGATTTTCTAAATTGTGTGATTTTGGCCACAAGTCCACCGTTTTCAGAACCTAGGGTATTCATATGCGGAATTTAAGTCAAATTCCTTATTTGGAAGTAAACCCGAGATTTCAATTGAAAAAACAAATTTGAGCGAAAATTCAGTTTTGCCCTCGTGTCTTATCTTCCTCCTCTGAGCAAACCGAACAACAAACCTTCTTCCTTCACCTTTTCACTGGCGTAGTCGTCATCGGCTTGCCTCCAATACACAACCCAGAGATGGAACAGAGACGTCGGGACGAACGTTGTTTAATTGCGCGAGATGTACACTATGTGCCACTAGTGTGTCAATGCTCTCATTTCATGTTGCTCATTGACAATCTGGAGGACGAGGTCGAAGAAATGACGGCCGACACAAGAAAGACCAACCAAGATGCTGCGGATCAACATTGAAAGCAAGGTTGCTCTCATGGAAAGGGTATAATGGCAACTTGTCACTAGGGGTGGGCATTGGGTAGGTCGGGTGGATTTTGACCATAAAATGGACCCATCCCCGCTTAAACGGATTGATGATTTTTAACCCACCATCCACCCACATTTAGTTTTGGGTTGGGTCGGGCGGATGGTGGATGATGCGGGTTCACTCACGTCACAATGTATATAATATAAAGGAGTCAACTGGAGATGACAATCAGTGGAGAGAGTAATCGGGCGGAAACAAGAAGATGAAATAGGAAGGTAAAAATGTAGAGTTACTTTTGAAATTGGGTAGAAATTCTATTATGGAGGTGTTTTCTGCAAATGCAGATAATTAGGAACTAAGGAAAATAATTCAACGTAAGAAAGAGAGGTGATCTAGGCACAAGAATGAGAGGAAAAATAAAAGGAAGAAGAGGGGATTGCGATTTGTAAGGTTGGCTTTGAGGTTCAATCTCCAGAAGCAGCCTAGTTTCCTTCTAACGTCTCCACTCTCTGCTCAATGATGCCATTTGCAACATGGATCAAGATGGTTCACTTGACCATTCTTTCTAGCAAGCATTCCGGGATTTTTCCAGAAATAGCACTGTTTAATAAAAAATTTCCAAAAATAGCACCCAACTCTGAAAAATTCCAAAAATAGCACCTTTTTTGAAAAATCGCTCCCTACCAGTGCGGTTTAAGCGAAAACCGCCACCCAGGGGCGCGTTTTTCGATGAAAACCGCACCCCCAGGGTGCGATCTGCTTTTTTTTTTTTTTTTTTTTTGAAAAATCCTAACTTAGGTGGAAACTTCAAACGGACGTATCTTTGTGTTCGGGTATCCGATCGTCGCGAAATTTTTTTTTGATTCCGCATAACTTTTTGAGATTTTGCAAGCCGAAGGTGGTTTGATCCTGCCTTCGTCCTAAAAAATGTCGATTGCTACCCCGAACGAGCTTTTTTCCGATTTCGTCAAACTTTGGACAACCATAACTTTGTGCTCCAAAATCCAAACAACATGAATTTTTTTTTTATTTCACATAACTTTTTAAGGACTACAATTTTTACTAGAATGAATTTTCAAAATAGGAATTATTTTTGGATATACAGGATTTTGGGAATAGCTTACCTTCCCTTCTCACCAATCCACGTACATTTTGAAATTGTGTCTATGATAAAAGTTGTAGTCCTTAAAAAGTTATGCGAAATAAAAAAAAATTCATGTTGTTTGGATTTTGGAGCACAAAGTTATGGTTGTCCAAAGTTTGACGAAATCGGAAAAAAGCTCGTTCGGGGTAGCAAACGACATTTTTTGGGATGAAGGCGGGACCAAACCACCTTTGGCTTGCAAGATCTCCTAAAGTTATGCGGAATCAAAAAAAAATTTGCGACGATTGGATACCCGAACACAAAGATACGTCCGTTTGAAGTTTCCACCTAGGTTAGGATTTTTAAAAAAAAAAAAAAAAAAAAAAAACAGATCGCACCCTGGGGGTGCGATCTGCAACCAAATCGCATGGTGGGGGTGCGGTTTTCATCGAAAAACGCGCCCATGGGTGGCGGTTTTCGCCTAAACCGCACTGGTAAGGAGCGGTTTTTTGGAAAAGGGTACTATTTTTGAAATTTTTCGGACTTAGGTGCTATTTTAGGAATTTTTTTTTTAAACTGTGCTATTTCTGGAAAAACCCTAAGCATTCCTCCAACATGATACAACGAAATAGGATCAGAGAGGTTTGCCTGTAGTTAATTTCCAAGCCATCCCAACCAGTATGGTCAAAACAAACTCAACAACAAGGCAAACATAGTAGGGAAAGGGAGAAGGAATGTGATCTAAACTCACATTGATTGGCTCTGTACATGCATCTATTAATGACCTTAACTATTTGTATACATCCTTGTCAAACCAGAGTCAACTGACTGCTTATCAAAATACCATTAGAACAAACCGGGGCAAAAAAAGTACTTACAAGTTACATCCACTGCATTGCTTCTCCTTCCAAACCAGGAAAAGTTTTCTATAAAACCAAAGCTTCAACTGCTGGTGTTAGGAGTCGTAGCAACGCTGGGCCATTTCCCAGTTACAGAATTTGGCGACAGTGGCAAATCCTGAACAACAACACCCTTCAACAACACAGCATCATCCGACCTTACATCTCGCGGCGCCTTACTCCCTTTCTCTGAATCATCCCCAACTCTCTGTATCTCCTGCAAGGTAGACAAGACTTGATCCATCGAAGGCCTCAAGTCCGTATCACTCTGAAGACACTGAAATGCCAGCTCTGCCACAGCCGTCATCATCTTCCTTATCGAATCATCCGACTGAAACCCGAGACTCTGGTCCACAAGCTCGTGCAGAGCGTCGCCTTGGATCCTGTTGATCGCCATGTTGGACAGATTGATTTCGTGTCGATGCCTCGTGATATCGACGGCTGGCATGGATGATATCAGCTCGACCAAGACCACCCCGAAGCTGAAAACATCGCTCCTGCTGGTCAGCTGGTAACACTGGTGGTACTCGGGATCCACATACCCGGGAGTCCCCTGCGGAGCCGTGGAGACATGGGTGACATCGGTGGGGAAGAGACGGGACAGCCCGAAATCGGCAACCTTCACGACGAAATTCTCGTCGAGCAGAATGTTGTTGGTCTTCACGTCACGGTGAATGATCTCGGAGGCGTGGAGATATGCGAGTGCACTAGCTGTGTCCACGGCGATGCTCATTCGAGTGGACCACGAGAGGGCTCCGGGTTTTGCCTTTTCGCCATGGAGATGATCCGCCACCGTGCCATTTGGGATGTACTCGTAGACCAGCAAGAGCTCGCGGCTGTGGCGAGATGTGCATCCGTATAGGGAGACGAGATTGGGATGGCGCAAGCGAGTGAGAATCTCGATCTCGTTCATGAACTGCTCTACTCTCTTGTAGTTGCTTTCGTACAGGCGTTTCACTGCAACAGTTCGCCCATCCTTGAGTTTACCTGTTTGGGGAGGAAGGACAGTTTTTGCAAGTGAGGAGAAGTGGAACTTGACAATGTAGATGTGTTTAACTGGAAATTTATCAATCTCTACCATAATATACAGTGCCAAAGCCTCCATCTCCAAGTTCATTACTCGCATGGAAGTTATTGGTGGCCTCTTCAAGTTCTGCATACGTGAAGACCTGAACGCCAAAATACTTGCTAGTACCCTTCTCAAGCTCCACTTTGGATTTTGAAGAAGGGTATGAAAATATGCTTCTAGATAACAGGGATGAACCGGTAGCTGAATATTGTTGTTGTCTTCTACGCCGAAGGTATATGAGGAAGAGAATGAGCATTATGGCCACACTTCCAACAGCCGCTCCAACACCTGGATAAAATGGTACCCACAATTATTCTCAAAACTCCATCTTTGCATAATCTTTGGAAGCTACTAGCAGCTGACCCCCAAAGCGGCACAGAAATGGAAATTCATGGAAGCAGCAGCAGCTTACCTATAGCTACTTTCACCCCGACATTTGGTTCACGACCTGCATCAGAAATCAGAACAACAAACAATGAGAAGCCAAGATACATTCTTTATGCAACAAAACAAGGAATTGAAGATCGAGCAAGTAAGTAACATAAAGAGAACAACTAACTCATGAGGACTTCCTAAAACCGAGTTTTCCAAACTGCAGAGGATCTGGATGCTTAGTTTGTCAAGAGGGTAATAGAAGGGTGATGGCCATCTCGTATATGAAATGAAAGACGAGGAAGGTGATGAACCAAGGCCAGATGAGTTCCAGGAACTATCACAATGGTCCAGAAAGTTTAGTTTCACAGCTAATGTTCGACAAATCACCGTCCTTTTTTCGTTCTTGGACCAAGTCTAATTCGATGGTTATTGACTAGGAACCAATATGGCAGGCACACAATAATAGCTAATACCGTGGACTTTTTGGGTTCCTGAATAAGACCCACAGGTATCTGAAAAGTCGTAAAATTTCAATCAACCAATACCAGTATCCACTACTCTTTGTTCAACGCGTAGAAAAAAGCAGAAGAAACAGCAGAGAAGCACAGCTGCAAAAGAGCTGGAGAATGGAGATCTCGGAGCTAGAAAACAAATACCGTCATAGCAAGAAGTGGGTCGGGGCCCATGAGGGCAGAAACAAACAAATTGATTATTCTCAAACCCGCACCGCCCGCCACTGCCTGAACAATCGCTGCAATTCTGCGCAGTCCAGTTCAACACAAAACCCATCTCCAAAATCTCGCTGTAATCACCAGAGCCGTCGCCGACCAGCTCCCCACGGCGAACGGGAGTCTCCACGATTTCCTGACACCTGGCTTCCCTGATTTCCTCACCGACCTCCTCCGGCAGCTGGTCGAGGAAGACGGCGAAGGAGGAATGGGTGGAGTTGGTAGAACAATTGATTGGGTAGGATGATGATGAACGGGAAGAGAAATTGAGAAGCCCAGGAGGCGGCCAGCTGCTGCAATTGTAGAAGAAGGAGAGACGAAGGGTGTCGTTGGGTGAGATGTGGAATGGGGTTCGATCGAGGGTGAGGTTGTGGAGAGGGGTTTTGCAGGAACCGCCGGCGGCGGAGGAAGGGAATGAGAGGAGGAGGGAGTGGGTCGGGTAGAAGATGTCTCTGATTTCGTATTCGTCATTGGAGATGGCGAGAGCTGGGTAGCCTTGGTCGTTGCAGGTGATTTGGAAATTGGGGAAGCCGCAGAAGGATTCCTGATCCTGGTTAGAGTTAGACAGCCAAAATGGGTAGCTTATGGAAGGGCCGCCATTACTGCAGGTTCTGGGTTCGCAGGAACTGTACTTTGGGTGTGGAGGAGAGCAGAGTGTTGTGTGGGGTAAGGTGGTGGTGATGAGAATGGCGAAGAGAAGAGCACACGAGGTGGAATGGCGGTCCATTTTGGAATGCAGGAGGAGAAGAGAGAATTATTGGCAAGGAATGAGAAGGGAGAAGATTTTTTTTTTAGTAATTTGGAGCAGAAGGGAAGGAATTATCATCTCCCGCACACAGGAAATTGGGTCCAGTTGTATTAATTTAGAGGTTGGTAATCACTAATCAGCAAACGGATTTCAAGTTCTGGTTAGGGAAATTGAGTGGGTTGGTGGTGGCAAACCCGGGAAATAAATTAAGTGTTAAAACTTTAATGTACATGCAGAAGATTTTAATTAGTTTATTGATTAATTAGGGATACATTAGATTACAGTTCAGTGTGAAGGTGGATGCCGACGGGGAAAAGGGCACCGGAAATTAGAAGGGGGGAAACAAACAAATAACATAAGAGGGTGGTGACCTGTTACCACCCAACATGTTTGAAAGTCGGTTGGCCAACAGTCGTGAGCCACGTGTCTGATTCGGCTTTTGGGCTTTTAACTTATTGGGTAAATATAATATACTAGCCACAACTATTATGATGCGGAGAATTATAGCCACAACTATGAAAATTCAAATTATTAGTCATAACTATTGTTGCGGGTCAAGATATGGCTAACTGTCCGTTACTGTTATTGAATTTTTGACAGAGAAGGCCACGTCATCGGCCACGTCGGAATGCTTTTAATTTATAACTTTAAAACATAAAAGTTTAGTGAGTATTACTAACAAAATTGTTAACAGATAGTTAACGTTTGGCTAATAATTTGAATTTCCATAGTTGTGGCCATAATTCCCCACTTCATAATAGTTGTGGCTAATATATTGTATTTACCCTAGCTTATTTATACACCACAAAATGGTTTACCCAAAATATATTGACAATTTTGACCGAACCAATTTTATCTGATCTATTCACTTGTTTTGTGGAAGGTCTGAATCGTCTCGTAGGAGGAGTGAGATGGGCATGGGTATTCTCTTCATCCTTATCCGTTATGATCCGCTTTATTTTCAATCCGTCTGTCTAAATTTTATGTAATTTTATTTAAATTATTTAGTATTTTACTTTTATTATCTCATATTTTAGCTATAATAAATTATAAATAAGTGAGAATGTCAATTACTCAAATGCTTAAAGTACAATTATCATGTTATAATTTGTTTTTTATCCAATATTTCTAATGTTTTCCGGTTAAATCATATACTCATATGAGAGAGTCAATATATGACTTTTGAGGGTGACATAACTAGAATTATATATTATAAAATGCTTAGTTACTAAATATTATTAAAACCTTTATATGAATTGGTTAAAATTTATGACATGAATTATATTACACTAACATAGTATATAAACATGAGATAAATTAGTGATGTAAACATAGTATATAAACATGTGATAAATTGAGTATTATTCTCTTTTTTTTTTTCATTAACCACATGTACTATATATGATAAATCCTTTTTTACCTTACTCCGACTTGTTTCACCCAATTCTCAATCTGGATTTTCTCATTCTATATAAAAGTTTTTTTTTTATAAGGGTGACGTAGGTAGAATTTTGTCGGCTTTGGATCTAGATCCTTATGATTTTTGTTTCCGGGTGTATATGAATGTGACTTTTCGTAAGATCATCCATCTTTGTAATGCTCCACAATAAGCACGTTTAACCATATAATTCCTACAAAAATTCCTCCATTTCACCCAACAACACGTATTGTCTGATAATGTCAGTTTGTTACTTATAAATTCTAAACCTCTCTCTGACTCTGTCAACATGAAATTCGCCTAAACTATCACAACTAACGCCTTGAATTTTGTTTTTAAAAGGAAAATGAACTATTTTCTTAGAAAGATTTGTATTTGAGCAAAACATCAAGGGGCAAACTATGAAACGAATAAAACTACCAGTTGAGAGGACAAGACTATGCAGGCTGATTGTTATGGAATACATACTTGGTGGAGGGCAGATAACCGGTCGTGATCCGCCGGCCGGACAGTGACACGAGAAATTCCGAGGCGACCCCCAGGCCGCCGCCGCCGTGCCGCACAAACCGTCCGACTCGCCGCACCGCTTGCACAGCACTCCGTATTCTCCATATCCATAAGAAACATTAACCCCGGCGTCCAGAACTCCCTGCAGCTCCGCCTCCGCATCCCTGCCCCAAATTCCGTCGGGGGCATCCGCCGGAATCGGAAACACCACTCTCCCTCTGCACGATTCAACATCACTCTCACTCAGAAACGTCTCGTTCGCGTAGAACGACACCAGATCGACGCCGGTCAAACACGACAGCCTCGTATTCGGAATTTTTCCGGCACCCGAAGTCCGGCAGCCGTAGAACAGGGTCAGGTTCTGTAGGGCGGCGGAATTGGAGGGCGAAGGAGCGAGCAGCGAGGTATTCAGACTCGCCGTGCCGTTGATTGGCGGGCAAACTGTGTCCGAGTAATCTGTAAGGGCGACGGTTAGGGTTCTGGAGGTCTGGTTCACGGCGATTAAACTGAGCAGCAGGGAGCTTGCTTTGAGAACAGGGTTCTGATCTATGTTTTCGCAAGAAAGCAGCTCGAAATCCGGATGCCCGCACTCTCGCGGCCTGAATCCGGGTGCCCAGAAGGGATACGAGAGGTTGGTTTTCGTTCCGCAATTGAAAGGCGTGGCGCAGTCCTCGAAGTCGATGATGGCTTCGTCGCCGGAAACAGAGGCGATGGTGAGGGAGAAAAAGAAGAAGAAGGCGAGCAGCAATGGGAAACCCATTTTTGATTTGGTTGGTTTTTTTTGTTTTCTTTCTCCCTGCGAGGAGAAGTTGGGGCTGGGTTGTGAAGAAGTGATTGAAAGGGTTGAATTGATCTGCAAAGTCGAGAGGATATTTCAGTGGGAACGGGAACAGAGTCTTCTCTCCAAACAGGCGATAAGTCATTTGGTCTTTGTCTTTTGCATTGACTTGTAAGTTCCATCCATTGCGTGGGGAGATAGCAATTTGAACTCGTTCACTCGAGTATTATTCGATTTGATTCATATCGAGATGGGTATTATTTGATTCATAGTAGGGTGGGAATTGGGCTCGACGTTCGACTCTGAAAAACTTGTTCGATTAGAAAAAAGTTCGACTCGTTTATTAACCAGTCTAGCTCGAACTCAACCTTGTTCTGTTCAGCTCGCGAGACTCGTGAGCCAGTTTGATTAAGTAACTTGTTTAAGCTCAACTCTTGGACTGTCTCGTTTTGAGCTCATGAGATGTCTTGACTATGCAAGCCAGCTCGACTTTTGGCCCTATGAGAAAATTGATCTATATCTAATGAGTTGCCTTGTTCATGATTAATAGGTTTATTAAATTGTATATCTCACTTCATATGTGTTTAAGACTTCGATTATATGAGCAAATATGTCTCATACACGATATGTGATCAGTTAATCACATGCGTCATATATGACATAAATATTATGGTATTTAATTTATAAATTATCTTAAAATTGAGGTTGAGCCGAACTCAGTAATCTAAATGACGAGTCGGAGTTTTAATAAATGAGTCTACTCGAGCTCGACTCCGCTCGTTATTAAACGAGCCGAACTCGTACTCGACTCGTTTATTAACGAGTCAACCCTAAACAAGACAAAACTTTACTAGGCTCGGCTCAGCTCAGTTCAGCTCATTCACAACTCTAATACGAGACGAATATGAATATTAAGATACTCATCATCCCGTTCTACCACCCGTTTGCCACCCTTACCTGGAATTGGGATGTGGATTGTTGGGCTAATTGGATGCGTTAATGTTTGCTCGGAAGTTAAGGGCCAAGGTAACTTCGCATCTGTGCTCAGCTGCGTTAACGTCAAATTTCAAACCCTCAAAGCACGCCCACAAAGTTTGGTCTACTTACGCGTGATTCCACGATTGGAAAAGCACAATTGAAGCTCTTTACCATTTTTTGCTACGAAATTATTGCTTGCCATTTCCAACCCTTGGACCGGTTCAAAAGTGACCGACTTCATTTATTTTGGAACAAGAACGCTCTCAAATTCAGTATCAGGATGGCAACATGTCGTTCTTTTTTTCAATCACACAAATTTTTCGGCAATATTATTTCGACCGGCACCATATTCAGTGATGTCCCTGCCTGGTAGATATTTTTAGTCCATGTGAGACTGGTGATTACGGGGGAGTTTGCACGTTACGAGTTCTGAAATCAGAATGAGAATGAGTTATGTTTCGAATTTTTATTTAAAATGAAGAATTTTTATTTTAAATATTTGGATGGTTCATATGGGGTTTGAAATTTAGTACTTTTTAGTACTCGTGTTTTAAATTTGTTTAGACGTATTGTCACTCATGCTTTAGTGTGCTTAAAAATTATGTAGTACTTTTAATATTCTTGTTATTAGGCATCGATTCATTAACGATTTTTTAACAGTTTAATACCGGTTAAACCGTTAAAGTATGACTCGTTCATTATACCGGATGATACTCTGGTTCGATATTTGACAACAACGTTATGGAAAATAAAACACTTATTAAATTCCTTTAGGGGTCGTTTGGATGTGGAAATTTGAAAACGTGGGAATTTGTCTGAATTTCCATGTTTTACAAAACCAAGGAATTGACTTGTGGAAATTGAACAAAATTCCACGTTTGGATAGGGTTTAGTTTTGTGGGAATTGATAATGTGGAATTTGGTAAAAATACAAACATGCCCTCCTTTGTTTATATACATATACCCCTCCTAAAGGTTGTTGTTGTATTATACTAACTACTAATTGTTGCTAACTTAAGCATAGTTAGAAAAATATGATATGGAAAAGTTACGTATAAAATACGTACGATTATTTTACTTCATCTCTAAGCTAATATTACATTTAATAGTACATTAAAAACCATAATATATAAACTTAATTATTTTAATAATAAGTACATATATAAATTACAATAAATTTAACAATTTAATTCATTAAATACGGATAAAGTGTTTAGGCGAATTCGATGAGGAGAAGTAGGAAAATCGACGGTGAATGAGATAATTAAGTGAATCCAAAATTAAGAAATTGACTACGGATTATCGAAGATATACGAAGGTGAGGGGAGATGAAGAAGAAGAGGTATCATTGATGAATGAAAAAGAAGGGGCTACGCTTTTAAGAAATAGTTAGGCGAAAACGGAGAAGGAGTAAGAAAGAAAGGAGGTCCTAGGTTCGAATCCCTTAATTAGTACCTTAATTACAAAATGAAACCTATATCACCCTTATAAAAAAAAAAGGAGAGGAAGGACATAGGGACACATTTGGAAATAGAAGGAAGAAAACGTGGTAATGTCAAATTACTAGGGGGAGATGTAGTATTCTCAATTACAATGAATGTGGTAATTGAAGCCAATTTCCACGGTCCAATTCCCATACCTTTTTGCGCTGCCAAACGTGGGTTTTTAACCCAATTACTGCATTATGTGGTAATTGGGTCCAATTACTGCATTAAATTTCCACATCCAAACGACCCCTTAAAGTATTGTTGATTTCTAGAAATAAAGTTTAAGCATTAGCTCGAGACCCGGGCGGCTTGCCGGCCGGGCCCTGGGCCCTGGCTACAAGCCCACAACCCAACTAAATCAAGCAGCCATTCAAAAAGTACACACGATGAGATGACACGAAAAATCAAAACGAATAAACAGAAATAAAAACGGAGAAAGAAAAGAGAAGTAGCCGTTGCCGCAATTCAAAATGAAAAAACCCATTTGATTTTGTTACTTACTAAATGCGCACAGAAACACGGGCAGAGCGCATTTCGTTCCCGAAGAGAAGAACAAATTCAGAGAGACTCTCATTGAAGCTCTTCAAAACTCCTCCGATCTCCCGCTCGCTCTTTGCATCTCCTACGTTCCCTGGATCTGCTTCATACCTGCATTCCCTCTCTTGATTTGGTGAGTTTTGCCTAGTTGTTTTAAGCTTAATTACTACCATTTCCTTCTCCGTCAGCTTCCATTGCTTACTTATGGAAAGAAATTAGGGTTTGTTTATGAAGTTTCCTTGTACGACTAGATCAATCGATCTGGCCCTTCTCTGCTTAAATTTTGAAATTCACTGATCTCTACTCAGATACTCGAGAAAGGAAACTTTCACTTACTCTTAATTCGAGGACTAGGGTTTGACACAATTCTGGTTTAATTTTGGTAATTCCGGCGGAGTCGAGGAAAATTTCGTCAGTTCGAATTTGTTGAAATTGCTAGGTTTCAGGAGCCGGATTCACTTTCATAAATGGCATATATTTTATTTGCTGAAATGATTATTTATGGCAGGTAGTTTAAAATTCCCGGTCTAGATCATAAAAAGGGGAAAGTGAGAATGTATGGGAAGGCACCTGGAACGCCAGTTTCAAAGATTGAGAACAGAACCCCTGCATCAACTCCAGGGGGAGGAGGGAGTAAAGCAAAAGAGGAGAAGATTGTAGTTACAGTACGTTTACGGCCTTTGAACAGAAAGGAGCAACTAGCAAAGGACCAAGTAGCATGGGAATGTGTGGATGAACAGACCATTGCTTACAAGCCCTCTCCCCAGGAGCGCTCAGCTCAACCGGCTTCTTTCAGTTTCGGTAAAATTCGACTCTCTCGATCGCCACCACCAATGCCTGAAAGTAGTTTCATTTCATTCCTGAAACTGATACTGATAGCCATTTATGTAACCGGGTCTTCCCTTGTAGATAAAGTGTTTGGTCCTACTTGTGTAACGGAGTCTGTGTACGAGGATGGCGTAAAGAACATTGCCCTCTCTGCTTTGATGGGAATTAACGGTAATTTACTCTCTGGGTTTGCTGCTCATTGCTGTTCCTCTTGATGTGATTTGTCTCTCTGGAGGCTTCTGAGTTGGCTAATAGTGTCGATTACGATTCGATTGCAGCAACTATCTTTGCTTACGGGCAAACAAGCAGCGGGAAGACTTACACAATGAGAGGCATAACTGAAAAAGCTGTTCAAGACATTTACAACCATATAAAAAACGTATGTGGACTAAGATTTTTACTGTTTCACTAGTAGGCTTCACTAGCACGTTTTCAAGGTTACATTACAATAATCGTTGTTCTCGACTGCAGACGCCAGAGAGGGACTTCACGATAAGGATGTCAGGGCTGGAGATATACAATGAAAATGTGAGAGATTTGTTGAATTCGGAATCTGGACGTAGTCTTAAGCTTCTAGATGATCCAGAGGTATGCTGCAATTTGCAAGAAGTCTCGTCTGTTTCTGTTATGCCTGGAGGGAAACCTAATAATGTTTGGTCGGTTTCTTTGATGATGGCAGAAAGGAACCGTAGTTGAGAAGCTGGTGGAGGAAACAGCAAGCGACGATACACATTTGAGGCAGTTGATCAGTGTGTGTGAAGGTAATCTGGCCAAAAATTGCATTCTCTTTCATTCTTGAATTGATTTTAATAAGCAGTTGATTAATCAATTATTTTCCGGATTTCAGCCCAAAGGCAAGTTGGTGAAACTGCACTCAATGATACTAGTTCCCGATCTCATCAAATTATAAGGCTGGTTAGTGTTTCTGAGCTCCAATGTCTGGTGATACATGATCATGGTGATTTGTTTCACAAAAGCTAATACGTGAAGGTTTATTTATCATTGTGCACACAGACGATACAGAGTACTCTACATGAGAATTCCGATTGTGCGAGGTCGTTTGTTGCAAGCTTGGTAGAACTCTTGAAACTCTTACCCCTACCGCCATGTTCCCACAATCAAATTGCTGTAATCTAATGGATATTATCAAATTCCATGGCTCGCACAGAATTTTGTGGATCTTGCTGGGAGTGAAAGGGCTTCACAGACCCATGCTGATGGTACTAGGCTGCGAGAAGGTTGCCATATCAATCTTAGCCTGATGACCCTAACTACAGTAATCAGAAAACTAAGGTCAGAGCATGTCTTTCTTTTCTGTGTGAAGCATTGCATTGTAGGACTATTTGAATATCCCCTGCATTTGGCTCATGACTAACCTTCATATTCTTGTTTGAAGTCTTCCCTTGGGACTCAACTTTTCTTCTTGAATAATTCTACAGTGTTGGGAAGAGAAGTGGCCACATACCCTACAGAGACTCGAAGCTTACACGCATACTGCAGCACTCACTTGGCGGAAATGCTCGTACTGCCATCATATGTACTTTAAGCCCTGCACTGACACATGTCGAACAATCCCGAAATACTCTTTATTTTGCAATACGAGCCAAGGAAGTTACAAATAATGCACAAGTCAACATGGTATTTATCTGTCTTCGTTGTTTTTTATGGTATAGTGTCCATCTGTTTTTCATTCTGGCTTGCTGTGAAAACATGTGCTAATTTTCTTCAACCAAATTATATTATTAGGTTGTGTCGGACAAGCAGCTTGTTAAGCATTTACAGAAGGAAGTGGCGAGGCTGGAAGCAGAACAGCAGCGCTCTACTGACCCTTCAAGTGACAAAGACTTGAAAATCCAGCAGGTAATACTTTAGATACTAGTTTTGCTGAACAAAAAAAAAACTGGTAGCCATGTTTCAGTTGTAATAGCACTCTTCTTTACTCTAAAATGTCATGTGTAGCTGGAGATGGAAGTTGAGGAATTGAGGCGCCAAAGAGACCTTGCGAAATATGAGGTGGATGAGTTACGAAGAAAAATGGAAGAGGAGCAACAACAGGTCTGCTTCTGTTGCTTTTTTGTGACATTTTATTCTGTCAGATCTCTCACCAGATGGTTTTTTTCACATTTGTCCTGAAATTTCTGGTGTACAGGTGAGCAGTAAAGTAGAAGAATCAACTTGCCCATCTGTGAAGAAGTGTCTATCTTACTCAGAATCATTGCTGCTTAAACCGGAGGGCAAGGACTTAAAGCGCAGTGAGAAGATTAGAAAAATGACGACCCTAAGGCAGTCCATGCGATCATCATCAGCTGCACCATTCACCCTGATGCATGAAATTCGAAAACTCGAACACCTTCAGGAGCAACTTGGGGAAGAAGCAAACCGTGCTCTTGAAGTACTGCAGAAGGAAGTTGCTTGTCATAGACTAGGCAACCAAGATGCAGCTGAGACGATTGCCAAACTGCAAGCTGAGATAAGGGAAATGCGTTCCCTTCCACAGCTTCCGAAGGAAGTTCAAATTGGAAGCGTGATGATACCAACCAACAAGAGTGTCAGCGCTAATTTGAAAGAGGAAATAACAAGACTTCATTCACAAGGAAGCACCATTGCAAATCTCGAAGAGCAACTGGAGAACGTCCAGAAGTCGATCGACAAGCTGATGATGTCTCTACCAAGCAATAATACCCCAGAATTGAACTTTGAGTCACCAGCTTCCAATTCTAAGAGTCAGCACAAGAAGAAGAAGACACTCCCTTTATCCCCAAGCAACAGTGGTATAAGGCAGAACTTCATCCGATCTCCCTGTTCGCCTTTGTCATCGTCAAGGCAAGTATCAGAGAACGACAGAGAGAACCGAGCACCGGAGAATGGTGACGTCCTTGTGTCCAATGTGAACTCACAGCAAGAGTATGCAAAGCAGCAGACTACTCCACTGAAGAGTGAAGAATGTGGAGGCGTGTCATCCAAGGAAGGTGTCTCCCCCGGCTATCGACGTTCAAGTTCCGTCAACATGAAGAAGATGCAGAAGATGTTCCAGAACGCAGCTGAGGAAAACGTGAGAAGCATCAGAGCGTACGTGACAGAACTGAAGGAACGAGTTGCAAAACTCCAGTATCAAAAGCAGCTGCTAGTTTGTCAGGTGATACAGATACATACTTGCCATGTTAAACATTATTCCGATTCTACACTGTTCAGTAAATTGTTTTTAGCACAGCCTCTGATTCTCGTTGTGGTTCCTTACAGGTGCTAGAACTGGAAGCGAATGAGGCAGCTGGGTACAACATCGAGGAGGAGGAGGAGGAGGAAACGATGATGATCGATCCGGTCGAACCACAAGTTCCATGGCATGTGACCTTCAGGGAGCAGAGGCAACAGATCATAGAACTGTGGGATATCTGCTACGTGCCAATCATCCACAGAACACAATTCTACTTGCTGTTCAAAGGGGATCCAGCCGACGAGATATACATGGAGGTGGAACTCAGGCGGCTGACATGGTTGCAGCAGCATTTGGCCGAGCTCGGCGATGCAAGCCCTGCTCGTGTCGTTGGTGCAGCAGACGAGCCGACGGTTTCCCTTTCATCAAGGTTCTTTCTTCTCTCTTCTCTTCATCTTCTCTTCATCAAGGTTCGTTTCTCTGACACAGTTTCGGTTTTCGGGTGTAATGTAGTAGGAGAGCGTTGAAGCGCGAGAGGGAGTTCCTGGCGAAGAGGCTGACGCGGTTAGGTGTGGAGGAGAGGGAGGCGTGGTTAATGAAATGGGACGTGCCATTGGATGGGAAGCACAGGAGGTTGCAGTTCATCAGCAAGCTGTGGAGAGATCCTCACGATTCGAGGCACGTACAGGAAAGTGCAGAGATTGTTGCGAGGCTGGTTGGGTTGTACCAAGGAGGCAATTTGTCCAAGGAGATGTTCGAGCTCAACTTTGCACCGCCTTCTGGTAAAAGGCCGTGGTGGGCTATGGAATGGAACCAGATTTCCAACCTCCTTAACCTTTGAGAGAATGTTAGACAGTAGCTAGTTTTAGATTTCCGATTTGTACATGCAAAAAAAAACAGCGCAACTCCATTGGTTTCTTGCATTGTGGAACCTACTTTCTTCATTTCTGCTGTCTAGGGTTGTTTTACTCATTCATCGATGGGGCACTATACGTAATGTGTATAGTGCTGTAAGGTTCCCTTCATAAAAATTCTTTCTCCTCTGTGGTTACTGGTAAGAGGGTGTAGTTAGCGATGGCAATGGGACGAGGGCGGTACCTCCATATCCATATTTGTTCCGGATCAAGTGTGGGACGTACAAGGTAATATCCGTACGCGCGCGTACGAGTCAGATTAATAGAACAATTTTTATATATTATTTAATAAAAATGTTAATATTTAACTTTTTTTTATAAGAAGATTTGAGATATCACTTCATAAATGAATAAAAGATATAGTGTAACGAATAATTGAGTTTTAATAGTTAAAAGATAGTAGTAAAATTTCAGTTACATATTTACTAGTTTGCTATATACGGATTGTAGTTTTGATTTTCAAATTTACGGTATGTGATGTTGTTAAACTATTTGTACTGATTGTTTATGTATATTAATCTCATGCCACTAGCGCTTTAAAATAAGCTAGTTTGATTCAAAAGACTAATGAATAAAATTGCTGAATGCCCAAATTCATTAGACCAATTATGATTGAACAGACACACACATGAAATAAGGATACTGGAAGACATGACAATGACATTTTTATTTGACCATATCCAACTCACTACTAATGCTAGACACATACATCAACACCAACACCCACTTAAGACAACACAATAACTCGAAGAGCAATACTTAGCTAATCCGTCATAACTACTCATCGGAAAATCGTACCGGAAAAGTCAGCACGATATATGGTATTTTATGCTAAAATCGTGGTTCAACCCGTTTAATACCGCTGAAAACAACCAACAATTTAGACTCTGCAACACGTAAGGTTCATGGTCGGACCACCAGTACGGTACGATTTCACAAACACGGGTGCTTAGCACTTGGGGAATGGGGTGCCACAAGTGGAGGCGACCTTCCTGGCGTTAGGGGTGTTGACATACGGCTTCAGCGCTGGGTTCTTCATGTACTGGCAGAGGCAGGGCCTCTGCTCTTTGATCTTGGCGCAGCACAGCTTCGACGGCTGCGTCGCCGATCGGATCGCCGACACGCACGAGCTCAGCTGCACTGGGCTGCACGCCACCGCCGCCGTCGCCCCACGCGCCGCAGCTAGCACCACCATCGCCGCCACCACCAAGCTCCACCACATGATCGGCCCAGAGGAGAACCTGTACGAATTGGATGACGAGGCCATCATATTTTTTTCTTTCACTTATTAAACTACTTTCCTCTTCTTCCCAAAAAATGATGTATTGGTTTTAGTAGAGGCGAGTTTGATCGAGTGAGAGACTGAGGAGAGGGCTGTGGATCTACTTCACTATATATAGAGGAAGAAAAGTGATTGTGTGGGAATTTGTTTATTAATTCGTCAATGGGTGATTGGGTAAATGGTGGTTTAACCGCGATTCAAATTATTTTGTACCGTTAAAAGTGTTTATCAATTGTCTGGTATCTGATATATTGATTTCGATGAGCAATACCGTACGGTTTCTAAAACATAGTTATGAACTACTCTATAACATTCACATAATAAATATAAGTTTATGTATAGTAAAAGATATGCATATATAACATTATAACGGGATAATTTTCATGACAATATATTATTATAGCAATTAATTAGCATTAACAAAGTTTCCAGACTGTTGCATTCAATTTATGGCCATATAATTGTTATTTTTTATAAAGAAAATACACTAGCTAATAATACCGCAATAGTAAATAGTGTTAGGATACAATTCAAATACTACATCGGGGAAAATAAGTGAAAGTATCCTTACATATAATTGTCTAGATAGCACTTTTAGTACGAACCAATTTGGGAAGATTCCCAATGCAAAATCTATGTGAGTTTGGTTTACAACCGAAAATATCGTATTAAAATGTGGAGCATTCGCTCTCAACAAGTGGTATCATAGTCTGGATCTAGGGGATCGGTCATGATGTTCGTGATTCAAGTAATGCATAGGGAAAGTCGTTGTTTTACATAAGGAAAGTCGTTGTTTTACATCCAACTTAACGGTCAATTAAATATTTACAAGTTAGAGCCAAATTAATCTACATAGTAAATAGTTTAGGCTGAAATAGGTATTTTATATAACAATTTGATTGTATTTTCTTATAGGTTTGATTTGCTTATTAAGGCATGTGTTAATATGCCTATCATTAGTGCAGCCTTAATTTGGGGACTGTATGGGTACTTTGATGTTGGCAAAGGGTTGAGATAGGGAGTCCCTTCTCCTGTACTTATTTGTCATGAGTAATTTTACAATGTTATATAGAATTGGTGCTTTAGGTTTTTGTTTTTTTGGTATAACTTTAAGTTGTACCATAATCTAAGGATACAAATTTCTTTAGGGTACAACCTGAACTGATACATTTAACGTTATGGTACAATTTCTATATAACAATAAAACACCAATGTTTTATAACATAGTAGTAGTGCTCATTTGTCGTAGCCATGGAAGTGATTTCTAGTTTGTTTTTAGGGCTACTCGAGAAGCTCATGTTCGTTGTAGTTAGAGGTGACAATTCTCAATCCAATCCACCAACCCATTAAAAATATCCACCTAATTCAATCCATTTAAATCCAATCCAATTGGATTGGTGGATTCATGGATTGATCCATGGATCCAAATGGCAAATTAAGGTTTGGTACCTATACTTTTTATATTTTACATTTTGGTACCCAAAATTTTTCATTATGATATTTTAGTACCTAAACTTTTCACATTTTACATATTGGTCCATGGTTGAGGATGTCATTTGGATTCATGGATAATCCACCAACTCATTTGATTCAATCCATAAATCCACCAATTCATTGGATCCAATCCATTTGATCAATGGATCCACCAATCCATTGGAATCAATCCTTTTGCCACCTCTAGTTGTAGTGCTCTCTACATAGACTGCTTTCACTTGATACATGAATTGAAAAAGTGAAACCGAAAGGAGATGATGAGTTGAGTGCTCTAAATCATTCTGTGGGACTTCGAAATCATGAAGCATATATTCACATTCCTTTCCCCCAACTTCAGTAATCATAGTTTTCATATGGTTTTTAGTTTTTACTCAAGCACGCCTCATCATTCATTCCCTTAATGTTTGTTTAGTCAAATTTGGTGCCCCATTGTGGGTTTTCAACTTCAGCCATGATTAGCTTTTCCTCGACCATTAACAAGTAGTGGGGTTTTCAACTTCAGCTTTGCTTTGGACTTTGGACTTTGGACTCATACATCAATGTGCTACAAGGTTTTGTGTAAACAGGTGTGCAGCCAACGGAGTCCATTAATCACGGTCGACGAAGAAACCAGATTCGGAGCAGGGAAAAGAATAGAGCGTGGAGTATTTTGATTAATTTTACCTTTTTGCTTTTAATGAAATTTGTCGTTATGCTATCCCCTCTCGCGCATTAATATTAAGCGTGATCCATCAATAATCTTATGATAGATATCAACTCTGAATTCGAAAGAGAGTTTAACATGATTCCTCCAACCCTAAATTGGACTGCCTATAAAAGTGAGAGTACGAGTCTGATTTGAGTGCTTGAACACTAGTCAGCTGGTGTATGGGGAGGTCATAATAACATGCATGAACAATCATTCCAAGTCGTCTAATCAACACAAAAGCCAAAGGTGGATGCATCATGCATCTTTATTTAAACAAAGGCAAACAAGTGATAAGCTTATAATTAGATCCCTTGATCTGTTCAAAGTTGAGCAAATCAAGTGTAGCTCGCTGTTAATTTTTTGGATCGCATTTCTCGCTGTTCAAAGTTAAACAATGAGTTAGCTGCATTAACGATAAATGATACGAGAATCGAAACCCACAATCGCTTACTTGACCACAAAGTTTGGAACTTTATAGCTTCCCCTGCTGTAAATAAGACCTCACTGGTATCTACCTCATAAAAACTTCTCCCCTGTTTCCATTCCCACCAGAAGAAGCCCATTTTCCATCCACGACCAAGAAACAGGACAGCAATATTATTAACATGCCCAAGTACGCATCCGATTCCGACGACGAGGCGTCGGCCATGCCCGCCAAGCTTTTCCGCCGCCAGGAAGCCAATGCGTGCTCTTCTGGGAGGAGGCAGAGGTCTGTCCCAATTCCAATTCGCCGATATCGATATCATGACAATAATCACTTCTGCAAATAACCGTATATACGAACACATAGCTGATAAAACTGAGTTTAACATGCAGTTGCGGATGTATTGCTTTGGAGGGACAAGACAGTGTCCGGTGCACTGATGGCTGGTATTTCGTCGGTATGGTTCCTGTTCGAGGTGGCGGACTACAATTTCGTGTCGCTTTCGTGTCACATTTCCATTGCCGCTTTGCTCGTTTTCTTCATTTGGTGCACTGCCGCTGATTTCTTCAACTGGCATATATACCCATAACATCACAGCTTACATTGCATTGTTCACCACAAACACATTTTCAATTGTACATACTGCTACATCAGGAAGCTTCCACAGATCCCAGAAATCGTTTTGCATGAACATACCTTCAGAGAAGCTGCCACAGTCTTCCACAGAAGATTCAATCAGGCGCTGGCGATTCTCCTTGACATTGCCTGCGGAAGAGATCCAGGACTCTTCATTCTGGTACCTTTTACTCTGAACACTTGCCTTGTTTGCTTAAACATTAGCTGCCTGCTGATATAGTTTTCTGTGCAGGCAATTGTGTTTCTGTACATATTATCAGTGGTTGGCACCTGTTTCAGCTTCCTGAATTTCCTTTATCTGGGTAAACCCAGATAACCCAGCTGAAATTCACCCTTCTGCAGCTTTATCTTTTCTATGTCCGCTAATTGGTTTTCCCTGCAAACTGGATGAAGGGTACGTTGGACTCCAAACGGTGCCGATCCTGTACGAGCGGTACGAGGCCGAGGTGGACTACATTGCGGGAACATTGATGAGAGACATGAGGAGAGCATATAGGAAGTTCGACTCCAGGGTACTCAACAAGATACCAGGAGACCCTGTCAAGGAAAAGAAGGCACGATAGACAAAAAAAACGCTACTTGTTCTCTACTTTAACTCACTGCTCTTCACTAGTTCATCATCTGTATCATATTCATATGCGCGCGCACACACACACACACACACACACACAAACACACAGGCACTCGTTTACTTACAATTCCACGATCCCGACTGTGAATATTGGAATCAGAATCTATCCACATTCTACTTACGACGTTAGAGGTCAACATCGAAAGTAATAGTCCATTTGTTGCCAACTGCAGTTAAGAATTGCTCTATTCCTGGAGCATTCAAAGTTTTGATTCCCAAAGATCACCTACAGCATGATTATAGCAACTTACACAGTGCTTTGAAGCAAATGATCAGAATTTTGTGCATTCTTGAAATCCCAAGGAGTATCTCCAGCTAGACCATTGTGCAGAGGCAGAGTTTACACCTGAAGCTGATCTTTTTTACATGTACCACATTATAGAAAACACAAGCAGAAGATAAACAAACAGAACTTCAAGTAATCAACATATCACAGAAAATGGATAGTGTTGCACGTAGAATCATTCACCATGCACTGCAGTAGCCCATTACGGAACCAAAACTCCAACAACTTCAGAATGCCCCCATTGAATAAAGACTGCTCATTTATCATTTAGCCAGACCAAAACCAGCAATGAAACATATTCGACACTGAAAACAGGACATAGACACAGATCGCATTTTTCATTTCGCTATATGTCTGTTACATAGCAGCACCTTAGAGATTAACCTTGAAGCTAACTACTCTACCCATCTAGAATCAAGAGGAAGCAGCATTCGTTCAATTAACCCACAAAGTCTTGTGATAATCTGCTGCTATTCTTCTAGTTCAGTTCTTTGTTCTGTGAGTACTACTCTAAATAGTACAGAATACAAAGTCAAAATCTAATCTTTTTCCTCCTGCATCAAGCATATCATCACGGTTTGTTCTTAACGGTGACTCCACTCTCACCTGCAACAATAACAGCAGTCGCCATACCAATAAACATACCATGCTCAATAACTCCGGGAAGCCTATGAATTGCATCACTCGCAGCCCTCAAATCCCCAACATCGCTCTTGAAGAACAAGTTCACAATGTGATTGCCGTTATCAGTGAGAAACGGCTGTCCTCCGCTCAAGGTCCTCAATTCCGCCACACAGCCAGCGTACTCAAAAATCTTCTGCAGGCAGTCCTGCGTGTACTTCGAGCAAAACGGAACAACCTCCACGGGCATCGCCCCGCTCGCTCCGACGTAAGGGACCCACTTCGATTCGTCAACAATAACCACAAACTTCCTCGCGGCGCCCTCGATCATCTTCTCCCTGAGCAGGGACCCGCCTCTTCCCTTCACCAGATTGAGATCTGGGTCGACCTCGTCGGCGCCGTCGATTGCGAGGTCGACGGTGGGGTGGGTGTCGAGATCCGAGAGCGGGATTCCGAGCGACGATGCCTGCTGGTGGGTCTGTTTAGAGGTCGGGATGCCTACGATGTCCTTCAGCTTGCCCTGATTGAGCAAATCGGCGATTCGGTCGACGGCGTGCTTGGCCGTGGAGCCGGTCCCTAGGCCGACGACCATGCCGGATTGGACGAATTCGACGGCCTTGTAGGCGGCGATTTTCTTGAGCTCGTCTTGGGAGAGGATTACAGGGGAAGGGGATAGGGAGGGTGCGGAAGAAGGTGTGGATAGGTTCTCGGAGGCGATGAACGGAGTGCAAGGAACGGCCATGGGTGAAATCGGGAGGTCGTCCTCGCCGGTGATGGTGGCGGCGGCTGTGGTGGAGGCGAGGGAAGGGAAGAAGGTCTATTGATTTGAACGAGATGTGGAGCAACGCAGCCGCAGGGTTTCGTTTGATTTTGGTTTTAAAAGCTTCCCTGGATTTTGGATTTGCGATGGAGTGGAAGAAAGAAAGTAAAGTTGGGCGGCGTGGTTCCCGCGGTTTGGAAAAATCAAAGAATTTTATGCTGATGATATTTTTTAGGGTAAATTACAAGTTTGGTCGATTACTAAAAAGTTCAATGTTTAATCATCAAAGTTATTTAATTTTATTCGTGGTTACTAATTTTACTAAAACTTGTTATATTTAGTCACTCTCCGTTAATGACGCTAGTTTTTGCTGATGTAGCTAACAGAATTGTCCAATTAGTTTTTTTAACCCAGAAAAATTTATACCCAACCCGCCACGTCTATCAGAAGTCAGACCCACCACATCATCAAAATCCCAATCCAACCCATTACCCAATCCAATTTACCTATACGCATTACAATTGACACATATTCCAATTCCGACCGCCTCGATCGAAGACTGATCGAAAATAGAGGAGAGAGAGAGACACACATAATGGAGAGAGGGACATGCAAAGAGGAGAGAGAGAGAGAGAGAGAGCGCGCAGAGGCGATCGGAATCGGAATAAGGGTAATGGGTTTAAATTGGGTTGGATAATGCATTGAATTTGGATTTTGATGATGTGGTGGGTTTTGATGACGTGGTGACCGAGTATAAATTTTTCAGGTTAAAATAGGTTGATTGAGCGATTTTGTTAGACACATCAGAAAAAAAAAACTGATGTTAATGGAAGCTAACAGAGACTAACGATAAGTGACTAAACATGACATGTTTTAGTAAACTAAGTGACCACGAATGTAATTAATTAATTAAATATATCTAGTGACCAAACATGAACATTTTTAGTAATCCCAGTATCAACCTTGCAATTTACCCTATTTTTTTAAATTTTTAATGTAATAAAAGCCAGCTGTTCAGATACACAAAAATTTTGGTACACCGACGACAAGATTCGCATAAATTGGATGAATAGCATGTTGCTGAAGCAATTCAATGAATTCAGCCTAAAAAACCATCCAATAGTGTCCACTCAGAAGTGCAAATTCTCCTTCATCAAGTTTCCAAGAAACTGCCTAGTTCCAGTTCCCTGCCTAATGTCCATTTCTTACCGCAACATAACTCTGCCCACAAATAGCTATAGTCCACAGCAAATGTCATTTGCAGCAAAGCTGCGTCACTTTCTACTCTAACCTTCACAGAGAATCAACATTCGTTTAAGACAAAGTCTTCTAACTTGTAAAGGAGGGCCACCTGAGAGCTAACACAGCTTGCCTTCTAACCCATTTATTGCAAACAGACACTCCATTCAGTTAGCACCTGTGGGATGTACAACTCCATAAACAGCATGTCTGGTATATGGTTCGTATAATGATTTTCTATCAGTAGTGCCCAAAACTAGTTTACAAACCTTCAAAGATAAATGGTCGGATTTGGTCGTCGGGTGGTGGTATCTCTTTGAACTGTGAATTTGATTCTTCTTCTTCTGCTGCTGCTGCTGCTGCTTCTTCCTCTTCTTGTGTTGCCGTAAGTTGATCTTGTTGCTGAAGTAGCTGCGTAGTTTGTTCAGGCTCCGTAGGCTCCAGCTTTTCGGTTTGTTCTGATGAAGGTGGTGCTGCCTCCAGCCGCTGGTATTTGGGCTTATTTTTCTGTAAGAGAAAGTAGGTGGTGCAATACCAGAATGCCAGAATTCTACTCTGAGCCATCACTGTATCGTTGATCCTGCTTCCGCCGAAGGATAGACGCTCTAGTGCCTGCACACCATTTTTAGCCGAAAAATGGGTTTAAGCATTGCAATGCAAAGGAACTTGGAGCACGGAGCACCTCATTTTAAGCCATCATTAGAGTTCTAGGAATAACAGATAACAACTGTTCGGAGATTTAATCTCAACTTTGGTCTTGATATTCACCACACAGGAAATAGACTTCATTCTTGATGAATTTGTTCAATAACGTAAACGAGAACTGTACTTTAGGGCCACTGCCAAATCGGACTAACATTTAACGAACTTGTCACCAAAGTTTATACTAACTATTAAAATAGTCACCTAATGTCTCTCCTCATTCTAGTTTGGCATCCAAATTAGCATGCCAACTGCCAACATCAGTGATTAATCCCATGAATTTGGTAAATGAAAGTTTATGCCGCAAGTATATCAGTTTATTGAAAGTATTACTTCTGCATTTAATTCAATGCTCAGAGTTTTAACTAAGCTGTCCTAATGTTCTACTTTGTTATAAGAAACAAAACAGTGAACTATGATCCATATAAATTAAATGATAAGGAAGTCAAGACACGCACCTGCTCTCCAGTTTCAACATCGAAAGAGTTTTGATGGTCAAAGTGAAGACCCTTGAATTCATTGATGCAAAGTCCTTGAAAGGCCCTGAATAGACAATCATCTAGTTAGTTGGTGCCAAGGTATTAGCTATATTAAGAAGTTCGAAAACTGATTTCGACTTTGCTGTCCAGCTGAATACCGAAAACAGTACTACTAGCTAGAGGGGGATGCAAAGGAGTTACCATCTTATCAATGATACACGGGGAATCCATCTGAATATAATCGGCGTATTGTCAGCATTCACATAATAGCCACCAAAAACAATGAAAACAGTCATGAGAGAGGGTCCCACAGCCATTGCGGCTTCAGTGCTTGGAACCATAGCCCCCACTGTTAGACCCATTGCAGAAGCGGCAAATGACTCTGCCGTCACAATTCCACAGAACTGCCCAAACCTACAATTCAAAATTTACAATTCAGTGATCTGTTTGCAGTATGGATTCCCGGAATCATACAAGGAATTAAGACGAAACGGAGAAAAAGGGAACACCTACCTTGATAAAGTAGGATGGAGGCCAGACATAGGATAAAGTACAGCACCAAACATGAGAGGAAACGCTGCCCCCACAGGAATCTCAGCTATCATTTTGGAAAGCAGATAGGGTCCCAAAGCGTAAGACCCCTTGGCTCGCTCTCTGTCAACTATAGCTCTTTCCTTGGGAAACACACCAACGGTTTTGGTGAGAGCAGCCATGGCAGTGTTTATTGCTGCAACCTGACAGCGAACAAGTGTTCGCATAAGATAAGGGCAGTGGTGTGTAGTTCCTTCAAGACATTAAGAATATTACATCTAGTTGAAATATTTTCCCAGTATCAAGAATCATGAAATATTAGTTATGTTGTGCTTAACAAAAAAGTCATCTGATATAGACCCTTAAGAGTAGCTAGCCAAGAGTAATTATATGCATTACCCTTGCAATAAATTAAACACAAGCACTTCATGGACGTGAACAGAATCAGAAAAGATCATAACAACTGGGAAAGGGCATCAAAGAAACCAATAGCATAAAGCAATACCTGAAGCAATCCCATCCTATCTTGTATTGATGTCTGGGATCTACCTATTCTCCAGAACACTGAGCCAAATATAAGAGCTGATGCCATGGACATTCTTGCACGTACTTTGTTTGTAGGCCCATCACGTGAGGCCTGGGCTCCAGAAAACGAAGTGAAACTTGGGTAAGGGCAAGAGTAGCCATACTTGTTTTAGCAGAAACAATATTTCCTTCATTGCTTCTCTGTTTCAGTTCAAACTCAAACCTACATCCTTCCATAACGATAAATGCAACCATGAACCTTATGATTTGTATTGCAGCCTCAGTAAGAAATCAGTTATCTACAACTAAGTCAAAAAGTAAACAATAATCTGATGAAAGGACATATGAAAAGCAAACCTGCATCCATGCACGTTTAAGAAGTAACCTAAATTGTTTCCACCAATTCCCTTTTCCATTTGAAGCAATTCTTTTTCCAAATTTCCTCTCACTGCCTCTCCCACTCCTCTTAAGTGGAGTTGTGTACAGTATCAAGGTTGCTTGTTCTGCAAATGACTCAACAAGGCCGTCGATCCTTTTCCGAGATGAGTATACACTTTCAGCAGAGCTGTAGTCAACCGAGACGAGATCAGCCAAAAATTCAGCGGGATTGGCGTGCTCTGGACATTTATACCTGTCAAAAGAACCAACAATCAGTCTGAGATTTTCATGCACTTATGAAACACTTTATCAAACAGTTAATAGATGCCAATCATGTGCATTCTTCCTTTTATTTTAGGGCCTATCTAACAAGACAATACTTAGAATAGAACTTCACACATGAAAGGCATTAACATTAGTTGCAGAGGCAGAAACTTGAAAGAGGGGAGACTGATTCGAACCGTGGTAACTGGAGAGGGGGTGCTAAGACTACTCTATGTCCTAAATTTGTCACAAATTTTAGAAGTAATTTTCCATATATTTGAAAGTTAAGGGGGTCTATCAACCTAGCTTCGCCACTGATTAACATCATCAGGGCCATTCACCTGCTCAATGTACCAATAGGGAAAAGGACAATGTTTCCAGACTAGTACAGTTCAGTTACTCATGATCACGGGAGTTTAATACTTGCATAGCATATAATATACACAATAAGGAGGGGCTTTATGGAATACTGTAACCCACCCAAATTTTGAGAAGTAGGTCAATGGCTGATCACCAGCAGGGCCGGCATAAACTAAAGCACCCTCTGTCAGCAACACAATATCGTCGAATTTATCGTAAACCGAACCCCTTGGTTGGTGAATCGAGCAAATAACTGTATGTCCATCTTGAGCCAGCTGTCGCAGAGTTTCCATTACTTTCTCTGCCTGGAATGCATCAAGACCTGATAACACACAAGTGATTAACATCATGATCATACATTATGAGTATCTTCACCAATGTAACTGAGACGAGTTGAAAGACTAGCACATTCCTCGTTACAGAAGTAGGGAAGTAGCTTCATGAAGGAAAAGGAAAAGGTCTAATTGGATGTGCAAAATTGTATAATGTATAGGACAATGTAAGAACAGAATGGGCTTCAATATCCATCTTCCTCCTTGATTGTCTACACTAAGTTGGAGTGGACACAAAGGGACAGATTACTTCCCATCTTTTTCAGTCACTTATCTCCCCTCCTGGAAACTACGTTCATAATCATGGTGAAAAAATATACTATTTCCTTTCTTTCCTTTTCTCTCCCCTCTCCTATGAGAAACAATCATTGTGATAATCCAATCACACTGCAGGGTTCAACTTACTAACACTTACAATGGATGCTTCAGTTCAATTCACAACAATCCCTTTAAATTAGTCTGCTGGTGGTTCTGGCTGACGCAATTGTATAATAATTAACCCATATGGTAGAAGTAACATCGGGTAATATAACCACTCCTAAACGACCAGGAACAGTAGAGTAAGTACTAGAGCCGTTTCTCGTGGCCAGAAAAAGCCCATCAGGTGTTTACTTTCTGCTTTTGATTTTTATTCTTGGCTGTGGCCACATCTGTACTAACCTTTTCCTTCTTTATCATTAACAAACTAACCCGATCTTTTGGCAAAAAAAGAGAGGTACTAGAGCAGTTTTTACTGTTGGACTATAATTTAGTTCTGCCAGCCACTTGAAGACCCAAATGTAATGTAGTGAAAAATGAGCATTTACCTGTTGTCGGTTCATCAGCAAAAACTATGGAAGGACTCGCTATAAGTTCACATGCAACTGATAACCGCTTCTTTTCGCCGCCACTTATACCACGAACTTTTGCATCTCCAACGATAGAATCGGCGCAATTAACCTTTGAATAAAGATGAAAAATCACAGGCCAGAAAACCCACGTTATGCATTTGGAAATGAAAAACCACAAGCAGTTAGTGGTATGGTACTAGATGAAAAGATGAGTATTTAAGATCTAGATGTTCATTTATTATACAACTGAGGCAGTGATTCTAAATCCAATTCACCAAGAATCAGCTTGATCACCAATTATCATTTAGTAAATACGAGTGGACAAGTTGAAAGAAGTTCCATGATTTACAATAAACTCAGGACCCAAACACATATGAGGCACACTTCCATGCTTCACACATGAACTCTTCAACTGCTTACCTTTACTCGTTCAATACTACCATCATAAGGATTTTACCATGTGAGAGCAACAATATACAATCTTAAGATTTGGTCAACATTCTCCAGAAAGTCATCTCGTACTGTTGTATTGTAGTTAAGTTGAGCATGCAGCTAAATGGAATAATTTTTTTTTTGCAGTATGCAACATCGAAACATTCAACCCCTCAGCTCGAACCACCCATTCCAGGCAATCTGATCCTAAGTCTGTAATTCATCTAATAGGTAAATTGAATCGGACTAACATCAAATTTAGTTTGGGAATAGAGATGAAATGACCTTACCAGACCCAGTTTGAACAACAAACCATTCACATATTCATCTCTTTCTTCCACAGAAGATATATGAGGAAGCTGAAGCTCTGCAGCCAGCGAAAGTGTCTCCCTTACAGTTAGCTGAGAAAAGAAAAGATCCTCCTGTCTCACATAAGCCGACCTGCGAGACGACCAAATCTCATTGAAAGACCTCCAAGGCAAAAACGGTTTTCAACCACAATCTCATTTACTAACAAGGTATATTTACTTGTAAGCTCTGTTCGAATATGGCTTCCCATTAACCTCCAGAAGACCGGATAAATTCATACGCGGGGATGCCATCAGCTGCCCAGCTAAAACATTGAGCAAAGTCGTTTTCCCTGAACCTGATGGCCCCATTATTGCAAGCAACCTTCCTGGTTTTGCCTCTCCGCTTACATTTTTAAGCAGGAATCTTACCTGCAAAATCACCCTACTGTAAGCACCAACGCCCCCCAAAAATTCTCGCCCAAGTCATCAAATCATTGATGCACCGAGGGTAAGAGACGCATTTCTAAGTGCATGCCGAAATTCCTCTCGACCAAAAATAAGCTACTCCGCAATTTGGTATGATGAATTTTGAGCTCAAATGACAATCTCCTTGCCATAGTTCCAAAGCAAAACGAAGGTAAAGGAAGCGAACTCACTGATTCAGAGCGCTTGTCAGAGAGGGAACAGTTGATGTTGCGCCACCGGATTGTAACCGGAGCAACCTTCTTCCCGACGGAGGGAGAATGGTCGGTTTCATCATCGGCACCAGCTTCATCCTCATCTTTCTCCATGTCATCGTGATCGGACTCAGAACCGGGCGGCAGAGCAGGGCCCGGGCCGGAAAACAGCCGGAGTAGGAGAGCCACAGCCGCCGCGGTGAGTATCTGGCCAAGCCCATTCCCGCCAAAACGCAAAACCTGGCCTACCATTTTGGTTTTCTACTAGAGGAACCGGCGACGAGAACGCCGGCAGATTTTGGCGCGGTGATGAGGAGGGAAAGGATAAACAAAATAGAGAAGGCGATGGAGCTCCGAGAATGAGCTTGCAGGCTGCAGCAGACCACTAGAAGATAACACAAGTGAAGTGATATTGTGGGATAATTACATTAATGGTGGCTGAACTTTGAGTCACTGGCGAAATAGTACATACATTTTATTTTTTTAACAAACTTGTACAGCCCAACTCTCTTCTTTCCCGCAGCCGCTACCATGAGGCATGATCTAACCCTCCTTCTTCCCAAGCACCGGAAGAAGAGTCGGCGAGAATTCGCACGCCATGATCTCTCCAATATCGGACCGTTAATTTGAGAAGTGGGTTCAGTCAGTCACCGGCTCTTGATCGGAAACCATGGCCAACAACTTCAAGGAAGAGCCCAAGACCGCACCACAGCCGGATCGCTGGTACGATCTCTCCCTCGGTTCTTCATTCAAAGAAGACGCTTCCAACAAGTACTGTGCTTTGCGATGTACGATTTGCCCTAGTTCCACCAATCAACTCTCCTGCAACTTCCAAGTTCCAAACAAGTTTCTGTTGTTTCGTTCATTATCGATGGATTAATAAACGGTCTTGGCTCTCTTTTCATTAGATGAATTCAAGCCGGCCTCCATTGACAAGTCGAAGCCTGGCGCTTTGCGCAAGAACAAAGGGAACAGGGTCTCTCTGGAGTTTCAGAGCAACCAATCGGTGAAATCCAAAGTGCATTTCGAAGGCAGCAGCGAGGATTACAAAGAAAATGATGCTGTCTTGTTCTTTGACGGCCACACATTTCGCCTGGAGAGGCTTCATAGGGCTGTCAAGCAGCTCAAACACATGAGGCAGCCTGGCGAATGTACTGCTACTGCTGCTGGTGGGTCGTCGGGGGACTATCGATTGTCTCCTCCTGTTGGGAAGGGTATCAAACCTCCCCAAATTGGCAAACCTGCAATGCCTTCCTTTCCTGTGAGTCGTATTTCCTTTCTTCCAATTGTTAGTGCGTTGAATTTTGTATAGCTCAATACGGCATGTTTGTATAATGTCTATAACTTCTAGTCCACGAAGCTGCTGCTCTTCATGCTCTTGAACTGTGGATGACCATGACCATGCCTGCTTTCATTAGGATTGTTGAAACTGTTGTCTCTTCGTCACATCAGGATTGCCGCTTTTGGTTCTCCTTGTTTGCATTTCTTGTTTTGCTTTGGTTTCTGCTTTGATTGTTGACCGTACGCTATTCAACGATATGAATTGCAGCTTTCAGAGCATCAGTGAACTGGGCTACAGGTTTGTAGAAGAAAAACTATATGAGTTGGTTTTATCAAAACTGGTTATGGGGTTACAATGAGTCAAAATCATGTAAGAATATAAGAAATGTTAAGTTCTGGTGCTCCGTTATATAAGAGTTCCAACATCGAGGCGGTTGTTTCTGAAATATGCAGCACAACTTGAATCGTGACTGAAAGATTGAGGAAGTTTAGATGGTCCTTCAACATTGTCTGCTTCAGTTTGGAGTGATGTGTACTCCTTGCGTTTACTACTTGCTTACATTTGTCATTCCAGTAAATGTGCTTGCAATTGGCATTTGAAGGTGATATTAACAGACCAAACTGTTCAGTTTTTTTTTTTTGTCAAAAAAACTGAACAGTTTGGTCTTGGCATATCACTCTGCTTCCCTTTGGTTTCTCATTTTGTGAATTTATTGTCTTGTATGTGTGAAGGTCGAGGTGGAACGAATTGATGTCGAGATGCCACCGATTCCAGGTATTTCATGCTTTGTTGGACATGTTGTATGTTTATCATTCTTTAGGCATTCATTTCTTCAGCTATGGTAAGGGCACCTTGACACAATTAGCTATTTATCTTCAAGTTTCTCGCAACTCTGTGGACAATAAATAATGTAATGGAGACTCCAGAAACATGTGATCAACATCATATTTATTATTTTGAGATTTCTCTCTGCTTCTGCTAAATCTTTCTTTGAAGCTTCCGTCACTCATCTGCTTCTTTACCATGCTCGTTTTTTGCTACAGCTTCAAGATATTCTGGTAAGGGGATCGATGATAACCAAATCGAACCACCGAAGGTCGGTGAGCCATCTAGCCCCAAGAATAGTGACGAAGCCAAAGAACACTGTGATATAGAAATAGAAGACATATTTGGTTCAAGTTCCCCTTACGGTGGTGATGATAATGCCATGACAACCGAAGACCACAACATTGTTGTGGTTCCTGCTGACAACCATGCTCCTCCGCAGCAGCATGAGAACGACTCCGATGATGAGATTGCTGATGTAGACGACAGCGGCGATGAAGAACACAAAGGGCGGCGCATCAATGCAGCAGAAGCGCTCAAAGCTCAGGTGAATAATGCCACCGGTGGCGATGATGATAATCGGTCGTCTAGTTCGAGAAGCAGCAGTGGTAGTGGAAGCAGTGGTAGTGGAAGTGGGAGCAATAGCAGCAGCAGCGCCGACAGTGAAGGAAGTGATGATGATGTTTCTGTCACCTCCATTTGACGGAAGCTGGAGTTAATAAAGAAAGCAAGGATTTTTCGAGCTGCCATTGTTTGCTTGTTCATTAGCAGGTAAAAGAGCTCTTGTTTTTCTTACTTTCATTATGACAGAGGATAGAAAGCGAGTCCCAGTTTTGGAGAAGACAAAGCGAAGATGAGATGTGGCTAAAGATGAAGCAATGGATAACCTTATAGCCTCTACACGTTTGTTTACGTCTTCTGAAAGAAAATGGCAACTTCAATCTATGCTGATAATCAAAGTATCTAATTACTTGGTATTCCTAAATATCAGGATTATGAAATAAATTATATTACACAACACATCATATAAACATGAGATCAATTAGTGATGAAACTTGACTATTATTTTAGAGTTTAATTTAAGAGTTCAACCCTATAAACTTATTGATCCGAGCTCAATGAGGAGCTGAGCTTTAGCTCGGCTCGTTTCTTCACTAGCCAAGCTCAAATTTAAGCGAAACTCGGCCCAACTCGGATCGTTAAGAAATGAGCCGAGCTCAAACTCATCAACTCTGCTCGACTCGGCTCATTTGCAGGGCTAGTCCTAGCTAGCACAATGATTTGACAAGAAAGAGATGATATATGCAACCAAACATTGGGAAAAAAATGATAATTAAAGTGGACAATTTTTTATGAACTAATGTCATAGACTGCTTAATTTTACCTCGCGCGCCCATGCATGTGTCATCAGTCAATGAATTCCCATTCAAATTTGGCAGGCTTTCGTGTTCCACTTTTCTATATGTATCACTTGGACTCGGATACTGAATAGTTTTGTTTTGGGAATAAAATATAGTAATATACCTCGTACTCAACCCGGCACCATATCTAGTTAACAATTAATTCTATAATAATAACATATTTATATATATAACACGTATTATCTTCAGGGGTATACAATAACTAGCCACTGATAGTTCTTTTGATTTTGATTTTATAAACAAATTATAGTTTGATTTCGAAACTTAATATACTAAGATTTTATACCTAGAATTAAATTTTTTTGCATATAAGTTGTAAAAAAAATTGAAGGAGAATTGCATTTTAGCACCTAAAAATTTTATCTTACATTTTTTATGAGATTTCTGGTATGCTTTAGAAAACTTATGATATACTTTATAAGTTTTCTGGTATGTTTTAACAAACTAGTGGTATGCTTTATAAGCTTTTTTATATGCTTTTTGGTATTAGCAGTGTGGTTTATAAATTTGGTTGTGTGGTGTGGTTCTTGTATGCTTTATGACTTTTCTTGTATATTTTATGAATTTTGCGGTGTGTTTTGTGGTGTGATTTGTTGTAATTTATGTCTGGTGGTACCCGATTAATGTACAAGTGCCCCCAAATTTTAATAATTACAAGTGTGTCCCTCACTTTATAAATCCACATTAGTTATAGTCAACCCGTTAAATAAAAATCATTACAATAAAATATTCTTATTGACTGAAACTAACTAGTATTAATATCGTGCTAATGAATTTTATTAACACCCTAGCCTCTACTATATTGGCAATTATCTCTGTCATGTTTGTATTGTGGATTTCAGCTCATAAAAGAGGACCGTGCATGTCAAAATAAAATGTGTTCTCAACCAAAATGAATTATAAACTTTCTTTTGTATTTAGTCATACAACTTACTTTCCACGCAATATTGTCAATCTCCTTAACTACTCAATCAATTTTTTTCCACACAATATCAAGGATCAAGCACCCGGTCCATCAACCTGCACTCCTCATTCTGTGACTTGTAAATGTTAATATTATGAAACTCTATCAACTCGAGTTATTAGAACTAAGCGGTTATTGACAAGTTTGTTTGTTCTTTGTAGATAAGGGTGATATAGGTTTTACTTTTTCGTAATTAAGATACTACTTAAAGGATTCGAACCTGAGACCTCCAGGTTATTTACTGTTGGTATTACCACTAGACCAAGCCCTTGTTCGTAAATCTGGGTTGTTCTTAAGCTCCCGTGTTCAAGTCCTCGCGATCCTTAATATTAACTGTTGTCTTAAAACACATGAAATGATGGGTCCATGCAAACTTTAAACCCATGAGCTGCATTTTGTTTGAGAAGTGTGAAGGAAGTGGTTAGGTACGTACCATACATCCAAGTAACTCGAGTTATTGGGGAGAATGTTAATCATGGATTTTCGGTAGCGGTCTTGAGACACAGTGGATGGGTAGAACGTAACTTAGGATTCCACCAATAGCGCTTGGAGAAGGGTTGTGAATTAGTGGGCGGAGGCGAGTATTGTGCATATACTCGGTAGCCGTCGTGACATCTGTTGTTCATTGATTTTGTCGATAGTGTTTCGAGATGGGTTGCGAATTGGTGGGCCAAGGCGATGATTTGTGTAAAATATCATTGACGGAAACCTAATTGATAATTGCTACAATAGGGGGAAACAATGAACAACAGATGAAAACTTATGTAGACAATATAACTATTATGGGAAACCTGATGGCTAATAGATGTAGACCCGACGAATAATAGATGAACATAATGAGAAAGTGGGGGTAAAAGAATGGCCTGAAACTTCCACACTTGCACTTAAAACAGTTTGGGAGCCACTAATTAATAATAAATTCAATATTAAACTTTTATATATTAAAATATACTAATTAAACTACCACGAATTTATCAGGAAAGTATATGTTTTTGCACTCTATTCAAAATTCGACAACTAAATAAAGCCAACAAGGTCAATAATCCAACTTGACTATTGCCAACCCTCCATCAGATAGAACATGGAGAATACCGCCGGCGGCGTTCACTCACTCTATTTAATCCCTCCCATATCTCACCACCAACATTCCTCACCATTACAACAACGTAACAAACCAATCTCTTCATTATTATCTCCTAAAAATGGAGTTCCTCCAAACCCTACCACCACTCACCTTCTTCTCCCCACTCCTCCTCACCATCGCCGCCATCTTCCTCCTCTCAATCCTCATCTCCAACAAGAAAACCACCGCATCATCCCAAAAAGCCAACAACAACAACCTCCCGCCGGCACCGTGGAAGCTCCCCGTGTTGGGCCACCTCCACCACTTCCTCACCAGCGCCGAGCCGCCCCACCGCCGCCTCCGCCAGCTGGCACGAACCCACGGCGACGTCATGCAGCTGGACCTCGGCGAGATCAGCCACGTCGTCGTTTCGTCGGCCGAGGCGGCGAAGGAAGTGATGCGGACCCACGACATCAAGTTCGCGCAGCGTCCCTTCCACCCACACCAGGCCAAAATCATGTACGGCGGCATCAACCTCATCCACTCCCCTTACGGCGAGTACTGGCGCCAGCTCCGCCGCATCGCCACCCTCGAGCTCCTCACCGCGAAGCGGGTGGAGGCCCTCCGCCGCGTCAGGGAGCCCGAGGTGGGCTCCTTGATGCGGACCATCGCGAAGGAGCAACAGCAGCGCCCTGGTCAGGTCAGTGTGGGCAACCAGCTGTTTTAATCAATGTAGTCAAAATTGTGCGTGCTTTAAAGTTTAAAAAGCTCATTTTTTTTTCTATGTTTCTAGAGCACCAAAATGATTCTACATAGAATCATGGTTTTTACTACATTTAGTGCGACAGACGCCTACTTAAAGAGTTAGGTCTATCAAGCGAGACAATATGATGTTTCGGTGAAAAAAATTCGTGTGTCGTCATTATTATAAGTTTTTGAAATTAGGATTTCTCACACACCTCCAAAATTTTATAACTGACACATTTATGAAGTCAGTCAAGAATGGGATCTTCATATTCGAATTAGTGATCAATTAATCAATTCTTGCTGGATTGTATATATACATATAAAAAAAAAAAATTTTAAATTCTTCATAATCGAATTGTGACTCTCTATGAACATAATGAAATTGTGTATTATTCTAATGAACTAGATTTCTATGTATTCCTATTTATTATTTTTATTTTTATCGCGCGCGACTGACATACCTCTCCAAAAATTCTGGGGGCGTATACTTGGTCTGCAGGTCGTCGACCTGACCAAGGAGTTGTTCAACCTGACGTACAGCATCATCTCGAAGGCCACGTTCGGCGACGTGTCCGCGGAGCAGGAGGAGTTCATCGAGATCGCGGAGGCGCTGGTGAAGTACGGCGGCGGGTTCGGGCTGTCGTACCTGTTTCCGTCGAGCGGTTTGGTTCAGAGGTTCTTCGGGACGAAAGAGTGGCTGGATAAGATGCACGAGGGAACCGACCGGCTGGCGGAGAGCATCATCAGGCAGCACAGAGAGAAGAGGGCGGTGAGTAGGAAATCCGAGGACGATGAGGATTTGCTGGATGTGCTTTTGAATCTTCAGGAGGATGAGACCACGCTCGGTTTCAACTTGTCCAACGAAGCCATCAAGGCTTTCCTTCTGGTAAATTGTTGCATGTGACATGTTCGTATTAATATTAATCAATCTGGTCTTTATTGAAAGAACGATGACTATTAAGATAATCTGGCCTTCATGATCAACTTGGTTTTGGCAGGACATTTTCTTAGCCGGAAGTGAGACTCCATCGTCTTTGACCGAATGGGCTATGTCAGAGATGATTAAGAATCCGGAAGTGTTGCAGAAGGCGCAGGCGGAGGTGCGAAGAGTGTTTGGCGAGAAGGGAAGGGTCGACGAAGCGAGGATTCAGGAGCTAACCTACCTCAAGATGGTCATCAAGGAGACGCTGCGACTGCACACTCCGGCGCCGCTGGTGCTTCCCAGGGAGTGCCGAGAGGAGTGCCAGGTTGGCGAGTACGACATTCCCCTGAAGACCACGGTGGTCGTGAACGTGTGGGCGATAGCAAGGGATCCTCGTTACTGGGGTGAAGAAGCCGAGAAGTTTCTTCCGGAGAGGTTTTCCGACACCAACGTTACTTACAGGGGCGGCGATTTCGAGTTTTTGCCATTTGGGGCGGGGAGAAGGATGTGTCCGGGGATGACGTTTGGGCTGGCGGCCGTGGAACTTCCCCTCGCCAACTTGTTGTATCATTTTGACTGGAAGCTTCCGGACGGAGTCAAGTCGGAGAACCTGGATATGGAAGAAATATTCGGCATCACTATCAGGAGGAAGAATCATTTGAAGTTGGTTCCCGTCCTCCGTAATCCTGTACCCACTCTTTGATTTTTTTCTATCTAGTAACAACCAATAAGCTTAAGGGAGACCGGCGGGATAGTATACACTAGGTATATATGTGTGTCTAGGTACGTTTCATTAATTATCTGCTATGTTTTTCTTGTCATTGTTACAAAAGTTGTCTGCAAAGTAACATAAATTGTGTGTTCGCTTATCTTACTAATCATGTACCTATGCGGCCATCGTCGCACATTAATGATAAATGATAAAGCATGTTTTTTCACTTAAAATGTAGGTTAATTTGATCTATTGAAATTTAAAGGAAAGAAAAGTAGCTAGAGACACACTACTTTGAAGTAGGGGTGGCAGTCGGTCGGTTATCGGTTTAACCGAAAACCGAAAACCCGGTTATCGGTTAAACCGAAAACCCGGTTATCGATTAAACCAAAACCCCGGTTATCGGTTAAACCGAGCCACCACCAACAAATGTCGACCACCGACAGTGAGATAGGTCACGGTTAGCCGGCCAATCGACCGGTCGATTTCGGTTTTAGGCTCGGTTAGCCGGCCAACCGAAAAACTACCTTTTCTATATAAAAAATAATAAGAAAACAAAAATTCCGGACCACTCATCTCCAAACTTATCTCCTCGGCTCCTCCTCTCTTCTTCCTTCCTCCACCAGAGACCAGACCACTTCTCTTCTCTCTCCTTCTCTTCCTCTCACCAAACCACTTCTTCTCTCACCTTCTTCCTCTCACCCATCCACTTCTTCCTCTCACCTTCTTCGAACTTCATCTGCGCACTTCGAGTTCGGGACTTGCGGATATGCATGTTCTTGCCGCCGTTTCTTCCCGGCGATGCCCCCGTTTCTTCCCGGTGACGTCCCCGTCATCCTCCGGCTCGACCTCCTCGACGCTCCTACACTCTCCGACACCTCACCGCTCCCTCCTGACCCCCACCGCCACCGACGACGGCGGGAACTTAAACGCCGCCGCTAGTGTCTCCACCAGTTGGTCCGATTTCGGCCTCCATGAAAAGAAGTAAAGGACGCCTTGGCCACCGCAGTCGATTTCGAATCTGCCGGATTCATCTCGGGCCAATCTCCCCGCCGCCGGGAAGAAGGCGACGAGGGCCTGGCTCAGGGACTCCTTCATCGCCCCAGCGCCTGTGGCTCTCCAACTTGGACCAGTTGTTCGTCCAAAATAATGCTGAGCGGCGGAAGTTGAATGATTTGAGAGGAGGAGCGAGTCGACTTAGGGTTAGGAAGGAGGAGGATTGAAGCGGGGTCGTTTTGGGGAAAGGGAAGGGGTCGGTTAGCCGGTTTCCGACCCCGGTTAGTCGGCTAGCCGAACCTCTTCCCATCTCTACCGCCAACCGACCGATGCATGCAGAAACGGTTTTTCGGTTAGCCGAAAACCGGTCGGTTCGATTGAAACCGTCCGGTTAACTGCTAACCGAAAACCGTTCTGCCACCCCTACTTTGAAGTGCTTGGTTCTGTGTCTTACAGATTGCAGATGTTTATAATGATTATCGATACAATGGAGACTAACACTATGTTTTGCAACGAGGGTGCAAGTTGAGGGGTAATTTGCTGGGGGTGCAAGTAGAGTGAAAAGTAAGTAATTATATTATTATAAAATAGATTCATCAAAATTTTAAAATATTATCACAAAATAGTATAAATAAAAATTAATATATAATAAAAATGATATCATAATCATAATAATTATATTATAATAAAATAATTATTATATAATAATACTCAAATAACGAAGTCAAACGATCAACCACGAACAACGTCTACATTAATGATAGCTATAAGAAAAAGCTAATAATATTAATTATTATCTAATTATAATATAATTAAAAAATTAATAATTTCCTCCTTCCCCCTCCTTCCTTTCCTCTCTTGCACCCCAATTCAGAAGATAAACCGAAATAGTGAATTTGCACTCACATTTTGTACCCCACCTATAACACCAGAGTAAACACCTTGAAATTTGTGTTTAACCCGCATTCTTGCACTTGCCCTCCCATTTGCCGCTCTTCCAAACATAGTGCAATAGTCTGCTATTAAAAATAAGCAGTCACCAACCGGCAAACTGCGAGCCAGGAAAAGGTGGAGTTCACACATAACTAAGCAAATATTCTCACCATTGTACAAGACAATCAACCCTCTTATTCCACGAACGACAAAACATATGAGATTGTGAGTTACCAGACAACTTTTGAAACTCGTGAATTCATTGGGCAAATAAGATAAATATCTAGAGTTTAATGAATTTATAGTTATATTGATTCGGGTCTATTGTACATATTTTATTTTTACCTTTCATATTTAAAATAGTTTGATTGTGCATTTCATGTTCTCTCGACCTAATTTACACTAGGTTATGCTTGTTTTGATACATTTCGAGTACTAGTACGTGTGGGAAGGTTCGAGACGAATTTCGTGACGATTGGATGTCAAAAAACGCCCAAAAAATGAAGACCAGTCAAAAGTCACGAGATGTGGCTAATTGTCACTGTCTTCTCATATCAAAATCCCCTCAACATACTAACTCTCAAATTTTCTTATCTCTGTGTTGCTTTCTACCCTTACTCTCCTATTTATACTTGCGAAAGATTAGCCGTTGCCTTACAAATCCTTGACTTCTTGATCAAATTGTACCCATATACCATCATAGTATATTTTGCTTCGTTGTGGGTGAGCAATGTCACAATCTTTTGCTTCATTGTGCACCCGATGTGCAACCATGCATTGCTTTTGTGAATGTTGCAGTTACTTAAACCGTGTTAGTATTGGGCCTTGTGTGGTCTTGTCCGAGTTGTAGTAGGTACGGATATTTGGCCGTACTCGACTCTTCTCGTTAGGGTTTCAACCATAGTCTATCACTATATAAGACTTAGCTACGAACCTGTCGTAAGCAAGCCGTCACAATATAGTCATTTAATAAAACGACAGCCGTGAGCTCTTTCGAGCTCACCGTGGATTAGTCTCGATCAATCAATCGATCGAGGATACCACGTAAAATCCTGTATTCTGTGTTCTTTCGATATTCCGCATTATTAATTTCTTCATGTTATCAGAGCTATAGATTCAGCTAAGTCTTTCGCACACAGCGAAGTTCATTTTGCTGCCTTGTTCTCTTCATCAGCGATGTTATTCCGCTGAGTATAATCGACAGCGGCCACATCCTCAAGGTCATAGTGATCATCCCCGTGGTCACTCTGTCACCGCCGACAATCTCTAGAAGAGATTGTGTTCATTCTGGCTCCCTAGTTGTTCCGTGATGTTCCATGGGCCAAGATCCAGAAGTAAATCCTGCGAATTCCAGTCCGCACCACCGTCTGCAGAACCATCACCGTCCTCCGCGTCCCATCATCAGCTAGCAGTCAAGAAGCAGAGATGGAGAAGGAGGCAGCGCTGGCTTCAACGGCGAAGTCCTTCCCGCCGTTTCCAGCACACCATCTGTCGTGGGGTATTTCAGACGTGGAGTTAGTATAACTTGGGGCCCAACCATCAATTAGTTACATTATTGCACACGTAGTGCCAAGAGCTTGTCCAGCCTATTTATTTAGGATTCAAGTTGTCATTGTGGCCAGTCAAGGTCACGTAGAGTTTCTTCACCAACATCACAGTCATGGCGTTGAAGGCAATCATGAGCGGCAGTGGTCATCTCTTCAAATAGCTAGTATTGGGGGAGAAAGAACAGCTATGTGTCAATAAAATTTTCAAATCATCAGGTCGAGGCATTCACGATTCATAAAATGGTCATCCCCTGGCGTTCAAAAGGTACTACGATCAGAGAAGTCATCGTCCCTTCATCGTCCAATTGGCATTCACGATTCAAGAAATGGTCGTCCCCTCTTCCGGTTCATTATTGGGCACATATCAACCATTCATCGCTTTTCAAGCCAGCATTCACGATGTTCGTGTTCCAGTTTGAGGGGGAGAATAGGAGGTCAACATACGTCGGTCGACTAACTCAGTCATCAGGTCGACCGCGATGTACCAAGTATGTTCAAGTTCAAGAGAAGCAGTCAATCGTCTTCATCATTAGGTTGTTCAGAGAGAGTCAGTTCTCTCCAGCCAACCTCGTCCGAGATGTTATTCATCTCGAGTTTTATGGTTCAAGTCATCATGCTTGCCCTTCACATTTACTTCTTCAAGCTCGACATTCTTGTCATTCATGTCTTCGCTTGAGGGGGAGTGTTGCGGTTACTTAAACCGTGTTAATATTGGGCCTTGTTGGGCCTTGTCCGAGTTGTAGTAGGTACGGATACCTGGCCGTACTCGACTCTTCTTGTTAGGGTTTCAACCGTAGTCTATCACTATATAAGACTTAGCTACGAATATGTCGTAAGCAAGCCGTCAAAATGTAGTCGTTTAATAAAACGTCGGTCGTGAGCTCTTTCGAGCTCACAATGGATTAGTCTCGATCAATCAATCGATCGAGAATACCGCGTAAAATCCTGTGTTCTTTCGATATTCCGCATTATGCATTATCAATTTCTTTGAGTGAACTATCCAGTTGACGATGTTCAGTCATCAAAATGGTGAGAGGAAATGATTGGCGCCGGATGGAGAGACCATGGTGCATTGTGTCATCCAAGTAAAATCTGAAAGGTGAAAGGCTTGACGGAGCGGGATTAAATCTTTCATTGGACATTGCTAAACAGTCATTTTAATATGATTAATAGCATATTTAAAATGAATATTCATCGAGCTTCAGGTCCTAATGGATTCTCATCAGGCTTTTTAGAAGAACATGACTTATAATTGGTGAAGATGCCACTAGGGGATTCATGACTTCGTTGATCCTGGCAGGATGTTAAGCGGAATCAATGACACAACTGTTTCTCATTGTCCAAAGGTAAATAAATCTTAGCAACTTAAATATTTTCGCCATATTTCTTGTGTAAATGTTTTGTACAAATTGTAGGAAAGATAATTGTCCAATCGGCTCGGAGAGGTTGTCCCTTCTATACTGAGCCAAAATCAAATAGCTTTCATTAAATAAAGATGGATTATTGATACCATAATGTTAACACAAGAGTTGGTCAGTGGTTATGGAACGTATATGCGTTCATCGAGATGTGCAATAAAAATGTATCTCGTGATAGTAGTTGAATCTGTACATTGGGACTACATATTCAAGTTTCTGACTGTTATGGGCTACCTTCAAGTTTCAAACTTAAGAATGGTGTTAGAGAGGGTGACTCCTTGTAATCCTATCTATTTGCTACTATAGTGGAAGGATTGACTGGCTTTTAAACTCTTCGGCATCTTCTGGTTATCTTCCTTATCACCCGATGTGCAAGAATGTCCCTCTTAATCCTCTTTGTTTTCTTATGACGATCTCTTTATCTTCGTAATTGGCTCAGATCAAGCTATCAAAGAGGTGAAAATCTATTTTGAATTATTCTTATTTGCAGTCTGGCTGAAAGTGCAACCTTAATTAGTAATTTTGAAGTATGTTTTGGTAGTATGTACTTTACAAGCACACTGCCCTAGCCCTCACTGGTTTTAAGAAAGGTATGCTACATGTTAGATATCTTACTATTAATAAAGGGCACCCGATTGAACGAAAAAAATTGAAAATGAAATTCTATGAAATTACTAATTACAAATGAAAATAATATTTCTGATCAGATTTTACCAAACAAGTCATAAAAGAGATGTTTTATTGCTTTTGGGTCATCGTGAGAGTATTTCTGCATAAAAAAACGTCGCAAAGGAAAAAAAACAAAACAAAAAGAGATTCATGCATGGTCGACAAATGTGCACCAATATTTTGAAAGACTGATAGTAAGCTTAGTCATACACGTGCTTTCAAGTTTCAAGATAGGCATATCCTTTGGGTATAGGTTTGATGTGCTAGAGTGACCAAACGGTAACCAATGCTTCCAAGTTCGAGTTGTTACTTATGGCACAATCTAAGTACCACATCGGAAATACAAGGGAAAAGACTCATTTATATTAGTGTCCATCTAACTCAATTAGTAAGAGGCCTTTTGGGAAGGAATCCAAGAGTAAATTCGTGTGCGCTTGATCCGCAAGACAGCGTATATAGATGGGTTTCTCGGTACAAGGATTTTTTCAGATGCGAAACTTTCTTTGATCCGCCAAACAAACGTGGATCTCTCCTGGATCCACTAAACCAGACACAAATCTCAAATCCCGAGGTCACTGAATGAGGGTCCCACCAAACTGACGTCCATTGCTCCGAACCAGGCTCTGATACCACTTGTCGAAACTCGTGAGCTCAATTAGTACGATATTGTTCGATTTGGGCCAAGCCCACACGGTTTTATTTTTGGGTATCCTCCCCAAAAGGCCTCGTACTAATTAGGCTAGGTGGACACTAATATACAAGGATTTCTTCCCTTGTATTACCGATGTGGTACTTGGATTGTCTCATGACAATCCTCCCCCCAAGACAAGGACCACGAACTTTGTGTCATCTCTCAATGATTATCTTGATCTGCCAGACACTATGTATCGATGGGTTTCTCGGTACAAGGATTTTCCCAGACGCGGAACTCTCTTTGATCCGCCAAACCCGATGTAGATTACCTTTGATCTAGCTACCAGACAGATGTGGATCTCCTTTTATCCGCCAAACCCAGACGTGGATCACTCTTGGATCCACCAAACAGATGCAGATCTCAAATCCTAAGGTCCACCAAATGAGGGTCCACCAAACTGACGTCCAGCGCCCCGAATCCTCTGAACAACTTGTCAAAATCGAGCAGCTCAATTAGTACGATATTGGGCTCATTAGTCAAATTAAACTTAAGAAATTTTAGTTTTGGGCCATACTTATATCCTTTTTTTAGTTTGGGTCTAAATTGGACACATAATAATGTTGGAAGCCCGAAAGAAAATGAATATTCAATTCTAATATAATCTTTGTCTTGTTTTTTATTATAAAACAAATAGAACGATGGAAACACCTATAAAAATGTAATTGGATTCATGGTAGTTAATGAAATATTTGATATTGTATTTGGTGTATGATCTCTCTAGATCCGATTAGACCCATTTGTGTCTCGTCCAAATAGGACCCTATTCACCCAACCCAAATCCAAAACCATTAAAAGTTCATATTGGTTCATATGGGTCCGATCTAATTCTTATATGGGTCATGAGAAGTTTTCAAATTAAATTACCCAATAAATCTACCCGTGACTTTGTCTACTTTCAAGATTGCTTGCATAAAGAACAAAGAAGTTCACTATTTATATCATTTAATTAATTAATAAACTTGTACAAAATCATGGATCACGGGTACTGCTGCAAATCAATGAACTATCTACAAGCAACAAAACCATTAACAAACTAAAATTTGTATTTTCCTTTGATCACTGTGAAATATCCGGGTGATGTAATACAAAGAAAATTTTCTAATCAATAATATGTTGGAAGAAAAAAAGCACTGTTTCAAAGTGCTAAGAGTGTGTCCCATAATTTCCAAGATATGAAAGTGGTTAGTATTTTCCACATAGTGTCAAGACGAGTGGCAGGTTGGCGGATGTGAAATTTCCTCAAAGACCACGGTGGTTGTGAATGTGTGGAGATATGATCCTAGCTCGTTATTGTGTAAGAAGCTGAGAAATTTTGGGTGGGAGAGATTTTCTACTAGCAACTTCAGTTTATACGACGCGACTTTTTAATTTTTATCATTTGAGACGGGAAGAAGAATGTGTTCTGAAATGACATTTCGATTGATAGTCGTTGAACTTTCTCTCCCTACCTTGTTATACCAGTTTGACTGAAAACTCCCAAATTGAATCAAGCAGGAAAATTTATGTGTGCTATGACTTGAAGACAGATTATTTGTTGTTGATTCGAAGTCATAGGCTCTCGTTGTCCGGTTAGCTAGTCGGAGTTGAGAGGCGAAGTACCTGGTTTTGGAGTTCGGGGGCAACTTCCAGACCCACGGATCACGGTGTATGAGCTTATACACGTTTGTTTGTCTGTCTTGTGTCTGGTTTGTAATATTTTATTTTTCGAGTTGGATTAGGTTAGGTCGTCTGGAGAAGGGACTATATATACATTCTCAATTGTTTGTACTTTGTAATATGTAGTATATTATATATATATATATATATAGTGAAACTAGCTCTCTCATGTCCGTGGACTAGCTTATATACACATTGTGTTAATGAACCAAATAAATTTGTGTATTTTTTTTTAACTTTTTTACATTGTCGATTTCCTGATATTGTTAGATATGGATGCAATATTGAGAAATAATCTGGATGCTGTTTATCATAATATGCAGTAGCAGCCAATAAGCTAAGAGCCAAGCTGAAAGGATGATATGCATTATTAGGTATGTCAATGTGTGTCTAGTGGCTAGCTTCATGATGTGTTGTTTTTTCCAATAATGAGAAGAAAGCTGCTTCTATTTCAAGTTGTGTTTGTTTATGTTATCACTCAGATGTCGTTTAGGTATGGTGTTTTTAGTGATTTTCAAAGACAAAAAAAACCAACAGATATCCAATTCTTTTGAGAGATCTTGTCCAAATATCTCTTAAAGATTGCATAATCATGTGTTATCGGTACAATCAAGAATAAGAACGATATATACTTGGATTATTTGATGGGGTTTATATTGGGAGCGGATCCGATCATTAATCTAATTTATTTACTGATTATGTAAAATAAATCATCCAATAGCAAATTAGTATCTCATAAAATTGGCATTAGGTTGACACACAACAAATCACGAACACTTTCAATTAATTAATTAGCAAAAACAATAACCAAAACTCAATCAACCAACACAATAAACACACCATAATATAATAATAGAATATTGATACGCAAGCCCATTACTTGGTGGTCAATTATGACCGCCCTGCATGAAACATGTGCCTAGCGGTATTTTTTAACTTCATATAATGCACAACTTTGCCAACAACCATCAGATACCACCATATCGGGAATACAATTAATTAAAGGGAAAGCCAAACTTTCGGTTCGGTTCGGTTCGGTTCAATACAATTTCGTTGTTTTGATTATAGTACTGTTCTAACAACGTAAGTACAATTCAAGGTTCAAAAAGACGCTAGGCGTAAGGCGGGCGTTGAGTCTTTGCCTTGCGCCTAGCTCGCCTAGGCGTAGACTAAGCGTGCCTAGGCGTTGGAAGAAAAATAGTTATTCGCACTACATGATGAATGAAATAATAATCTATAACACTTCTTCACTTTAGTGAAAATGATTAATAACTTACACAACACTTAATGACAAGAACATAGCTCACGAATTCATAGAATCATAGCTCAGTAGCTCACAAAGTTCTTCAACTATTGAAAATATTGCAATGGAAAATTGATTTCATAGTTTATGTTAATTTGGTCTTTAATATTGACTTCCTAGCTCCATCTAGTAATGTTTAGGAGAGACTTATATGTCGCCTTACTTTATTGACGTGTTCCAGTATCTAATTAGGCGCGAAACTCCTAGGCGAGGCGTTTGCCATTGCCTTGTGCCTAGGCGTGCCTAAGCGTAAGGTTAAGCGTGCTTTTTCGAACCATGGTACAATTACAACACTATGAAAACGAAAACATAAATGCGTTTAGTTGGTAATTCTAAGAAATTACGAAAACAAACTTTTTTAGGGTATTTAGTTACTTTATTAGGCTCCATTTAGTCTTAAAAGTAGAAAAATAGTGTGAGGAATAGTGTGACATGCATGACAAGTTATGAGAACAATGAAGTGGGAAAAGGTTATGAAAATAATATCAACAATAAAGTTTTCGTGGATGAGTTATTTGAAATTGGAGAGGCAGAAAATATGCACAAAGTGAGTCTATTAAGCTTTGATTGTAAACTCTTTCTGATGACATTGTTAAAAAAACTTATACAATCTCACAAGAAACATTTTTCTCGAAACAGTAAGGAAGCTACTTAAAGTTGTTTGATTATTTTCTAGCTAATTTTTACGAGAACAGAAACCGAAAATGATACTAAGCTATGCCTCTACTCTTCAAATATAACATATGTTGATTCGTATTATGTTCTGTAAATTATTTCAAGCGCGAAGAAAAAATGGGTTGAAATCAAATTTAAAACCGGACCAAATCGAATCAAATAAAACAAACATGTATTTCATCCGATTGATCCTTATTCTTTCTTTACATTTGATCCGATTATAAACCGAACAGACCGATGCCCACCTCTAATCTTCACCAACTCTATTTAATCCCCCCTCCCACTCCCATACCTCTCACTCCAAAAAACCACCTCTTATCACTAGTTCAAGTCCCATCTCCATCAATTCTCCTAAAATGGAGCTCCTCCAAATACTACCACTCACCTTCTCCCCACTTCTCCTTACCATCGCCGCCATCTTCCTATTCTCAATCCTCGTCTCCAAGAAAAAAGCCCATGCCAGCAAAAACGGGCCCAATGGCACCACGCACCACAACCTCCCGCCGGCACCGTGGAAGCTCCCCGTCTTGGGCCACCTCCACCACTTCCTCACCAGCGCCGAGCCGCCCCACCGCCGCCTCCGCCAGCTGGCACAAACCCACGGCGACGTCATGCAGCTGGACCTCGGCGAGATCAGCCACGTCGTCGTTTCCTCCGCCGAGGCGGCGAAAGAAGTGATGCGGACCCACGACATCAAGTTCGCGCAGCGGCCGTTCCACCCTCACCAGGCCAAAATCATGTACGGCGGCATCAACCTCATCCACTCCCCCTACGGCGAGTACTGGCGCCAGCTCCGCCGCATCGCCACCCTCGAGCTCCTCACCGCCAAGCGCGTCGACTCCCTGCGCCGCGTCAGGGAGCCCGAGGTGCTGGCCATGGTCAGCACCATCGCTGAGGCGGCCCAGTCTACCTCAGGTAGAGGTGGTGGCAAATTTATGATCCGATCTATCAATCCATTCAAATTCATATCTACTTAAATATCCAACTAACCCATTCCATTTAAATCCAAATCTAATTGGATCGGTAGATCTATGGGCCGGATTCGTGGATTTTGTTATAAACTACAGTTTAGTATCTATATTTTTTTATACTTTACGATTCAATACCTAAAATTTATTTATTTTTAATATGAAAAATATCATTGAAAACTCATACAGTATCGACGGTTCGACTTAAAAAACCTCCTGCAGGAAGCTAAACCGATAGGCGGTATTTAGAAGAATGAAACTGTTGAACCACAATTAAAACACGCTTTTAGCATGCTGCTGATTTTTCAAGTATAACCTCCTGTACAGTATTTCAATCTTCGAAAAAATTGCATTTTGGTACATAATTTGTTATTATTATTATTATGACATTTAGTACCTAAACTTTTCAAAATTTACATATTAGTCCAAATTCTAGAGAGTCATTTGAATCCACAGATCAATCCACCAGTCCATTTTAATCCATGGATCTACCAATCTAATCTCTCCGCCAATTTGTGGATCCAATCCATTTACCACCTCTGCTGCATTGCAGGTGAAGCAGCCACCGTCGACCTGACCAGGGTGCTGTTCGGCCTGTCGTACAGCATCATATCGAAGGCCACGTTCGGCGACGTGTCGGAGGAGCAGGAGGAGTTCATCGCCATAGCCGAGGCGCTGGTGAGGCACGGCGGCGGGTTCGGGCTGTCGTTCCTGTTCCCGTCGAGCCGGTTGGTGCAGAGGCTGTTTAGTGTGAAGGAGTGGCTGGACAAGATGCATGAAGGCACCGACCGGCTGGCGGAGAGCATTATCAGGCAGCACAGGGAGAAGAGGGCGGTGAGTAGGAAAGCCGAAGATGAAGAGGATTTGCTGGATGTGCTTTTGAATCTTCAGGAGGATGAGACCACGCTAGGGTTCAACTTGTCCACCGAAGCCATCAAGGCTTTCCTCCTGGTAATTACTAATCACCTTGTTCATCGTTGATTCAAAGTGTTAATCAAGCATAAAACATCTATCTATGCATAGAATTGATCACATAAATGTAGGTATGAGTTATGACAATGAAACCTGAGGGTACCCAATCTGATTCAACTCGGTCATAACGGGTAAAACTCATTGTTGATGGCTTTATGTAAGAATTTTTTTTGATAATATTACGATATGTGTTTGAAGAAATCATGTATAACGTAAACTCGTGATTACTAGTTGAGTTGATTTTGCTCTTCTTAAATCCAATTAGTAAAATGTATTTTTGAAGATATTGCTGCCTCGGTACTCGTTACTTTGATTCCTTGTTTGGTAGCCAAAAACAAAATTGCATTGCAGGCAGTACTGCTCGGTGTGGGTAATGTCAGTACTCAGTGCTAGCTGTAGCTATGAGAATTTTTTCTTAATATTGTTTTTATCTGTGAGAAAAATAGATTAAAATGTTCAATAGTTTCTAATAATGAACAAATAATTGATTAGAACATGATTATTTGTTAGTTTATTAGGGTATTTTTCATAAAGTTAGTGCATAAATAAGATATGCGGGGATCTTTGATGGGAAACACGCACACAAAGGATAACTCTAATTAATATGTTTTTTCTGCATTATTTGGTTGTTGAAATCACACACATCAAGGGTCCTCCACTTTGTAAAAAAATTAAAGTAAGGGTCCTCCTGACCTAACCTGTCTACTAACAAAATATTATATGAATTAGATTCAGTCTTATTATTAAATATTAGAAATTATTGTGTAGGGTATGTAAATCAAAGTAATAATTTCTTTTTGTCAATCATGCATTCAGGATATTTTCTTAGCTGGGAGTGAGACCCCCTCGTCGCTGACCGAATGGGCGATGTCGGAGATGATAAAGAATCCAGAAGTACTGCAAAAGGCGCAGAGCGAGGTGAGAAAAGTGTTCGGCGAAAAGGGGAGGGTGGATGAAGCAGGGATTCGCGACCTGCCCTACCTGAAAATGGTCATCAAAGAGACGTTGCGTCTGCACACTCCCGCGCCACTGGTACTTCCCAGAGAGTGCAGGGAGGAGTGTCGGGTCGGTGGGTACGACGTCCCTCTGAAGACCACGGTAGTTGTGAATGCCTGGGCCATCGCGAGGGATCCTCGTTACTGGGGGGACGAAGCGGAGAAGTTTTGCCCGGAGAGGTTTTTGAACACCGAAGTCACCTTCAGAGGTGGGGACTTCGAGTTCCTCCCGTTTGGAGCGGGGAGAAGGATGTGCCCTGGAATGACGTTCGGACTGGCGGCCGTGGAGCTTCCCCTCGCCAATTTGCTGTACCATTTCGACTGGAAGCTCCCCCATGGAGTCGAGCCGGCGAATTTGGATATGGAAGAAATATTCGGCATCACCGTGAGGAGAAAGAATCATCTGGAGCTGATTCCCGTTCTTCGTAACCCGGTACCCACCGTGTAATGCATACGTTGTCACGTATGAGACAACTCCGTGACACGTAAATGTACTTTTAAGTGTTTCAAGAATCTTTTTATGGTAATTGTTCTCCATAAGCTTAAACCTAAAATGTGATTGGATGATGTCATTCACACATTATTGTTGTGAAGTACGTTGTTTTTTAGTTTGGTAAGAATCAAATGTGTTGTATCTTAAAAAATATTAAAGTAGATTTGAGGAAAACGACCTTTTTTTATGTCAATCTTTGTGTTTTACCCGTGATTCTCGGCAATTACATTCTAATTGGCGTTTTTTTTTTTACAGGTTCCGCACTGGCATTACAGTTACAATGCAGACCCAATTTGTTATTATAGTGTTAAGATTAGTTCCCGTCAATACTCAATAGTAACATTTTCATTTGATCACCTTTTTAATTTTAAGGTGTTGACCACAATCAATGATGATTTTAAAGACAAGGATAAACTTGTCATTTTCAAAGATTATAGGGGGACAGGGGACACGCATGTGGCGTGCAACTCATTTATTCAGCGCGTCCTTCCTGGCCACAAGTATCATGAAGCATATATAAAAAAAAACACATACCAGGAAAAAATAATAAATCACACTACAAAATTCATAAAGCAAACCAGAAAACTCAAAGTTGACCACAAAGTTTCCTGAAGCAGACTAGAAACTTCGTAAACCCGCGACCACGAGTTCCCTGAAACATATCACAAACTGGATAAAGCCAACCACAAATTCTCCGAAGCAGGCGAGAAATCTCATAAACCCGACCACATCATGAAGCATACCAGAAATATATGCACCACATCACAACTCTGACGATGAAAACTAAAAAAGAACCAGAAACCGCACGAAGCAAGCTAGAAATGTTATAGAGGATGAAAAGGTAAGAAAATTTTTTTGGTGAAATACTTTGATGATCTAGAACCGGAATGCGGAGTGAGTGTCTAAGAGACCCACTAGCATATTTTGGCGTGATTGCATGTGGAATATGCGCCTTTGGTCCCCCTAGCCAGCCTTAACACTGAGGTTTTCCTTTATGGTGATAATTGTTCATGCCCCACTACTCAATTGACAAACCACTACCTACACTGTGAACCTACACACCGCACTATTACAAGAACACCATATTACAATCTAAATCAAGCCTAGGATTTCCAAGTCGAGCCAATTCCATAAGTTGTCTGCAAATTGAACGAATCAACTCACCACTCATGACAGATTTTCCACCATGAACTCATTGGGTGTTTGTGCCTGCGTTTGATGTCTTACTAGTTCGTTCTCGCTAATTGGATGAAGATTTTTTTATTATTTGTAACTTTATATGTTGAAACTTGAATTTGGAATATGAATTCGATGCTATATCTTATAACTATTATTTTATGTTGACAACGTAGAAGTGTAATTAAATTTTATTGAATAATTTACATTACACCATAAAAATTTCACTAAGAAAAATGCCAGAGACGTTGATATTGGTTAGTGGGTAGCTGCCAAACCAACCGTTGATCGAATCGATAACATGCGCTTTATTGATAAGACTTATCATTTCGATTTTATGCATATTTTTTTGCTTCATGTTTGGGCGAGTAAAATGGCTTATTTTTAAGTAGTTATTATGAGTGACAACCAATGTAGTTAAAAGCGTGATTCTACCTGGAAGCGGAAAATGGGTAAAATCGTAAAACGTAGAATCAAAGCGTAAAAGCGTAAGTTTTTTACGCAACCTCTAAAATAGCTAAAATATGTTAAGTACAACATATAGTATGTATAATGTGAGTGTGTAGATTTTAGATAAGTGAATAACTACATGAAATTCATAATTAAAATGTAATAACTAAAACATAAACTTATTTGTGTTGACTCAAAAGTAGAGAAAACTCATAACATCTTAATAATAAGCTCATAAACGTAGATCGTAACCCGTAAACGAGTTTGAGAATCCAAATTCTCATAAGCTGGTTTGAGTTTGCTTAATTACATACGATCAATTACCCATAAACTTTTATCGTATCCCAGGTAAGAGCCACAGGTGAAGATTAAGGGAAAAGACTAATAGAAGGTCAGCGACTGTTGAGAATACCATTAGGTGTCTTTTCAACCTAATGTGAAGCCCCTATCTCGACACTATTTGTAGAACGAGTGATGAATCATGTTTTCCTTTTTTTTTGTTATGTTTTGCTTATATGTCTCCAAAATTACATCATATTGGGCCAATTAGCACATTTTATGAGATGATCAAAATCGTATAAAAACGTTTCAGAATCGCGATTTTAAGCGATTTTACCCATATTTTTACCAATTTTTGTGACTAAGCGACTTTAGTTAGAAACTGAAACATTTTGGTGGCCTGGATACGTAAAAACGTAAGTATTTACGTTTTAATACGTGATTTTGACTGCACTGGTGACAACTACTTAATAAGTAGTTATTATGTTTGGTTTTGGTTAACTCCCGTTATACCATTATACCAACTACTCAAACCGAGCATTTTTACCCGGTTCACTCCCGTTCAAATTGATTAGTGACCGAAACCGAACATATTACCACCCATACCAACTACTCAAACCGAGCCCTTCTACTCGCCCAAATTAGGTCTCGCGCGCCGTTGCTTTGCGCTGAAATTTCTTGCTTCACTTCACTCAAATGCTCGAAATGGGCCGCTCTCTGCTGTTTGGAGTTCTTCGTCGCTCAAATTCCTTACCTTCCAATTACGTTGCTTTCGCTTCACTCGGTATCGCCCATTCTCGCAATTTCACCAGCAATGGAGCTTCCCAGGACCCATCCACAATTCCCACATCAATCAGTGGAGCTCTGGACCGATTCCATCACGGGAGGAAAAACCTCACCCCGCAACTTCCACCCGACGAAACGATCATAAGAAACACTGACAAAGTCTGCAAATTGCTGTCCAAAGAGTCCAACAACCCCAACAACTTGGAGAGGTTGCTCGACGAGGCATCAATACAGGAGCTCTCGCCGGCTCTGGCGCTGGAGGTATTGAAGCGGCTGAGCAACGCAGGCGTTCTCGCGCTATCGTTCTTCAGGTGGGCGGAGAAGCATAAAGAGTTTCATCACAGCACGGAGAGCTACAATGTGCTGATCGAGTCTCTGGGTAAGATCAAGCAGTTCAAGCTGGTTTGGACTCTGGTCGATGATATGAAGCGCCGTGGGTTGTTGAGTAAAGAGACGTTTGCCCTGATTTCGAGGAGGTACGCGCGAGCCAAGAGGGTGAAAGAAGCAATCGATGCATTTGAGAAGATGGGCAAGTACGGGTTCAAGATGGAATCCTCCGACTTCAATCGGTTGCTCGACACGCTGTGCAAGTCGAGGCAGGTGGAGAGTGCACACGAGGTGTTCGACAAAATGAAGAAGAGAAGGTTCCAACCTGATATCAAGTCGTACACGATATTGCTGGAAGGCTGGTGTCAGGAGATGAATTTGCTGAGGTTGAACGAAGTCTACATGGAGATGAAAGACGAAGGGCTTGATCCAGATGTTGTTACCTACAGCATTCTTCTGAATGCATATTGCAAAGTCGGCAAATATAGCGAGGCGATCAATTTGTTCCACGAGATGGAATCGAAGAACTGCAACCCGAATCCTCACATCTTCTGCACATTGATCAATGGGCTGGGGTCAGTGAAGAGACTGAAGGAAGCGATAGAGTTCTTCGAGAGGTCGAAAGCTTGTGGGTTTGCTCCAGAGGCACCTACCTACAACGCTGTCATCGGGGCATACTGCTGGTCGTTGAAGATCGATGATGCTTTCAGGACAGTTGATGAGATGAGGAGGAGTGGGGTTGGTCCGAATTCGAGAACTTACGATATAATTCTTCACCATTTGGTGAAGAATCGAAGAACAGAAGTGGCATACTCTGTGTTCCAAAGAATGCGAAATGAGGCTGGATGCGAGCCAACGTTGAGTACCTACGAGATTATGTTGCGGATGTTCTGTAATGAGGATAAGCTAGATATGGCAGTGGAGATTTGGAACCAGATGAAGGGCAGAGGTGTTCTTCCTGGCATGCATATGTTCTCTAAATTGATAACTACCTTGTGCAAGAACGGGAAGGTAGATGATGCTTGTAAGTACTTTCAGGAAATGCTGGATGTTGGTATTCGGCCTCCAGCAGCATTGTTCAGCAATCTCAAGGAGACTCTGGTGGAGAATGGCCATAAGGTCACTGCTTCCAATCTAGCAGAAAAGATGCGTAAGCTCAGGAAAACGCCATTGGATGCCTCACTGCTCACACCAACAACGGACTGAGATACGATTTTAGCTTCTGAGTTCCAGGTGAATGAGAATTGGAAGTGTCCAATCTAAACCATGAACTCCTTCCACTGAGTTCCTAATATCTTTCAGAAAGGACATGGAGTCATCAACTGTTGATCAATTTATACATACAGAAGGTCTTGAAACGAATCTCCAAAATGTTGGTACAACGATATGGTTTAAGTTTCAAGCAGAGTGGCTTGTGTTATGCAGATTTTTTCTTTATGTTCTTGATTCAGGATTGAAGTTCGTGGATGCATCTGCGTTTCCAGAATTAGGTACCTTTCAGTTTTGGAGGCTGGTTTTTGGAGTCATTTTCCTGCTACTGAGGCCCATGGTTAACTCTGCAACACCCATTATGTAATGTATTGTTCTTCTCTGCCGAAGTTCGAAAGGAATTCTCATATCAATAGTCAAAATCTGTTGGTACAAACTGTCTCTCGCAACCAGAACAAAAATATAGTGTTCCCGGCTTCCCGCCCAAAGTTACTTATTGGCCTACTGAATTTCTTTGGTTATCTGTCAACCGGGGAGAATCATTTTGGGTGGCCTGAATCTTGAGACACAAAATGAAAGGAAGAACCATTTGGACCTTGGTTCCAGTTTAGACTTGAGACAGATGGTAATAATGCAGTCAGTTGGGAAGCAAAGTCGTTGCACAAGTTTTCTATCAAAATTGTATGGAAGTCAATAAGGCCTAGAAGACAGAGAGTTGATTGGCACAAGTGCTATGGTGAAGATATGGTTCCAAAGCAGTGGCTTCTGATGGCTTGTGATCATGAATCGAATTAAGACGAGAGAAAAGTTAAAAGGCTCGGGGCTAATTGATTCGGATGATTGTCTGTTGTGCAGCAAGGGACCTGAAACAAGGGACAGACAGTTTGTTTTCTTAAGGTCAGTTCTCCTGAGAAGTTTTAACTTCCTTGTTTCCGAGGGAATTATGGCCTGATGATTGGAATGGAATGCTGGAGGTAGTTTGTAGCCTTGCTAGGCCAAGAACAATGGATAGCAGCTTAGTAGGAGGGTTATGGTGCTTGTATGTTTCTGTACTCTAGTGTGAACGGTGCAGCAGAGTTTACCGGTCTACTCTCAGAAGTACAGCGGAGGATTGTTGGCTCGAGCTTTTCGAGTAATGTGTACGAGAGTTGAGACTTGTTTACTGTTTAGTACTGTGTAGAGGGTATTGCAGCATTAAGACTTGTGAAAGTGGAGCTTTGTTTAGGAAAGCTGGGTAAGAAGGTAGCTAAAGAGACCACTCAAGCAAAGAAATGAAAATTCTGGAAACCAACCCAATTCTGGAACTAGCATATGTAAGATGAAGAACCCTTGTCAGCATTGAATATTCTCAGGACTTGGATTAACAATGGTAATCAGGTTAAAGTGTGTAGTTGTTGGTAACACCATACGTAATCATAACTTGTTCTGGTGGAGTATTAAAATAATGGGGTTAACTAATTGAAAGGGAGAATATGACAGACAGTAGAAGAAGTATTATATTCATTTGGCTGCTGCTGGGTAATAATAGGCATCCTGAAAACGAGGAACAAATGATGATGAGATACCGTCGGCAAATGGTTTACCGTTTACCGCCGGTTACCGATTCGGTAAAACGATAAACCGTTTACCGGATTACCGTTTATCACCCCTATCTACGCCTATGTCCTTAGCCTGGTTGGTGCGGCAGAAAGTGATGCTGAAATTCAGCGTTTTCTTGCGGGAAAAGGCAAAAATTAAAGTCAGACAGACGGAGAGGTTACCCTTAACCCCGTCTCACAAGCTAACACTCCCACCGCGCATTGCGCATTTATTTCTTCATCACTGCTACTTCAACAACAACAACAAGAAGAAGAAGATTTATGAATGCAACGTTACGCAATTAATATTCTTCCGAAAATAAAAGAAGCCAATGCAATTAATTTTATTTTTCCTTACTCGAAGAAAAGGATGTGGTCGAGATAATACAGAAATTAAAGAGGGCGCGGCGGCGTCATTTTCTTTTATACAGTTCCTTCCACACTGGTTTTATTACACAAGGACACTTGTCTTCTTAATTAAATTCCCTCCCCGCCAATTGCGCCCAAAGCACAAATTTCAGTCTTTTTTTATGTTTTTTTTTTCTTTAATAAAGGCCTTATCCTCAGTCTGGTTTAAAAATACTCCAAATTTATGAAAATGGTGATGCATATTTACAAATTTTACTTGTGGCACAAATGAATCTTTTAAAATGTGAAAAATCTAACTCGAAAATTCGTACATTGTACCAAAAAAACCAAGCACACACATCTTAACAAAGTTGACGTTGTTAACCATAAAAAAAAAAAGAGAGAGTAAAAACATGTTTACTTTGTTGTCATTTGACATATCATGTGCTATACATTAATTGGGATGTTCGACTTACTTGTCATGTCATATGATCATGACATTAATTTCATAGTAGAGATTATCAATATTGTTGATAACCTAGATATACTTGTTTTGCTTACGGACTCATGTAAAATGTTTTTTACATTCTGTAAATATTATTTGTTTAATTGTGCGTGCTCCCTTCTTTTTCTTTTTTTTTTAATTGGTACACTCTTCAATACAGATCAGATCATGTAATACTCGACATAACCGGTTTAAATTTTCATAACATCTTCCACTAATAATATAAAAAAAAAAGGGAGGAAGAAGTAAGTAATAAAACAAATGCATAAGAATAAGGCTAGATTCTTCTATGGGATATCTTTTTTCTCTATAATTCTCTCTCCGGTCTTAAGCTTCCTTCCTCTCTATAAATACAGACACCGGAGCTCCGCGCCACCTATATCTGCAACAGTTCAAGCGACCATCATATCTCCTCCAACCACCGTACCTCTTCTCCGGTAGCCGGAAAGTGAAGAAGCCTACGTATATAAACATAAACATGGGAGCTCTGGACTCTCTTTCCGATTTCGTATACGACTTCTTCGCAGTCGCCAAGCAAAAGAGGAAGCGCAAGCCTCTCCAGGTACGTACGTACTGCCTGTGATCATTCATTCATTCATTCATTCATTTGCAGTAGATATGATCTCATCGTTATAGTCATGATAAATTTGGTTATTTTGTTGCACGTCGTCGGCTGGGTTTTTGTTGATTCTTCTTCTTTTCTTGTTGGGTTTAATAATTAATTCGCAGACGGTGGAGATCAAGGTGAAAATGGACTGCGACGGCTGCGAGAGGAAAGTCAGGAACGCTGTCTCCCACATGAAAGGTTTCCTCCTCTAATTCTTCTTTGCTCCCTAGCTATTCCTTCTTATCCGTTGAAAGCGATCCATCTTCTTGTTTTCTTCTTTGTAAAACCATCTTTGTAGGGTCAATTTATAAAACCAACTCGTCTCGTTTCTGTTTCCTTTTTATCCTATATGACGATTCAGAACATGGTCGGATCGGGTCAAGCCAAGTCGGTGGGTTGGCTCACATCAACAATCATATAGTGATTTGTTGATAAACATACATTTTGGTATTCAAATTTACTTCTTTTAAAAATAAAAAAATTGGAATCCTATACTTAAGTTTTTGACAAAAAAAATTTTTTTACAACTTTACAAACAAGTCCAATGCATTGGTAAGAGAAATTTTGTTGATATTGGTCATAGGACCAAAAAGTGTACCCAGTGGCGGACCCAGAAATTTTTCATAGGGGTGTCCTCTTTTAAAAAATAAATTTAATTAAAATAAAAATAATTAATAAAAATAAAATTGTAAATATGAAAATACCTTACTCGTACAGGTTAAAAAAGTGCATGATGTGTTTTCATATTCGAAAATAATTGTAGAACACTTGGTGTATATAGTGTTAAAAAAATTGTCTCTATATACACTACTAGACAATCATTCACGAACTTATCGCATATTTGATTTGTAAACTTGTTTTTAATGTAACCCAAAGCTGAAAGCCTCTTTCAATACTTGTCGTACAATCATAAAATCGATTCAAATTAAGTGTAGTTTGAAATTAGTTTAATTATTAGGTTTTTAAAATAATTAGAGATAGGGAATGCCATTTTACTATTACACATTGTTCAAAATCGAACAACAAATGAGTTTAGCTCAACGGAAATTAAGTTTATTAATAATAATAGTGTTCTAGATTTGAATTATCCAGCCTACCACTTATATTCCTATGCACAAATGACAGTAGGATAATCATTTTTTCAAATTTAAGAGGTGTCCCTCACTATCAATTATATTTTTTTTGTCCATACGTGAATTACCACCGGGGTTGGATAATCGTTTTCCCAAAATTTAGGGGTGTCCGGGGACACCCCTAAACCACCCTGGGTCCGCCCCTGAGTGTACCCTAACCTATCCCACTCTTCAGTGGGGGTGGCTATACGGTCCGGTCCGGTTAGATTGACCCGAATTGATCCGGTCACAGTCCGGTCTTTTCGGGAATATAAGGACCAAAGATTGGTTTGGATACAGTCCGGTCTTGACCCGGTCCGTTCCCAATTCGGTCTTGATTTTAGATTGAACTTGTAGTGGATTTGAGTGGCCTGAGGACTCAAAGAGTGAGGAGTTGGTTAAGTTTTGAGTGTTGAGCCTTCTTATCTGGTTTTTTATTCGATCCCAGACGATTTTTTACCTCAAATCTAAGCCCGGAAATTAAATTGGATTATTTGCTATCCCGTCCCGGTCCGGATTATACGGTCCGAGTTCAGATAAAACCAAATAGCACGAACCAAATAGCCAGCCTACTCTTCAGTACCAAAAAACTAACCTGACACTAAAATAAACTGAACCTGTAAACAAACTGACCCGACACCTTCATTCTCTTACTAATCCGGCATATATACATATATACATGCAGGAGTGAAATCGGTGGAAGTAATCCGGAAGCAGAGCCGGGTGGTGGTGACGGGACACGTGGAGCCGAACAAGGTGCTGAAGAAGATACTGAGGACGGGGAAGAAGGCCGAGTTCTGGCCCTACGTTCAGTACAACCTCGTGGCCTACCCTTACGTCGCCGGCGCCTACGACAAGAAGGCGCCCTCCGGCTACGTCAGGAACGTCGTCCAGGCTCTCCCCAACCCTTCCGCACCCACCGGCGCCGGCGAGCAGTTCACCACCATGTTCAGCGACGACAACCCCAATGGTTGCTCCGTCATGTAGAAAAAAAAACGGCCTTTTTTGTTATATATATATTCCGTTCCAGTTGTCTTGCTGTTGTGGGCCTTGTGGCCTTTTTCCCCCGGCCCAATGAGGGAATCCGGTAGCTGTGGGGACTGGGCATATATAGTATAGATAGAAAGGTTGTTTCTTTCTGCTTTAAAAATTCCCCTCGTAAAAAGTGGTTTCGAGTAGGTGGTGGATTCATTGCTTAGCCTTATGCGCAAGGTTGTCAAACCGGTTTATGTCAGTGTGTCGGTATGACAAGTGGAATAGTTCGACCGGTGGTACGTATTGGTTTGTATCGGTTCATACCGGTTAATATTACAAATACTCATATTTAAACACGACATTTAACATCAATACCTAAATATTTCCACCCTGACCTTTGGGAATCGGGAGGTTTTTTTTTTTTTGGCAAAGTCAGATGTTGAATCGAAAGTCACAAACGGGTAGAAAGAAAAGCGCGGGAGTCGATCAATAGTCGAACTCTCGATGAGAGGGCCTTTTGTGCCACGTGATGGGCAGCCCTGTTGAGTTGACGAGAAACAAAAACAGTAAGAAACTTTGCTGAACGAAGGCGTCAAGCTCCTAGATGCGTCATCCAGAATAGCTCCACCCCGCGATCATGATGCATATCACCTCCAATCATCCGGCGTATCAAGAGTTGAGAGTCCCCATGAAAAAATGAACAGCAAGAAGGGAATGAGTTAGACACCACTATATAAGGCTGACGTAGAGCTAAACATTCCATATTGATTAAATGGATCCTCGATCTCATCATAACATTTTCCAAAGACAAATTAACATTACCTGTTGTATGAAAAGCCTACAAAATCAATAGTACCTCTTTGACCACGCTTGGCCGCACCATCAAACCAGACGTTGATTCCGGCCGAGGGAGGGTTTATTTACATTTATGTAAAAGTTTTTTTTATGGGTAGAAAGTCGAGGATTCTAATTTATATATATCATTAATACCCATGTCGTCGTAAATTTCTAATAACAATGGTAGCTGAAATTCAGATTGGCGTGGACGCCGGTTCATAGTAGAAACAAATCCACATGTCAGAACAGTTTCAATTGGACTAGGGTGTGTTGTCAACTTGTCTACATAAACAACGTTATAAGTATATTTTTTAGATTATTTTTGTCCTTCTACTACAAGAATATATTATCATCTAACTTGACCCTCCATCTGAAATGTAAGAATATTATCAAACAGAATTTTGGCTTGATTGTCACTTTTTGATGACATTCTTATAGTAAAAGAGCTGAAGAATTATTGAGGACATGCTTGAAAACTTTACAAAGTAGAGAGACAAAGTATACCTATTAACTTAAAAAAATCAAATCTTTGTTAAATTTTGACATTCCACTTGATGAAATTTGTGACCGGACGAAAACTATGATTGAATTTAAATATGAGATAATCCTTAAGTTGAAAACCAGTAATTTCACCATTGGATCATTTGCAAAATGAGTTATTTAAGACGCGTGAAAAATATCATTTGCTTGAGTACTTATGTGAATGAACTTAATTGAGTATCAAATGATTCGTTTGCTAACAAAAAAATATGTGAATTATTTGGCTCATACGAAAGTTACAAATTACTCTATTAAATCATTTCCAAATGCCTCTAATCAATTTGCCACATATGAATTTTATTGGACATAGGAGTAAATTGAAATTTAAGTGATGATAAGGACGAATAAAACAGGAATCAAAAGGCGGGGGAGGGTTATGGAAGGTTTGGAATCCATATCGGGTCATGCCACTATGCCATAAACTTTTAGGGAGATTCCAAATCTCTATCAATTTCAACTACATACCTTACAATAGGGTTGTTAATCCGATTTAGCTTGTTGGTCATATCGATTAAGTTAGTTGAGGACTTGAGGGTTAATGATTTGAGAGCTTTAATTTTGTTTTGTTTGATATATCAAAAAAGTTATTATATTGTTCATATATTTATAAAGCATATCAAATCTCATTCAAAATATGGATAATAATATATAACATTATACCAAAAAAGAAGTTCGTATTTGGATCCCACATATATTGAAAATTCAATCACACTCATACAACAGCCATATTCGAATGTTCAATTTAGAATTTCAAAATATAGGGTTAGGCGACACAGAAAACCGAAAAAGAGACGCATTTCGCAATCTAAAGGGGAAAACGACTTCATGTGACTTTCAGCTCGGAAGCCTTACTGTTAATCGACCTGCGAGTATGTAGCGGCCATTTCTTCACCCCGAGTCTGGATCAAATCGAGCGAACCGCACGTCGACCCGCTAGTTGACAACGTTGCATTTCGATTTCTTTTCCCCTAATCTAAAATTTTTGGTAACGTGATATTTAATTCTCATAGAGCTAAAGTGAAGTGGTCGCCAGAGGATAAAAGGAGTCGGTGCTGTTCTTCTGATTTCTTGTCAAGATTCTCTTGTTGGGTTTGGCCTGCTACTGGTTTACTGCTTTGGTCGTTTGGACCATTCAAACTTGTTTTGGACAAAAGGCCCATAACTTGCCTGATAAGATTAAGAATGAGATTCTTCATGTACTCTTCCTGCCGATCAAAAAATGTTCTTCCCCAACTTTTCTGGTTGAGCTTTTATCGATTCTGTTCATGTATCTCCTTTTCTTCAAGTCAAAGAAAGAAAAAAAATCGATAATTCTGAAGCTCTAAAGTTGTCTTTCACCATTAGATAAAATAAAATAGGATTAGGTGTCGAATGCTGGCAGTTTTACAGGCTTACAAAGTTACTCTCAATCTTTAGATGTAAGTGAACGAGAAGAAATTAAAGATGATAAGCCGCCATTGTTATGGAAGCTTAACCCGCAGTTTATTTACCGCATTCTCACGCTGTTCATCTTCAGCATCAACACAAGAACCGGAAGTCAGACAGAGAGAAGCTATGTAATGCAGTCAATATCATCATTGTGATGAGAGCCTCCAGACGCGGACGAAAGCATCCTCGCCGGAGCTGACCACTGTGCAATCGTCGGTGAACGCCAAGCCGTATACCCCGCCTAGATGAGCCAGTTTTATGGTTATACGGTTCGCAACCGGCTGCCCGATTTCGTAAACGATCACACATGTGTCCAGAGAACCAGTAGCCACAAACGTGCTGCCAGGAGACCAGGCAAGGCAGTTGATCCGCGCAGTGTGGTACAACATGTTGTTCAGCTTAACCTGCAACAACAATACCACCACATTCAATAAAAATGTTCGATTCTAAGGCTAAAACAGAGTTATGAGGATGCTATACCTCTCTGGAAGAACGATCCCATACAACAGCTTCACGATTGGAATCAGCGGAAGCAAACATGGACACATCGGGGGAATACCGGATCACAGTGATCGCACCTCTGTGCTTCTCAAGAACTGCTTCTTCAGTCAGTGTATCGCCCGAGACAGAGTAGATGTGCAACTTCCCATCCTTTCCACCAATGATGGCTTCGTTTCCGTCGGGTGTTATTGCACACACCGTGGCCACGAAGTCGAGCTTCGTGGTCGACAAGACTTTCAAGCCGTCGAGCAGAATAGCAGTTGATTCGGTCGAGACCAAAGCCAACGCAGGCGAATTCATGGCGAGGCATAAACCCATCGGCTGGCTACCGACATCAACAGCCTCAAATGCACCAGAGTTGTCATTCCCTTGTAGACCCATTCTATGCACCTATAATGTAACTAGCTGGTTGAGTTAAAACATAGGCATACATACTGCAGTGGTACTCAAAAAGAATGGAAGTTTACCTTGTTATCGAATCCGGATGTCATGATCTGATCTTTCGCAGCTGCCAAGCACTTGATCTGGGAATTGTTCCCTCTCTCCAATCTACCAGCATAACCAATACCCTGAATCCATTTGATAATGTGGCCATCGTAGCTGCTGGTCAAAACCGTCTTCTGTTCATCATTTTCCAAGAGTGTCAATGCCGTGACATTCTTCATGTGTCCGGACAACAAGGTTGGAGCTTTCTCAAGATCACTTGCAGAGAACAAGTTGATCGCCCCGGAGAGCGAGACCACGATGAGATGATCGTTCATCCAAAGGCATCCAACCAACATATCTTCAACTCCACCGGAACTAGGACAAGTCAGTGTCTTCACCACAGTTCCTTTCCCATCCTCAGAAATCTCCCATACTTTAGCAGACTTATCGGCCGAAGCAGTAAGCACCTGGATGATGATAAATGGCACAACGATCAGCTGAAGGTTTTGAGCTTATAATCGGATTCAATTGGAGAAAGTGGTCAGTAATTGTGGTTCGGACCCGCTTACTATCTGGGCTCCAACTAACGGCATAGATGCTCCCCGTATGAGCATCTTCATGGGACAATTCTCCAATGATCTCACCAGTCTTGCCATTGTAGATCAACCCTTTCTTGTCCGAGCTCACGGTAATGCACTTGCTTCCATCTGGTGAAAATCTCACGCAATTCACAAAGTTGGAATGCTGCCTACATCCACGAACGGCGAAACTCACATTGTTATCTCTGGTTTGAAAATGTGGATTTTCAAGAAAGAAAATTGAAAGAGGGATTTGGAAAGCAATTAAACCTGTGAGAGTGCATGAACTTGAATGGAGGGCCTTCGTAGAAATTCACTACGAAATCCTCTCCACAGCTAACAATCCTGAACGGCCGCGTCGGCTTGAACGCACAACTCAACACTCGCTTCGAATGTCCGTCGAATTCCCCCACAGTGCTTCCCGAATCCCACCTTCACAAAATCCGGGAAACAATTTGCTCGCTCAAGAACTCGTTCGATTCGAAATTAGGGTTTGATGGTTATAAGAAAGGGGGAAATTAAGATAATCGAGAGGGGGGAAACTCACACGAAGGCACGTACGAAGGATTTTCCCTTGCCGTCGCCGGAGACGACGATCCTCAGTTGATCCGGGGACCATTGTAGATCGTCGATTCGGCCGGAGAGGACGCGAAACTCGTTGTGGAGGACGAAGTTGTTGTGGACGCCCCAGATCCTCACGGTTCCGGAGGTGTCGGCGGATGCGATCCACTCGCCGTTGGGGGAGTAGCGAGCGACGGTGACAGGGTAGCCGTGCTCGCCGTAGACATCGACCTTGAGGGGCTGGTCGAGGTACCTAATGATGACGGAGCGGCCGTTGGTGTAGAGGATGGTGTTGGATTTGGCGTCGCCGGAGATTAGAATTCCTCTCCCGCGCTCCGTCGACGGAGAGGATGCGTAGCTTTCGATAACTTCTGCCATTAGAGAAGAAGAAGAAGAAATTCGGGGAAATGCAGGGAGAAATGTTTAACGCTGATAGTTTTTGAGATTTTTTTTTTATATGTAGTCTTATTTTGAAAAAGAGAGGAAAGAGGCGGGATTTGAGGGGTAGATTTTGGAACAGTTTCTCATGTCTTAATTGGGCTCCGTGGGCTTTCACACTTCCCACTGGGCCGGAAGTTGAAAGTTGAAAGGAAAAGCTTTTAGGTAGGCCCAACCTGAACTTGGAACTAAGAACTGAGAACTTTGAGTGAAGGAGGAAGACGAGAACAAAGATTAAAATTTAAAAGAGAATAGGAAAAGCAAAGATAGATTTTGAATTCACTTCGTTTACTTCCTTTGATGAGATCGAGGGGTTGATCCTTGATCAATTCTTCTATCCTCCTAACGGGAAATTGTGAGAACGTTTTAACACGGTCACGATTTCGTCACATTTCCACAGGTCGAGATTGGCGGCCCAGTATGGATAGGCTTAGTTCAACTAAGTGAGGAGAAAGAATAAGGAGAGGCTCGGCTTGGCCAAGCCAACACTTTTTGACAGGTTGGTCCCGCAAAATGTGATTGCACTTGTGAGTTTTGTTGCAAATTTTGGATTGATTGTGACTATTTAGTGACTAGTTCATGAAACATGTGTTCTTTGTTTGAGTTTGTTCAAGTTATAGAATGTATGTAATGTGTGGTGGTTTGTAGTGTTGGTTGCCCGAAGAATAAAAGTTGTTTATATGATGAGTACTAGTTGCAACAGGTTGAAAATTAGTTGTGATTGTTGAATATTAGTTAGAATCGGCTGAATAATATTTGCCTGCAAATATTAGAATACAAGCATTTGTCTGCATGATGAATACAACTTGTAACTTTTTAAATACTAGTTGTAACTTTCTGAAATATTTGTTGCCTACAACTATTTGAATACTAGTTGGTTCCATGATTAATAGTAGTTGTGTATGACTTATTTACCATAACAGTTCCACGACTTTTGAATAATGATGGCTCGAATCAAATGCGAGCTAAGAAAGCTAAGGGTCATGAAGATAAATCCAGTTGAGTTGTCCCAAGAATCAGCACATGAAAAAGTTGGGATCTACCAACTGATACCCCTTTCTAAGTTGTGCAATCACTTAGTAAAGAGATCTATCTACCAACTGATTGATTAAACTTCCAACTTGTCACCGATCTTGATAGTGCCATTTTGTGAAGACGAAAAACGTGAGACCATAGTGAGAAATGAACACAACGATAGATCGAGAAGAAAAAAACGTTGAATAGATATTCTATTACGTATAAAGAATACATAGCAGTATACACTTGCTAACGAGGAAGAACTCTAGCCTTTTCATATGCAAATGCAACATCATGGTTGGCTATAGAGAGACTGATTATCTGAATCTTATTAATTATTTTTCGAGCACTTTGAAGCATCAATAGAGTCTTAATTCTAATTTCGTTATCATACGTAAACAAACAACTATGCACATGCAATGTTTGTGGTACGTTATTGGGTACATTAGTGGAAGTATGTTATCATTTAAATTTTCTTTCTTGTGGTGTTCTTCGCTTACTTAACTTGAGATGGGATCCCACCTCGACTTAACTAGCACAACTGTCCCGCACCAACGTATCATGAACATAACCTCCTCATCTACAAAGAGTAACATGGCATACTCTCCCCATCTACAGGGAGTAATGGTGACCGCGTCCGGCACCGATGGTGACATACAAATCAAGACCCCTCATTTACAAGGTGCTCCTCATCTACAAGGAGTAAGGTGACCGCGTGCGACTAGTTAAGGGAGGGTTCTTATTCTTACTTATTAACCTGATATCTTTACGTGCTTGCTTGATAACAACCTCTCACACGATGGAGAGACATACTTAATTTTGTACTTATTACTTGGCTTGATAAGTTTGAGCTTAACTAGGTGATCTCCCGCACAATGGGAAGATATAAGCTTATCAACTTGCACTTGATTAGTTTAGAATTGGACTTGTATTTGCTTGCCTTAACACATAGCTTACTGATGCATCATAATGCTTCGCATAAAGTAATGGTTGAATGTAAGGAAATTAACTTAACATGGAAACATATAAGAAATAACAGATAACTGAAGAATGAAACAAGAACGAAAATGTATAACATGAACTTGAATGCATGATAACAAAAACTAGTCTAGCCCCCTTTAACCACGCACCTTATTAACTTAAGCAAGTTGACTTGATCTATCCACCAACTCAAAGGATCGATGCTCTGGAATGGATAAGTTGCCTTGGTGAACCTATGACGAAGACCGAGATCAGATCGATTGGGCTTTGGGTTATTCGAGATAGCTTCTTCGATTCATTAATTATCTTTTAATTTAAATCACATAATATTCTACCCGGCAAAAACATTATTTTAGTAACTAATAACTTAATTATCTTAACATTAACTTGCTTTATGAAGCATTTTAACCAAGGTTGTCAAACCGGTTTATACCGTTGTACCGGTTTGGCAAGTGGAATGGTACGACCAGTGGTATAACCTGTTTGTGCCGGTTCATGCCGGTCTAAAAAAATGTGAAAATAATTAATATCCAATGTATTTAATCATATATAAAATATATTTGTGGACAATTTAGTTATAATCCAACAAATATCATCAACTTTTAACTATTACATTCATAAAATGAATAATAAGTCATTATTTTTATTCATTAAATTCATTAAAATGATGTCATTTTCTTAGAATGCGTAAGTCGATCATACCGATCATACCGGTGGTGTCATGCCGGTTTCATGACTGGCACAGGTTGAACCAGGTTCAACCGGGTGGCATGCCACCGGCATGACAACCATGATTTTAACAAATCATTCATCATATCATTATATCAAATTACTATATCTCTAATTGACTCGTTAAATCATTTTATTAACTACTAAGATAATTAATTAATAATATAATAACCCCAAGAATAATTAAATTATCTACTATTTATCTTAAATACTAAACTTTACCATTTAATCCATTACCATTTACTCACAAAGACAATACATAATTATCACTTAATTATTTACCTAGAGAATTAAACTGTCAAAGCTACAGACATCTTTTAGTAAAGGTGGATTGTACCATGTTACATATCCACAATTAATTATATAACAAACATAGTGTTATATATCCATTATATAAAGAACACAAAAATATTATATATCCACAATTAATTATATGACAAACATAATATTATATATCCACATTTAGCTATGTACATTTCAGTGCTACTCAAACTAATAAACGTTTGCTAGTACTAGGAAAGTCGAATTTTCAAGATCAACTTCTCATTGTTGTATGCTCCAGATGTAATATATCCACCTTTAGTTATATATTTTTTTTATTAAAAGGAGGCAAAAAGCCAAAGGGTCGATTACACCAACAGGGGAAAACTCAGAACCAAAACCCCCTCAAAACTCTTACAACCAAAGCAGCGAACAAATCATAAGAACAGCCTTAAACCCAGCTGTCTTGAGTGTCGTCCCTAACAATGAGAAGTTGGAAGAGGAACTCGACAGAGTTCTAGCACAAGAAGAGCTAGTCTGGTTTCAACGAGCTAAGGAAAAATGGGTTGTCCTGAGAGAGCAGAATACATCGTACTTTCACCACCAAGCTACTCGACGCAAAAGAAAGAATAGGATTTTGTCTCTCCGCGATGCGAATGGTGTTTGGATCGATGACTAGGAAGCTCTTCTCAATATGGTCTTAGATTTCTACACTACTCTTTATACGGAAGATGGAATGCAGTATGAAGACCGTATGCCTCACAATGTTTTCCCTAGACTACAGCAGGAAGAGATGTTGGCTCTTCACCGTCCATTCCATATAACCGACATCCACAAGGCTATTTTCGGAATGAAGCCTTACTCCGCCCCAGGTCCTGACGGCTTCCAAGCCATATTCTATAAAAAACTTTGGCCGATCGTTGGAAAGAATTTGGCAGACATGGCTGCTAAATTCTTTGAAACTGGTGAGATGGCAGAAGAAACTATGGAGTCAACCCTGATCTTGATTCCGAAAACAGGGCAGCCAGAGTCTCCTAAACAATTCAGACCCATTTGTTTGAACAATGTAGCTCTCAAGGCAATCACCAATAGACTGAAGTCTCTGATGCCGAAACTCATTGCATGCACTCAAAGCGGTTTTATCCAGGGCAGACAGACGAATGACAATATTATCATTCTGCAAGAAGCCCTTCACTCTCTTAGGAACAAAAAAGGGAAGAAGGGAGGGCTGATTATCAAGATTGATCTTGAGAAAGCCTATGACAGGCTGCGGTGAGACTTCATTCGAGATACCTTGAAGGAAGTAGGGCTGGCCGGTTCTCTAATCAACAAAATTATGTCCTGTGTGGAGGGAAACGAGATGAGGATAAACTAGAATGGGCAACTTTCATATCAGATTCTCCCCACCAGAGGAGTCCGACAGGGAGACCCCCTTTCCCCCTTTCTTTTTATTCTTTGTATGAAGAGGTTGGCCCATAAAATTGAACAAGCAGTTGAGGAGAAGTTGTGGCGACCGCTTCAGCTTTCAAAAAATGGTCCAAAAATTTCTCATTTATTTTTTGCTGATGATCTTGTTTTGTTTGCAGAGGCAGAGGGGAAGCATATTGATATCATCAAGACATGCTTAGATGATTTATGCATCAGCTCGGGCCAAAGAGTCAATTTCGACAAGTCGGCAATGTTCATCTCACCAAATATAAGAAGAGAAAGAGCTCTTAGACTAAGTGAGAGGGCAGGAATCAAGCTCACGACAGATCTGGGTCGTTATCTGGGAATCAATGCTGTAAATGGGAGGATTACGAAAGCTCGATACAAGGAACTCCTCATTAAAATCCAGAAGAAATTGGTTTCATGGAAAACAAGGCACCTATCTATGGCGGCTAGAGTAACCTTGGTCAAGGCAGTTACCTCGAATATAGCAATCTACCCTATGTTTTCTGAACTACTTCCTGTTGGAGTTTGCAATTCGATTGACAGGTACAACAGAAGCTTCATCTGGGGTGAAGAAGAAGGAAAATCTAAACTCCATTTGGTGGCTTGGAACCAATTGACACAACCTCGACAGCTTGGTGGCCTTGGTATTCGGCCCACTAGAAGAGCTAACCAAGCGATGTTGGCGAAAGGAGCTTGGAGCCTCGCTACAGACAAAGACAATTTATGGACAAGGGTGCTAAGAAGCAAGTATGGGAGAGGAAGGAAGGGACTGCAAATGTTGGCACCATCAAAGGGAAGTTCCCAAGCTTGGAAAAGTTTTGCTCAAACAATAAATCTCCTTCGCAAAGGAGCTGCCAAAAATGTTAAGAATGGAAAGAAAACTAACTTTTGGCGGGATGTGTGGGTTTTGCAGGAACCTTTAATTACCAAAGCTTTGCTGGATATTCCGGAGGAGACTCAGGAAAGAACAGTTGCAGATTATTGGAGTGATGCGACTGGCTGGAAGATAGAAGACCTGGTTGACTACCTTCCTGGTGAAATTCTGAAAAGAATCAGAGCTGTCATGCTTGACCCGCTAGACACAACTGAAGATGCCATCTTCCGGAAAGCCTCGCCTAATGGACTGTTTACCACTTTCACAGCTTATAAACTTGAAGATCAGCAACAGGAAAGTCACAGCTCAACCCATTGCAACAGGATATGGCATCTGATGGTCCCGGAACGAGTTCGACTCTTTATGTGGACAGCATCAAAAGGAAGACTAACAACCAATGACATTAGGAAGGCCAGACACCTTACCTCTGATGATAAATGTACACTCTGTGATGCGGATATCGAATCCAATAGCCACTGTCTGCGAGACTGTACCAAGATCAGGGGAGTGTGGGAAACAGTTGTCCCTGGTCCCTGCTTCTCAACATCATCAATTTTTCTCTGCAGCGCACGATGAGTGGATGAAGAAGAATTTGGAGAGCATCGAGACTGTAGAAGAGACAGGGGATTGGGCTAGTTTCTTTGCTCTCACTTGCTGGTATATCTGGAAGCATAGAAACGAGTACATCTTCAAGTCAACCAGACTATCCAGCTCCACCCTCATCAATTACATTGTCTCGAAGGCAAAAGATTGGATGAGAACGTGGAAGAAAGCTATAGCCATCAAAGACTCTTTAACCAAACCGAGGACAGAAGAACAACTAATTGGTTGGACTCCTCCTCAAGTAGGGTGGAGGAAGTTAAATACGGATGGGGCAGCTCAAGGGAACCCAGGAATTATCACAGCAGGAGGAGTCCTTCGAGACAACGAGGGAGAATGGATCGCAGGATTCGTCTGCAAAATAAGAACTGGGTCGGCAATTCTAGCAGAGCTTTGGGGTATCCACCAAGGTCTGGAGCTAGCTTGGAAAAAGGGTACGCAATTTCTTATACTCCACCTGTAGTTATATAAGATAGTGTTATATATTCGTTATACAAAAAAACACAAATTTATATTTCAATAATTAATTATGCACATTTGAGTGCTACTGAAAATTATAACCCTAAGGCTGGGCATCCTCGTCCTCATCCATCGGCATTAATCTTGACATAAAAATCACTGTTATGTATTGACAATTATAAATATATGCATTTGAAAGTAAATAGTTAGTCTTTATCTATTGAGGTGGATTTTGAAAATCCTCCTCTACGGGTACGCACCAGTTGTAAAGATCAAGTTATGTGGGGAAGTTGCGCAAATTTATTTTTCATGACAACATGAAAGTTCAATGGTCTAATTGACCTTCTTGCCTAATAAAAAACACATAATAATAAGTA